GAATAAAAGCCATGCTATATTCAATATATATTGGAGATGATTGACAGTGAAAGTATGAACTACCTAAACGATTCATTTAAGCTAACGAAATATATCATATCACGAAGTCAACCTAAATTAGGCGTCGAATATTAATATATTAAAATGCCCCTGTATATTCAATTCATTTTACGGTATGAGGTTTTGCTGAAGATTTGATTTATCTTATGTTGTTGGTTAGTGTGATTATAGCACAACTATGAAAGATTTAACAGTTTCATGATAAGTACACCAATTGATTCTAGAGCTTGCAAAATTTAATTTTGCTCTATATTATTTTTGACACATTTGATTTTAACGTCAGTTATTACTAAAACCGACTCGTTCACCAGTTTCCCCTCTAAGGTGATCAACCTTAAAAGGAGATAAAGATAAAATGAATTATATGATAATTCAGATTCCACCTGAGTCATCTCTTCAAGTCAACTTAACTATCTTAATAATACCTGAAATACTCATCGTCTCAATTGCAATTAGAACATTAAATGTGATATAATATAATTTTCCTTTGAGAAATTGCTGTTGAAAATGGTAGCTATGTAGTATCTCACAAAGGCGAGTTGCTGATGGGATCATAAATGACCTTTTTCAGTTTTAATTTAGTACCTAATTTACTATTTTATTAAAATATAGTGATGGTACAACTCCTGACTAATGAAGTGTCACACCTTTCCTCTGAACAATCTATTTTCTTAAACTTCTATATATCAAAGTTTGGAAATTTTACGTAAGTTACCTTAAATCAACCAAGTATAAGAGGAACCTTAATAGCTAATGTTAGTAAAGAACAAATGCAAAATCAAACATAAAGTAAAATTTTAAGATTTGGAAGAAAGCTGAGATAGTAAGAAACTTTTGATTACATATTATAACTAATATTATGATCTATTAATTATCAAGGAATTTAGTTCTAAAAGTTTTAGCAATTAGAAATATAAGAAGTTAAATTTCTAAATAGTAAACACAACTTTGGACATATAAATGTAAATAAAGTAATTGAAACCAAGTTATTGGTTAAAATGGTCATTCACATATCATAAGTTTTGATAGTCTTACGTACTAAAAATTTATCATCTTTTCTGGAGCATTCATCTTGTTTCTTTTCTCAATAATTAAAATATTAAAACATGACAAATTTTATAATTGTGTCCCTTCAAAAAATTCAAAATATATTTCTACATTAAATATTGCTAAATATTTCTCTGTTATCTCGATTATCGGTAGTTGATGCCCAGCCGTATTGGGAATATTACTGTTCAATGAGCCTCTACAATTATTAATGTTAAATATATATACCCCATACAGATACTTCTTCATATAATGCTATGTGAATTTTTAATAATATTAATTTCAGCTTCTAACAATAGTATCATAACTATAATTACTTTTCTTATAAACAAGTTATATCTCCTAGAATGAATTATTCTGATGTTTCTCAATGCGAATCTTGATAGCCGACGAGATATGTGTCGTAGCCATGAGATAGTTTCCGATAATGAAGGGTGCTATAAGAAGAGATTATTGTATATTATTGTATACTATTCAGTATACTTACTTGTATATAAAGAAAAATACACCCAGAGAATTAATTAATTGTATATTTACTTTTCCATACAGATCCACATTATAAAATTCCCTTAAATAAACGCAAATTCGCCTTTATTCTAACGTACACCAAATGAAACCTTCAATTAAACAATAAAAAATAATTAAAAGTTTACCAGAACAGAAGATTAATAGTCAATGAAAAGAATAGAAAAGTTGTAATTTGTTAAATTATTAATGATATAGATCCCCTTGTTCTTAAAAGATGTTGTAATATGTTCGATACAATTAGTCTTGTCTTTATTGTAGATACGGGACAAGTATATAAGATAGTTGACGATCTTAAGGTTCTTATTCTTGTCCTTCTATATAAACTATAAACGATATAGAAGACAACTATATACTCGGGACTGCACCCATGTTCGCTTTTATATATCTCAGTTCCGATGAGATGCCTTCGGATCCTTAGGTTACCCTTACATAGTTCACGTGACATTCACACAGTCGTTGCTGATGATAACGATGCCTTAGTTCCATCTTTTCCTACAACATCTTCCCCCTCTTCGTCTGGATGCTCGTCTAGATATAATTGTTTGAAATTCTTCCATATTGAGGTTCTAGTCCATAACGGGATCTTGTTGTATTGTTCTTCAGTAAGTGGAACACTAATTGTTGGGTCTACATCTTCCATTGTACAGTAGTAAGTCTTTTTATCTTCGGATATTCCAACTAACCCTGTAACTTCGTTAGCTCGTTCTAAAATTTCTTCTTCTGTGATCGGAGCTTCTTTAGGGTACTTGTCAGGTCGACTTACAAATTTCTTCAAATGGTGTACGTTGATTACTCTGTGTGTTTTAACATGCGTGGGTAAGTCCAATTCATAAGCATTATCATGAATCTTTTTAACGACTTTAAACGGTCCAACAAAAAGCGGTTGAATCTTTTTGTACTTGCCTGCGTGGAAGTATGCATTTCGATGCACTAACGCGAATTCTCCTTTCTCAAAAATCAAGGGTCTTCTTTTGCGATTTTGTTCGACTTCCATTTCAGCTTGTGCTTCCGTGAGAGCATCTTGTATTCTCATCGTTATTGCTTTCACTCTCCTGGTCCATTCAACTCCTCCGGTATGTCTGGCGTCTAACTCACCATCCGTTTTCAGTAGAGGTGCGTTCGGAACATATCCCAAATCAGCTTCGAAAGGTGACATACCAAGTGTTCTATTCGGTGTAGAATTATACACAAATTCGACTTGTGGTAATAGCCATGCCCATCTGCGGTGATCGGAGAATGCGTATGTTCTAAGTAATCTGTTCAAAATTTGGATTACTCGCTCTGACTGACCATCGGTTTGCGGGTGATTAGAGGATGACATAGTTAATTTGATTCCTAAACGTTCCGTAAATTCTCTATAGATATTCGAAGTGAATCTGACATCTCGGTCACTTGTTATTGTTTTCGGGAACCCATGATACGCAAAGATATATCTAAACATTAGGTTTAATACATCTGAGGAGTGTAAGGGAGTCTGTGCGGCAATAAAGTGCGCTCTCTTAGTGAATCGGTCTACTACTACCATGATCATGTTCTCTCCTCCAAAAGCGGGTGGGAGTCCAGTTGCGAAATCCATAGCGATATCAATCCAACGGCCTTTCGGAACATCTAACGGAGTCAACAAGCCTTGGTTCTTTAAACGGTGCGCTTTCATCATTTGACAATGCGTACAATATTTGATATGGGATTTAATGTCATGGTACATCTTTGGCCAGAAATATTCAGCCCTTAGTTTCGTAAAGGTTACGTTTTCGCCAAAATGCCCTCCATGAATTCCATGATCGTGATATACTCGTAGTAGTTCGAATCTTCTGCGTTTCGGGACGACTACCTGTTCTCTATATCGTAAGACGTCGTTCTTAAAAGAAAACAGTTCGGAGTATTTTGTAGACAATTTAAATTTCTTTCGATATTTCTTAAATGCACTCGCGTCACCACTATTGATGTCAATATCTGCGTTAACACCTAACGCCTCGAGGGCTGCACCCGCCAACGGGTCGGCACACCAGTCAAGGAACCACGTAGTGGGATCAATATGGACTATTCCATCGATTGCGGCGATGCTTCGGACGATTTCTTTAGGACGGTCTCCATTATACCCAACTCTAGATAACGCATCGGCGACGACATTCTCTGGTCCCGGAATGTAACTTAATTCGAAGTCATAATCGGCCAATTTATCCAAATGACGTTGGACTCTCGGAGCTGGTTCGGTCTCATTCCTTAGAGACAAGAGACTTACGTGGTCAGTACGTAACGAGAAGTGAATACCATGTAGAAGGTACTTGAAGTGATCTAATGCCTGAACTATACCGAGAAGTTCGAGTTCGCCAGCGGGGTAATTCTGCTGCGCGCCCTTCAATGATTGAGAGTAATATCCCACAACGCCTAAGACGTTACCGGTAGGTGTAACTTCTTCCAAGACTGCGCCAATGCCATATTTCGAAGCATCCGTCGTGAGTCGATAATTACCATTGGGTTGGAACGGCACAAGAATCGGGTGATTCGTCAGTATTGTTTTCAACTCATTCATTGCGTCAGTCTGCGGTTGAAGCCATGTTGACTCTTCATTGATATAATCCTGTATAGGTTTGGCAATCGTAGAACAATGTGGTATGAAGCGTCGATAGTAATTTATCATCCCAAGGAAACGTTGAGCTGCCTTCACATTATTCGGTGTAGGGAATTTACTAATTGCTTCACACTTACTCTGAACGGGCTTAATCTTATGTTCCGAGATTATATAGCCAAGGTATTCCACTTCTTTTTCGGCAAAGGAACATTTCGGTTTCTTTACTATTAATTGTTCGTTCTTTAGTTTCTGTAATACTAAATCAATATGTTTCCAGTGTTCGGTTTCTGATGATGAGAAGATCAAAATATCATCAAGATATACGTTTACAAATTTCATTTCTCTAAAGAGATCGGCCATATAACGAGAGAACGTACTAGGTGCATTCACTAGTCCGAATGGCATTACGGTATATTCATATTTTCCACTTGGTGTAACGAAAGCTGTTTTGTATCTATCCTCTCTTTTCATTGGAATTTGGTGATAACCACTATGTAGATCTAGTGTTGTGAATATTGATGCAGCACCTATTTTAGCGAGGGCTGACTCAGTTCGAGGTAATGGGAACGGATCTTTAACTGTAGCTTTATTCAATGTTCGGTAATCCACACATAGACGGTACGTTCCATCTTTCTTCTTAACCATAACAATCGGAGAACTGAAAGGGGATTTAGAGGAAATTATAAACTGTTTGTCAATTAAGTCAGTTACAATTTTATTGATCTCTTCTTCGACCTTAGGAGTAACTCTGTATGGTTGAGATTTTGGTGTTTTCATTCCAGAGATTAATTCGATCTCATGGAACACAATCGGGTTAGAGTTCTTATCACGAGCAGGTAAATCATCTCTTACCGTGTCTTTATACTTTTCAGCTAACCAATGTGGCAGTTTTTCAAATGATGAATTTGTACTTGTGTTTATTACAGTGTTGACCCAATATATATCCTTATTTATTGTACGTGGAACTTCTTCTGTAGAAATTATACTGTAGACGGGGACGTCAGTGCTGACACTATCGAATAGTTCTGGAAAACGTTGAAGTGTCGGATAGCCTATAATAACATCATGACCTATGTACTCGGTGACGTAGGCTTGAATCGTAAAGGTCTTATTATCAATCTTCAACGGAACTTCGACAGCTTCGGTCGTGTTAGCTGACTCTTCCGATACAACACCTTTAAATGAAAATTTCGGTGCTTTGTATACTTCTAAGTCTAATTTTGTAATAAGTCTGTGGTTAATAAAAGAAGTTGGCGAGCCTGTATCCAAAAGTACGTGGATGGCTGTGTTATTGGTTGTAGCTTTAACGATTGAAGTTTTTCCTATTTCTGGGATAGATTTCTCAATGATGGGACACAGTTGAACAGCACTGCGGTCTGTTTGCGGGAAGGCCTTAGTATTGGTGAGGCCTCGCCTTTTCAGGTCCTTTATTGTCTGAGTAGGTTTTACGACCTTCTGGACAATCCTTATACATGTGATCAGCTTTACCACAGCGGTAACATAATCCTTTGGTTCTTCTTTCATTACGTAACGAGTAATGATTCTTACCAACTTTCCCTCTGTTAGTACGTCCATTCCGATCGTGATTACGACGGTAAATTGCTGCGGTCGTAGTCAAAATATCGTCAGTGGACTTAACTGTTTCGTTCTTGTTCACGGTATACGTGGTTCTGTCCTTGCGAGGAATATGTTGATAGGTCATATTGTACAGTTCCTCGAGGGTCTGAGGGTTTGCTAAATCGATGGCAGTCGCAATGGATTCATCCATGTTCCGTAAGTAGAGGTGTTTCGTAATGAACAATGGTATTTCTCCCTGCGGTAATAGTCGGTGTAAGCGTTCAAATTCAGTGATGAAAGCTTCGATACCAATTTCCATTGGTTTTAGCTTTTCTATGTCACTGAGCAGTTTTTCTGGATTAGCTGCTTGTTCAAACCTTTTCTTGAAAGCTTTGACAAAGGTTTCGTAAGGGGCATCCATATTCTCCTCGGACCACATCTCGAACCATGATCTGGCAAGAGCTTCAAAGTGGATTGCAACGAAAGGAATACGTTTCGTCTCTGGAAGATCTTGCATCGCAAATTGGATTCTCATGGTGCTCAAAAAACTGTTAATTGTAAGTACGTCGTGAGTACCATAGAATGCTGCTGCAACACGACCCATACGTTTGGTGGTCGAGGAGGTTTCTTTTCCCTCTTCAGAATGAAAGGTTGTTGATGTAGACATAGCAAAATTAACGAGTAGTAACTAGTAAAAATAATCGAGGTATCCTAAGTAACAGTGCGCTACCAGATGTTGTAATATGTTCGATACAATTAGTCTTGTCTTTATTGTAGATACGGGACAAGTATATAAGATAGTTGACGATCTTAAGGTTCTTAGCCTTGTCCTTCTATATAAACTATAAACGATATAGAAGACAACTATATACTCGGGACTGTACCCATGTTCGCTTTTATATATCTCAGTTCCGATGAGATGCCTCCGGATCCTTAGGTTACCCTTATATAGTTCACGTGACATTCACTCAGTCGTTGTATTGTTTGATCCGGAATATTGAATATCAATGTATTAAGTATTTATCTAGGGAAACAAGCCGTAGAAGTAAATACTTAAGGTTACTAGTTATAAGCTCTATGAGGTTAATTAACTATTATAATAACTATACAGTAGTATTAAATATATAAGGATTTCTATGGTCTTCTGTTTAATAACAAAAGTGTATATCTTTACTTCAGGAACTATGTCCTTTATATACGTCATGTCAGTTATCTATTAGCGTCATTCCTTTTAACAATCATGACAGATCCTCTTTCCTTATTCCTGTCATCTTGTACTAACGTGGAATCAATACATCGTTGCTGATGATAACGATGCCTTAGTTCCATCTTTTCCTACAACAAAAGACAACAAATAACGGGCGTGTGGCGTAGTTGGTAGCGCGCTCCCTTAGCATGGGAGAGGTCTTCGGTTCGACTCCGGACTCGTCCAAATTTCTTTTTTGCACTTGGTACAAAACGAAGTAAGTGCAGCAGCTTTTTTTTGAGACGTTTCTATGTAATGTCACTTTCATCTCAAAATATCTTACTTTAAGATATGCTTTATAAATCTATGAAGTCATTAATATAGTTATTTTCCTTATATATTTCGAGATAACAATTTTTAATTTTATAAATTAATTAAAGAGAATGTAGCCTTAAAATATTGGTGTTATCCAATTGACGCTTCTTTATTGATCCTAACTTTATTCACCAATACAATTTATAGCATAATCTTTAATTAAGTGTACTTTGTTAATAATATATTTTTAAACATTGTTCTTCTGAAAGAAACAATTCCATAAATGCTTTTTAGATACCGTTTCACCTGTGCTTTCATTCATTTCAAATTGCTCCTCCTCGTCAGATGGAAATTCTTCATCAGAATCTAAGTGTTCTTCAATCTTTCTTTCTTTTCTCTTACCATCTAACATACATTTGTATCTCATGATATTCTCCTCAACAGAGTTACGTATCATAAAGTTCCAAACAAATGTGGTCTTGGTTTGCCCTATTCTATTATTCCGACTCTTTGCTTGTAGTTCATCATTGTTATTTATTATTGGATCTAATAAAAAAATATGTCTTGCATTTAGCAAATTTAAACCTGCACCTAATGTTTTTACATTCAATAGGAGACATGTATACGAATAATCTTCTTTAAATTTCTCTATCGTTCCACCAACTGTTGCAACATTTGAGAGGGAAGATAAATGTTTAATATCGTGAATTGTCAATACTTCTGATATAACTTTGAGAAAATCTAAACTTTGAGAGTACAATAGAATCTGTGGTGGCTCATCATTTTCACTCTCAGCTTTAATTCTTAAATACAATATAAGTTTAACTACAGAATCAATCTTTGCACCATAGCTTTCCTTTAACAATATCTTTTGGACTTCTTTTAATGAAGAGAACGTTACAAACTTCTCATTGAATATTGAATCACTGTCTCTTGAGTTCATCAATTCATCTTCCTTTTTCACCATTTCATCATCTGTTATGCGATCATTTTCATAGCATTCATCACTTATTTCTTTAGATTTAGGTTGTGATCCATATGAACTGTATTCTGTATCTTCCTCTTTGAATTTAAAATTGTAAATTTCAGATAATCCAGTTTCAGTTTTACAAAGTGGGCACGAATTTTTATTTTTTAGCCAACTTTGAATACATTTCTTGCAAAAAAAGTGCCCACATTTAATAATCGATCCAGTGTATATTTGATTCAAGCAAATTGTACAATTGAAGGATTTATTGTCTCTAGCAGATTCACGAAGAATATTCAAACTATTCAGATATTTAATTCTTGATTCTGCTGTGTTAATATGTTTCAGATTTTGCGAGTATTTGTCATCATTTCTTATCGATCTTAATATTACCGCTCTATTGTTTCTTTCTAATTGTAACAGGGAGACCAACGAGTCTGATATTTTTTGTAAATGACTATAATACTCGACCTTCGAGTTATATATAGTATTTATCTTTTTAAGAGATTCCCTAAGCTGTTTATTTTCCCTTTTCATCCTTTTCAATTCACCTTCATATGATAGTAAATGCTCTTCAAATTTATTATTAGTGGAATTTGATATAGAGGGTTTATTTGTCAAAGAGACCACTATCCTAGTATTTTTTAACTCATCAAAAATTGGTTTAAAGGGTATCCCTCCAACCAAATCTAATTTTGAAAGCAATCCAAGATTGAAATCTGAAAGCTGTTGAGCAGATGGTGCCAATTTTTTAGGAATTTTAATTTCCTCATCCGAATTTAATAACAAATCTCTATTGACCAATATTTTTTCCATACATGATAAGTATGAAAAAACCTTGTCCTGATCATCAATAGAATTGGTATACTCTTGTGCCTTTTCATCTTTATTATCATCACTATTATTTTCATCATAATCCCTTGTAATTGGCTGGTATGATAACTTCAGCAATTCTGAAAAAAAATCATTGAATTGGCTTGCCTGCTTGTTAACTAAATTTATCAATTCATTCAATTTCTGAAAGCTTTTTGATGTTGAAATACTAGTAGAAAAGTCTCGTTCAGACCCAAAATCTATCAATTTCAAAGATGTTGGAAATATTTTGTTTTTTTTATTGAATGAGGTTCTCATTTCCTCTATTGTTGATTCAACCTTTTGAGCTCTTGATAATAATATCTGTTGCCTTAGTTTTTCTGCGTCACTGTAATTATCTTGTTCTAATGTCTGCATGGACTGAATTTCCTTCATTTCATTTTCTGAATATACATCAGTATACTTCTTTTGTTCAATATCCATGTTATCATCTTTATTACCATCTTCATTATTTTTAATTAATTTTAATTTTTCATTTTCATCATCTACTTGTTCCAACTTGTGAGAACCCATAAAATAATACGCAGTTGCTATAAAAAAATAACACTGATGTAACAGGTCCATGTAAGCTCTTATTCTCATCACATCAGAATTCCTTGAAACAACCTCTAACGATTCAGAATTGTCATCAGATAATTTATCTGATTTAATTTCTTCATATTTCAGAATATCAGAAACTAATGAAATGTCAAAAGGGTCATTTATAGAGAACTTATCTTTAAGATCATTTCTCAATTGTGTTTTAACACTTTCTAAAACTAAAAGAGCACCCTTTGGGTTATTTTGTAGCTCCATCTTGGCTTGAGCTGATTTCAACTTTAACCAGTAATTATCCCTGTAAAGAATATCAAGCTTTTCAACCGCTTCAATAGTCATTAATTTTAATATGTCATCAATGTTGTGAAGTTTTAAGTTGAATTTAGAATTTTTGCTTTTTAGCTTATTATGTTCTGGGATAAGTGCATGACAACACAAATACCTCAGTTTGGATAGCCATTGATTTAGCTGCATATCTGTTAGTCGTGTAGTACCCGAACCATCAGCACTATACCCCGATGCTTCCAGAAATGCATTCCATAAATCCAAATAATTATCCCATTCGATTGGTGCAAAATCCAAAGAAACAAGGTAATTCTCTTGTTTTGGGATCTTTATCTGATCTTTTACATTCTTCTTAATGTGTCGGATAGAAATGTTGAAATCAATAAAAAGATTCATTAATTCGGTCAAATTAAATGTATAACCATTTGTAACATTTGAAATGTCATCAGTTGCTAAATCTGATTTATCATTGGACCAATTAATGACAGTATTATTAATATTGTTCACAATTTCAGGAAACTTATTAAAGGGATGAATCTGAAGATATGACAAAATAGTTTGGAAATCACGAATTAATTGAATTGGAGTACCTGATACACCCCAAGTATGAACCCTGTGTAATAAACTAGTACATTTTGCTGCCTTTGTGCTACCACTATGTAGCATTTGAACTTCATCTAAAATTATTCTATAGAATTGCATTAGAGAAAGTGGAGAGGAGTAATCATACTTTGGCAGACCAACACTTTTTCTCGCCCTCAAATTAACATTATATTCAGCGTAATGAACTTCATTGGCAACTACTGTGTATGTCGTTATAATAATATCATAGTTTGCCAACTGTTCTACAATTTCACCAATAATGTCAGTTTTAAAATATTTTTTCACATGTTGGTAGCCTTTATAATGAAATATGGATAGACCTGTGGTATGCGATTTAACTTCATTTATCCACTGTTCTAGAATAGCGTTTGGACAAATAATTAAAGTACATTTTGTCTTTAGTATACTTCTTCCATCATCAGACGAAAATGTATTATTTTCAATGCTATTATCCAAAATTTTCCTTTTATTCAATAATATAAGTGATAATATTTCAATCGTCTTACCTAAACCCATTTCTTCTGATAACAATCCCTTTGCACCATATTGACTAATACCTGATGTCATAGATTCATAAATATCTTTGGCTTCTTTATACGTTGCAATATAATTTGTAAATTTATTCCAAAATATTGGTTCTTCACCAGTACCTAATGGTTCTATATATTCATAACCATACGATACACGAGAGTTTAGAAATTTATTCAATTCTATAATCGAAATATCTTCATTGTAAATAATATGTTCCAATTCCTTATCTAACATCCATTGAACAGATTGAATCTGAAATGGTAACATTTTGACATTCAATAATGAAATATTTGGATCAAAAGAAATCTGTATATCACGTAGTTTATACTTTGTATAATCTATAATATGATTGTTAAATCTTTTTTGAATGAAATTTGTTGCATGATGGTTATGGAAATGATTTCCTTGAAATTCAGGATCATAATTAAAATCATTAAATTTTATCCTTTTCGAGAAAAGTTCATCCAACACTGTATTTGTCTCATCTGAAAATTTATTAAAACTGTATTCTTTATAAATTAGGAATATATTTGATGTTATTTTCCAAAAACTTAGATCTTCATTAAATTCTAATATTATTCCATCATATAATAAATCTTTATATATTTTTTTAATTTGGTGATCTGTCGAATTTAAATTGGATACCCTTCTCTTTTTAAATCTTGATTTTGATTTTACTTCTTTAGTTTTGGTTAAATTTGATCGTAATGATTTTTTTCTCTCAAGCTCTATTTCATATTCTAATGATTTGTTAGATAAAACATTCAATAAACTAATTAAATTTTTTTGTAGTATTATATTTTGTAAATTAACCTTTAATATTTTATCGTTATTTTCATTCGTAATAATCAAATTTTTATTATCTGTAATATCATTAAATTTTAGTAATACATTTTTAATTTTATTACAATAGTGATAATCTACGTTATTGTTGGCAATACAAACAGTAGCAATTTTATATTTCGATTTACCTGATTTACTGTTAAACTCTCCATTAAATTCAGAAGTTTGGTTTTTAATTATTGATAGTAGGTCATTTTTATCTCCATAATATTCTACAGATGTATCATCGTTTAATTCTAATTCGAACGTATTAACCATGTAAACTATTTGATTTAGGTGGTATTAATATAATATTTATGTAGTGTATTCAAAAAACACAAATATAAGTGAATACAGAATGTTATAGTACTATATAGATAGAAATTGTAAATAAATCGAATTGTATTATATCTCTTTCACAATACCAAACAAATCCGATGAGATGAATTTGATTGTATGTGTGTATATCAAATTACATCATAATTATTGAAATGAAATTTCGGAACTAGAAATTGTACGCTTTAAGTAAATTGGTCGGTCGGGTAAATTAAATCAAATTAAATTAAACTAAACTGAACTAAACTAAAAGCGCAATTACATTATAACATATTCAGGAATATTTATATATTTCCAAATTGTATATGGAATTACTTTCTCTGTTTAGTAAAGGTTTCATTTACCTTTACTAATTACAAAAGTTGTTATTTAAGAATATCCATTTGATCAAGAAACTTCCTGCTTTTTATAGCATTGCCATTTTCAATCTTTTTGTATTTTGTTCTTTTTTTTTTGTGTCACAAAGGAACACCCCTCAAGATAAATTAATAATAAATAAAGAAAAAATGACACAAAATCCAATTAATTTTATATTTGTTTGTTTGTGGCAGTAGCGGTTAAGTTTTAGACAGGTTACCCGGATCCCTATTTTTCTTTTTTAAGCCTTTCACATTAGTTGAGTGTCTTACTTACAGAGAATGCTGAGCTGACCATTCAAATTGAATCAAGTGAGAATCTCAGATATTGGCTGGTGGTATCCACTAATAATAGAAGGAAGATCATTATGTTTGTGAACCCGTGACACACATACAAGTACGTTCAAGGATAAAATAAATACAGGCCAATCAACATCTATAATTAATATAGAAAGAAATCGTCGATGCATCTCTACAAAGTACAACAATATTGTATTGATTTGGAGAATGCATTATTTGAGTCTAGAGTGAGAGGTTAGGTAAGCCAATTCTTAACCTTTAGACGTTTACTTTACAATACCTAAAAACACAAAACCCTAACCGTAGATGTGTTAGGGTATTGTTTAACCCTATCACAAAACTTCAATAAAACCATATATTTCCTATCTGGGTAAGTTGACCAACCCCTAAAATATTAGGGGTAGACCCCTGAGCCCATTGTCCTAGAAGTCCTATTGAACGAACAAACTAATTTGTAAACACTAGCTCATTATATATCCACATACACATACACTTTAGTATACGCTCTAGTACACTATGCTATGTTGATAACAGTATTCGAAACCACTATAGTATTAATTGTAAAAACTTAAAATGACAACTCCCACTCAACCACATTTAAAAAACAAGCTGTAGAAACCATCATATTTATACAACTCTCCAAACAATAAACTAACATATAACCATATATAATCACACACACACACATATATATATATATAGCTACTCTTTATTCAAAATAACCTATAATACCCTGTCACTCATCTAGGATGACACTAAATATTTCAAAATGAAATGAAATATGTCACTTTACAATAAGGTAAATTACAATATTGCATACCAAAACCTCAACAGTATAGTATATATATGGTTAAGTTAAGTTCAGTATCTTTAATGACGATAATTAACTTTACATTTATTTGATTTGTGGTTACAAATTACCCAGCATAGCTATTATTATAGTTGCTATGATATATATAAAGGATGACTGGATGTTAACTCAACCACTTTTTGCTTTGCTTTTTAACGTTATTGCTAATTATTATATTCTTATAAAGGCAATATAACTAACTATATACATAGGACCAGAGCATAAAATGAGGAGTCGCTGATAGTATATATTTGTTGAAGAAAGACATTGTAGGCTGCATATTTTTGCTATTCTCTCATGTATAAATTCTATCGATTATCGAGAAATGGATTTATTTATATACTTCATAGTTTGTTCTTTTCTATCTTTTATCATTTATCATATTTTTTCTTTAAACTCTTGTCAAAAATTATTGTAGTTTGTAAATTTGTTAATTTGATCTCAAATATATAAATGACACAGTAGATTGGGTTACATCAGTTATCAATTTATTTCTTTTAATTAATATTTATATTAATATATATTAGTTTGTATCGTATACTGAATGTTGATCGGTTTTTTATAAGGTCTGCTAATAATAGGAAACATATAGAGGGAAGATAGAATGTCAGATTCGCAACAATCTATCGAAGTTCTTGGCCAATTGATGGCTGAACTTAAAATTTGTGAAAATGATAATATTAGTAACATTTCAACTGAGATATCTTCTTTTATTAATGGTAATATTATTGAACATGATATACCTGAAAATTTCTTCATCGAATTAAATAAAGGTATTGAAGATAATAAGACAGTTTTCAATTTTATTACTGCTGTTTCTCATATTGCCAACGAAGTAAATTTATCCCCATCTGTTGAACCATATGTTGTTGCTACTGTCCCTTTGATTTGTGCAAGATGTGGTGATAAAGATGCTAAAATTAGACATGCTTCAGGTAATGCTTTAGTTGCTATTGTTAAAGCTATCAATCCTGTTGCTACAAAAGCTATCTTACCACATCTAACTGACTGTTTAGAAAAGACTAATAAATGGCAAGAAAAGGTTTCTATTTTGGCTACTATTTCTACTTTGGTCGATTGTGCTAAAGAACAAATTGCTTTAAGAATGCCTGAATTGATTCCAATACTGTCAGAAGCTATGTGGGATACTAAAAAAGAAGTTAAAGATGCTGCTACTTCCACAATTACAAAGGCTACTGAAACTGTCGATAATAAAGATATCGAAAAATTTATACCAAAATTAATCGAATGTATTGCTAATCCAAATGAAGTTCCTGAAACTGTTCATCTGTTAGGTGCAACAACTTTTGTCTCTGAAGTTACACCTGCGACCCTTTCCATTATGGTCCCATTGTTAGCAAGAGGTTTAAATGAAAGGGAAACTTCAATTAAACGTAAAACAGCTGTTATTATAGATAATATGTGTAAATTGGTAGATGATCCACAAGTTGTTGCTCCATTTTTGGATAAACTTCTACCAGGTTTAAAAAGTAATTTTGCTACTATTGCTGATCCTGAAGCTCGTGAGGTTACCTTAAGAGGTTTGAAAACTTTAAGAAGAGTTGGTAATGTTGGTGAAGGTGATGTATTACCAGAAGTTTCTCATGCTGGTGATATCAAGACTACCTTGGATATATTCACTAATCTATTAAAAGCTGAAAATGTGCCAGCAAGATTTAAAATTGTAATTGAATATATTGCTGCTCTTGCTGCCAATTTGGTTGATGAAAGGATAATAGACCAACAAGAATGGTTCACTCATATTACCCCTTATATGACTGTTTACTTACATGAGAATCAGGCTAAACAAATCTTAGATCAATTTAGAAAGCTAGCTGTTGATAATATTCCTGAACCTCCAAATAGGGAAGAAGTTGAAGAAGAAGGTGAAGATTTATGTGATTGTGAGTTTTCATTAGCTTATGGTGCCAAAATATTATTAAACAAAACTCATCTAAGATTAAAGAGAAGCAGGAGATATGGGTTATGTGGACCAAATGGTGCTGGTAAGTCAACTCTTATGAGAGCTATTGCCAATGGACAAGTTGAAGGCTTTCCAACTCAAGATGAATGCAGAACCGTTTATGTAGAACATGATATTGATAATACTCATGCTGAGAGTTCAGTCGTTGATTTTGTATTCGAAGGTGATGTTGGTACTAAGGAAGAAATTCTTGCAAAATTGAAAGAGTTTGGATTCAGTGATGAGATGTGTAATATGTCTATTTTTTCTTTATCTGGAGGTTGGAAAATGAAATTGGCTTTAGCCAGAGCAGTATTAAAGAATGCCGATATTTTGCTATTAGATGAACCAACCAATCACTTAGATACTGTAAACGTCCAATGGTTAGTTGATTACTTGATTACTTGTGGGATTACCAGTATTATTGTTTCTCATGATTCTTCATTCTTGGACAGTGTTTGTCAGTATATTATTCACTATGAAGGATTGAAATTGAGAAAATACAAGGGTAATTTATCTGAATTCGTCACTAAATGTCCATCCGCTAAATCGTATTATGAGCTTGGCGCTACAGAGCTGGAATTCAAATTCCCAGAACCGGGATATTTAGAAGGTGTTAAAACAAAGCAGAAAGCAATTGTCAAAGTTTCTAATATGTCTTTCCAATACCCAGGAACTTCTAAACCACAAATTTCCGACATTACCTTTCAATGTTCCTTATCATCCAGAATTGCTGTTATTGGACCAAATGGTGCAGGTAAGTCAACATTAATCAATGTTTTAACAGGTGAATTGTTACCCACTGAAGGTGATGTTTATACCCATGAAAATTGTCGTATTGCTTATATCAAACAACATGCTTTTGCCCACATCGAGTCTCATTTAGACAAGACACCTTCGGAATATATCCAATGGAGGTTCCAAACTGGGGAAGATAGAGAAACAATGGATAGAGCCAATAGACAGATCGATGAAAATGATGTCGAATCAATGAACAAAATTTTTAAGATTGAAGGAACTCCTAGAAGAATTGCTGGAATACATTCTAGAAGGAAGTTTAAAAATACTTATGAGTATGAATGTTCATTTTTGTTAGGTGAAAATATTGGAATGAAATCAGAAAGATGGGTTCCAATGATGACAGTTGATAACGCTTGGCTACCTAGAGGGGAGTTAATAGAAACACATTCAAAATTGGTTGCTGAAGTTGATATGAAGGAAGCACTAGCATCTGGTCAATTCCGTCCTCTAACAAGGAAAGAAATCGAAGAACATTGCGCCATGTTAGGTTTAGACGCCGAGCTGGTGTCTCACTCTAGAATCAGAGGCTTATCTGGTGGTCAAAAAGTCAAGTTAGTATTAGCTGCATGTACATGGCAAAGACCTCATCTAATTGTTCTAGATGAACCTACAAATTATTTGGATCGTGATTCATTAGGGGCATTATCTAAGGCGCTAAAAGCTTTTGATGGTGGTGTAATAATTATTACACATTCAGCTGAGTTCACCAAGAATCTGACTGATGAAGTTTGGGCAGTTAAAGATGGTAAAATGACACCATCTGGACATAATTGGGTTACCGGACAAGGATCTGGACCTAGGATTGAGAAAAAAGAGGAAGAAGGCGATACCTTTGATGCTATGGGTAACAAAGTGGCTGGCGCCAAGAAGAAATCTAAATTGTCTGCTGCAGAGTTGAGAAAGAAAAAGAAGGAAAGAATGAAGAAGAAGAAAGAAATGGGAGATGAGTATGTGTCCTCTGATGAAGATTTTTAAATTTTATCAACAACTTAAAGTTATACATAATTCTAAAGAATAATATGTGGAGTTTTACACAAATTAGGAAACAAGAACTAGAAATTTAGAAAGAGATCGATTCAGTGTAAATTATTATCGTTACAAATATTTATGGCTTTTATTTATGTGTATATCTATTTATCTATATTTTTTTTATTTAAATTAGTAACAAATGATATTTGTATAAGGGAGAAGATCAAGCTTGTTGATAGATTTTAGTTAAGATATCACATAGAGAATCATTTTCCATTATGTCTGAATCTATCGGATGGACAGAAATGTTATGTTTTTTAAAATCATTTGGTTCTAGTAATATTTCACCTTTGCTTAAATAAACAATATCTGTAATGAAGTTATTCCATGGGCAATTTTCTTGTAATAAATCTAAATCGATTTTTGTATCATGGTCGTTACAAAAATCAATTAGACAGTTCGTCATTGAATCTACAATGAATTTAACATAGGTGTAACCTGACAATCCGTAAGTTTCTCTATCGAACTTATTATTAATTAACAAGACTTTTTTAATTTTTTTATCCAATGGCAATGAATAAATCGAATGAGATATATTTCCTAAGTTTAAAATCGGCATTAAAGAAGTCATTAAAGAGCCAATTGAATATACGATAAGATCCGAATTTTCTATTTTGTCAATGACTCTTCTATTAGCCTTTGGTTTAATTTCTTCACCATAGGGATTAATATAAAATATTTTTTCAATTGGAGAAGGTAAAATACTTGAAGAATCATCGTGATCATCTTTGTCAAAATGCAATTGGGAATTTCTCAATTCTGGTAAAATATATATTGGGTTCGCGAAATCCTCATCATAATAAGTTGATACATGGGTTTTTGAATTTGACATTGATTGAGTCTTTGAAGGATGAGAAATTTGTGATTGGCCAGTGATAATGTTACCATCTTTTAAAAGGGCAGATATATGATGAGTATGGTTTGTATTTATACAAGGGATGACATTAACGTTCGAACTAGCTTTCCCTATTCTCATCATCAATTCAATTGAAGAATCCAAAGATCCACCCATGAATAATCTAATGCTAGTTAAGAATAAGTTACCGATTGATGCAGTTGAAAAATTAAAAGAGTTCGAGACCTTTGATCTTTTCAAAATTTCGCTCTGAATGTTAATCAAGAAAGACCTACATAGCTCCTTCAACTCAGGAGAGATATTCAACCAGATGTCATGGTCACCTTCCACAATTTGATTCCATTCCAACTTTGCTAGAGTTTGAGAAACAGGCAATCTATAGGCTAAAATATCGTGTATTTCCAGGTCGTTTAACAGTCTAACAATTCTCGATCTGATATCACCTATAGCAGGGCCACCAAAGACACGTAGTATTTCACTGGTGGAACCACCATTGTCAGATATTGGTAACACATAGGACAAATCATTTTTTTGATCGATTGAGAGAGAGTTAAAGCATGGAGTTAAAGAGTTGGTGGCAGTACCACCAGAAAATACAACAATTTTCATCAAAGGGTATGATTTCAGCTATGCAGAGTGTACCATTCTCAGGTACCAAATTACGTATAATAAAGAATGTATATAGTTTGAACTCTAAAATTTAGATTCATTTAAGCTCAACTTAACTTAACTGAACCTTACTTAACGTGATCTAATCAAAGTTAAGTTAAATCTGGGGGGACGGGGGAAGGGAATCAAAAATTTGAGTGTTGCAAGTGGTAAAAATAGCAGCGCACGGCGCTATCATACGAACATACATGACAGAGACCTACAAGAAGCACACTAGTCAGATACTGGTGGCTGTTTACCCATCACACAGGCACTACAGATCTACTTCTACTCTTATATATACCTATCAACCTATGTAGTCTCATTAAATGTCTCAGTTGTATCCCATCCAATCCCATCCCATCCCATCCAATAACCATCTCCCATATACTTTCTTTCCCCCTTGCCCCTCCAACTACCCTCCAAAGCAAGCATCACGAACTTCACCACCTCCCAACAAGAACAAAACAGCAACAGCAACGGCAACAAGAACACATCGTAAGGTTGAAACTCAACATACAGAGGTCAAGGGGGAGGGGAGGGGAGGAAGGATAGGGAGGGGGGAGAGTTTAGTCAAACACATCTTCAACAAGAAAGAATCTGACTCTGAGGGACCAACGGGAGTATATCTTCATTGCAACTGACTGTCTTGTAAGGTAAGGTGAACTAAAGCAATATCATGTACTGGAGTAAGAGCAAGAGTAAGACTAAGAGTAAGACTAAGAGTATGAGCTTCATCTAGACCTATCCACTCGCATTAGCTCAAACGAACTTTTGCAAGAGTCGGTTATGGTCCAAAATGAATGACAACCAATACCTGCAAAGGGGACAGACTTGTCCAAGAATAAGAACATGATCTAACAAGGTAGTTGTAGTTGCCGTGTGCGGAGTCATACATCAATCATTCAATCAACCAATGTATCTTTCTTACCTTGTATCGATTAATCAATGTATCAATCAATCAATCAATCAATCAATCAATCAATCAATCAATCAACAAGCCGACTTCAACAACTCTGCTTCAACGTCAATAGTAATATCTCCCATACCATCTTCACAACAATCCTTCTTAGAATACCTAATAAATACCTTCATTGATTGGTTAGTTAAAAGATTATCATACTTATAACGTAATCCTTTGATATATATAAGGTACTCTTTACCTGTTTAAATTAATTCTTTCTTCTTTCTTGTCTCCTTACTGTTTAAGTTATTTAAGTACATTCATTTTAGTTCAATTTAGTTTAACTTAACTTTATTTTGGTTTTATTTAATTTAATTTAATTTAGTTTAGTTTAGTTTATTTTTTGGTTAAGCTGTTTAGTTAGATTCCTTGTCATTGTATTACATTCTTACTATTTTTGCAAGATAGAATCATTACAAGGTACTTCAAGTATAGTTGGGACGACAGTTTTACAACACAGCACAACACAACGCAACACAACAATAAATCAATAAACCAATCATGTCGTTAATCAAGGTCAAAAATCCAATTGTTGAAATGGATGGTGATGAACAAACAAGAATTATCTGGCGTTTGATTAAGGATAAGCTTATTTTACCATTCTTAGATGTTAACTTAAAGTATTACGATTTGGGTATTGAATATAGAGATAAAACTAACGATAAGGTTAGTAAAGAATCTGCTGAGGCAACTTTGAAATATGGTGTTGCTGTCAAATGTGCCACCATTACCCCTGATGAGGCAAGAGTCCAAGAATTTAAATTGAAAAAAATGTGGGAATCACCAAATGGTACCATTAGAAATGTCATTGGTGGTACTGTGTTTAGAGAACCAATTATCATTCCAAAGATCCCAAGATTAGTACCAGGTTGGGAAAAACCAATTATCATCGGTAGACATGCTTATGGTGATCAATATAAAGCAGCTGACATGGTCATCCCAGAAGATAACAATAAGGGGATAGTTAAGTTAGTTTATACTTCTGACGATGGGAAAACAAATATTGAATTACCTGTACACCAATTTGATGGAAATGACGATGGTGGTATTGCATTGGGTATGTTTAATACTACAAGATCAATTAAAGGTTTTGCCCATTCTTCTTTTGAATTTGCATTAGAAAAAGGTTTGCCATTATACTCAACAACAAAAAATACTATATTGAAGAAATATGATGGTCAATATAAGGATATCTTTAATGACATGTATGAAAAGGATTACAAAGACAAGTTTGAAGCAAAAGGTATCTGGTATGAGCATCGTTTAATCGATGACATGGTTGCGCAAATGTTGAAATCAAAAGGTGGTTTTGTTATTGCAATGAAGAATTATGATGGTGATGTTCAGTCAGATGTTGTCGCTCAAGGTTTCGGCTCATTAGGTTTAATGTCATCTATTTTAATCTCTGATGATGGTAAAACTTTCGAAAGTGAAGCTGCACATGGTACTGTCACAAGACATTACAGACAACACCAACAAGGTAAAGAAACCTCTACAAACTCCATTGCTTCAATTTTCGCTTGGAGTAAGGGTATTATTCAAAGAGGTAAGATTGATGGTACCGCAGATGTAGTTCAATTTGGTGAATTGTTGGAATCTGCAACAATTGATACAGTCCAAATTGATGATGTCATGACAAAAGATTTAGCTTTGATTCTAGGTAAAACTGAAAGAAGTAGTTATGTCACCACTGAAGAATTTATTGAAGCAGTAGCAAAGAGATTAACTACATGTTTCAACAAAAAGTTCCCAAAGTTATAATGGGAGTCATGGGTAGGAGGAACAAAATAAAAGCAAAAAATAAGTCTTAAAACTTAATATTCAATACTATAAACCTAAACTTAAAATTAAAACTATGTTTCACTAATCATAACTACCACTCCTAAGCAAGGAAGCTCCCTCTCTGTCGTGGTAATTTCCCTGTAATATTTTTATCTTTATTTTTTTTGTCAACCATTGGGACATACTAGGACAAAACAAATCATTTCTATTCATTATTCTTCAAATGGCCTTTGAAAAATTTATGAGATGTTGTTAATGTTGCCTTCTTCTATAACTAATAAATATATTTTACGTAACTATGAAATAAAAGTTTTACTTTATTGTATCCTTACTAGCTGGGACATAGAGAATATAATTTGTGTCTGAAAATGATAGCCAATTGTATGTTTACTCAAAAAAGTTTGTCTCACAAGAGAGGTTGGAATTGTTTTATATTTCAATGATTCTATGCACAAACCAATTTAAGCATTCATAACTAATATCTATTTAAATTATGAATCTACCATTATGGATACAACTTAAATAATCATAAGACAAAAGAGAAAACCATATTTAGAATCCAATAATTCTACGCTATGAACTTTAAAGACGATTGTATATTAACATATCTAAGCATGTATTTCCTGTTCTCTAACAGGACGTCACAGAGAAGAGTTAAAACCAATAAATTTAAAATATCGTCCAAGAGTTTTCTCTGCAATAAGAGCGAAACTGCAAATTGAATGAATTCAGGACAATGTTGATCATCGGAATATATATCTATATATATTTGTATGTATTTCTATATGTATTTTAATTGGTTATATTGCATTCAAATGGTTATTAAACACACATCGTATATACTCTACAAAGTTGTCGACGATTTGAGGTGGCCGATGACAGGATTAATAATGGCAAAAGGAAAAACTAAGAATCTTCTCGAAAGAGAATAAACACAGAATAATTGAAACAACAATAATATTGCCCAAATTATATATAGAAGATCCATCCAAATTAGTCATGTAAAAATACTATTTGACTTCGAAACTGACGTCCAATATTGAACTGACACCAGCTATTACTATATGGGGGCTTCATTAATCTGTATTGTTTCAACATAGCTTCATACGAATTAGTAAAGATCTATGACACCAGATAATACGTGGTATTATCGTTGACACATATAAAGACTAATAGTGACTACTATTTGATTCAATTGTATATTATTGTATATTAATTACTTACCTTGTACATTAGAAGAAGAGGATATAGAACTCTTTATTAATAAATATACTTATTAACAGTACTAGTCTCAACAAGATAGACGAATAGAATAAAAGCAATACCAAGCACTTATTCAACGTACAATTATTGGATATCTATGAATTAAGAATTCACAACAAAGAATACAAATCACCAAAATCACGTGACAAATATTACCCGACTTAAACTTCAAAATGTAGGTCAAATAGGACGCATTAGGAAATTTCCCATTTGTCGCGAATTACCCATTTTATCCATGGGAATTACTGAATTAGGAAATATATTGAACTTTTTCGTTATATCACCAACAAGTTATTTTGAAAATTGATCACAGAGAGACCATTAAACTGAAATCTAATGGTTAAATGACAGTGAAATGACAAGTTTATAAGGTAAAACTTGGATTATTATTAACCTTTAAAACAAGAGTCAGGAACCTTTGAATCACAGTAGGTTTACTATTAGACAGTTCCCGTCATTTTTTTTGGGAAAAAGCATTGGGTTTTATATTATTTTGGTTTATTTTTTTTTTAAGCTTCACAAGCTTATTTGATTTATATCACAACGCAACAGAGACGAAGAAGACATTAAGTGATATTTTAAAAATTAAATATTAATTAGCATTAGAGTAGAGGTAGATAACGACGGGATAGGAATTTTTAGTACTTTTGTAATAATAATAATGGATGACAAATGGAATTTGGTAATATCAAATTTTCAAGAAATTTATAAATGTAATAATAGTTTGAAATTTGATGAGATTGCTGATTTTAATGGTGTCGATTTCGATTTAATTGATGATAAGACCTTAAGTGATTATAGTGAAAATGTAGCAAATCACTTGGACAATATTACAAAATCTAAGAACTTATTAAAAATTTTAAAAGATAATTTAGAACAATTGATTGATTCTAAACAATCTCATCCTTCAGATGAAAAGATTGAAATGCCAACACCAACGGGTAAAGGTCCAATGCCTATTGAAAAAATTAACCAAGAGGTTATTAAGAATGAAACTGTTGAAGATATAGAAAATATAAAGGAAAAATCAAAACATGACCAACTACGGGAAGAAAAAGATTTGAAACAGCCACAAATTATAGGAAGATCATATTGGATAAGCCAATTTAATTCATGTGGTGAAATTCGTATTGGCTCCAATGTAGCTTACAAACCTAAAAAAAGTATCGATGGAGAATGGTTCCATTGTGAAGTGATCAAAATTTCTCCAGATGGTTTAAGATTTGAAGTCAGAGATCCAGAACCTGATGAATTTGGCAATACTGGGAAAATTTTCAAATGTTCTTGGAAAGATGTTCAATTAATTCCTCCAGAAAATGCTACAAGGCAAAATATGATAAACTATCCACCCAATACAAAAGTTCTGGCGAGATATCCTGAAACTACAACATTCTATCCTGCTGTTGTCATAGGGAACAAAAGAGATGGCACTTGTAGATTGAAATTTGATGGTGAAGAAGAAGTAGATAAAGAAACAGAAGTACCAAGACGATTCGTTTTACCATTCCCAACAGTATCTGCAAAACCTCTTAAATGAATGACATACTCTTCAAGAATGTTTATTTGTCCTTTTTCATTGTTTTCTTTCCCACCCATTATATATGTTTTGTAATTGCTCTTGACAAATATTGAGATTACAATTACAACAACTATTGCATTAATGACAATTCATCTCCTAACATTTCCACCAAAGAGTACCAAATCTCAAACAGGGGTACCTTCACGCAAGAATTTGTATTATAATCCAATACAATTAATTATAAGTATTATAAGTATCATAGGTATAGGTATAGATACCTATGTATGTATATCTATAAGATGTATAAGATCGTAAAACAGATCACTTCATCATTACGTAATTACTGATTCTATTCACTCATCTACCTCTGTACTCATGTTTCTTCCCATTCTCATCGTACAAATCCCAATCATCTTAAAGGACGCCAGACAGAACAGACCCTTTAAAGTTTCCATCAAGAAAGTGAAAAATTACTGAAGATGAGATGAAATTTGATATCGATTTCGAAAAGACAGACTTTTATAAATGAAGAAGTGCTTAAGATATTGGTCCTGTTTGTTTGTTCGATCTTGGTTGTCACTTAAACGATATATAATTGGTTGGGATATAATTTAGTGGATAATGGTTTGGTCTATTTTTCATGTAAAGGTTCTCTTCTGGCTCACCACAGTTATCATTGTGGCAGTATTAATATACAAAAATTCAGCTAAGATAGGTATGTTATGATTAAATTTAATGGTGACAGATACATATATATGGGATTGGATGGATCTGTTGATTTCATCAGGCTCAAAAATTCTATTCCCATTGATTTAACTTATATATACTAACAATAGGGACAACAACAACGACCTCTTTCTTTTTAATATTATTGTATACAATAGTCTTAAGTAAGAAGAGTAGTGAAGCTTCATGCATTCTATAGCGTATAATATATCAGAAATACGTACTAAAATCTCTAGAAGATTTGGTGGTCATATCAGTTTAAATTCTTCGTTTGTAGAAGATTTAGAGGCTGGACTAAGTTCTAGGAACTTTGATATAATCTCTCAGAATTCGAAAGATGTCAGATCTGGATTAGATGAAAATACCAAAAATGAGATAAAAAAGATAATGGATTCTGAAAACTTAAGTTTTGACAAAGCAAGATTACAATATACTGAGAGACAATTTGGCAAGAATGGAATTGCTCCAGATGGAACTCCAATGGATCCTAAAGCTGTAACGTTTGGAAAATAATTGGAATTATGCAATTAACAACGAAAAGCAAAAACACAAGAGAGAATGAAATATAGATATTCATCTATTTTTAAACCAAGTTATATTTAAACCAAGTTATATTTAAATCAAATCAAACCAAACCAAACCAAACCAACTCAAATTAAAATACAATATTCATATTAGGGGAATTACAAAGATTATATATATATATATATATTCTATTTTATTAGGTAACTTTAGATTAATTAATGTCCTTAGGTATAAATCGTAAAAGTAATAATAACACAAAATAAAAAATATACATGTCTCGATAACTCTAACGAGAGAAATTTATGGGTATCATTTATTCTTTAAATTTAAGCCTATTTGAATTGGATTCTCCTAAATCTGGGGAATCAATAAATCCAGCCAAATAGGTATATGAGATATCTTTATTCATATTAGAATTTCCAGATATTTGCAAATTTGTTAATTGTTCTTGAACAGCAGCTTTTGATTTTTTTCCTTGCACATTTGATTCTGGCTTTCCATTAAAGTCATAAAACGGAATTTTGCTTGGGGATACCCAGATAGCATCATTGTCGTCTCTATTAAGCTTCTTAGCTCCTGAAATATTATTCGCAGTATTCTTAATTGGTGATGACTTCGGAAGTCTATATATTAATGGTGCTTGACCAGCAAATGGACTTTGGAAGGTGTCATTCTTCTTAGTTAATTGATTCAATAATTCAGAATTTGCACCCAAGTTTACACTATTCTCAACTTCATTCTCCTTAGAATCGTCAAATGACATATGGAAAGAACTGAAATTCAAATCTTCAAGAATTTCTGCTCTTACACTTTTATTTGTATCATTCACTGTCGATTCATCTGATGAATCCTTTGAGGTTTCATTTTCCATATCTTGCTCAAAAACGGCAGATGGTTCAGCTGAAGGTGTCAAATACTGATCTTCTTCCTCTTCCTCATCTTCCAATTTAATACCTGGTACCAAATCAACCGATGGAAGTAACTTTTTCGGGATCTCATTAGATCTAGCATCAGAGTTTGAATCAGTTGATGATTTTTTATCAAAATTTTTATTCACCATTGTTGGGGAGGTAGTCTTAATAACTTTGAAAACTTTATGTTGATTTTGAATAGATGGTGACTGCTTTTTGAAATCATTTGACTTTAAGACATCATCTACAATATTTTCTAGATCATTTAGAAAGTCCTTCGTTATTTCAGAGTTATCAAGAGAACTGTCTGGTTCTAAAATTGGGATATCTGAAATCTTCAATATCTTGTTGGAGTCTGAACTTTTAACAACTTCAGGTGTGACATTGTCAATATCTTTTTTGGATTCGATTTCAGTCTCTACTAAATCTTCGGTGCTTCCAAATGATGCACTTATTACGTGGTTTTCTGATAGTGACGCTTCTTGTTTTAATCTCTTCCAGTTATATTGGGCATCTAATTCATCTAGAACTAATCTGGTAATTTCAAACAATTCCTTATAAGATGCAGATCTTGAGAAATCAATATTTTTTTGAATTAATTTAGGCACTACTGGGAATATTGATTGATCTTTCATTCTTATATTCTTTTCAACTAAAATTGCATCTTCATTATCCTTGTCGACTATGGTACCAATTTTTGAGTCTGATTTAGAAGTTTGTTCAATTGCCTTTTCTGTATGAATTTCATTCTTCGAAGTTTCATCGGTGTCTACTAATTTAGAATTATTATCCTCTTTTGTGATGTTTAAAGCAAAAGTTAATGTGTCAATATCTTTTGCCCATGGAATCGTTGTTTGAATTGGAACATGCTTAGATGAAGTATTTTGTTTTAGGTTCTCTGTATTTGGATTTGAATCTTGATTATTTTGTTCCTTTACTTTATCTACGGTTGTGTCGTTTCCTACTTTATAATTACCAAATAAGTCATCATTGAAACTTTTATCAAAAATATCCTTTGTTGAAATTTTAGAATTATTCTGAATTCCATCTACTTCTTTAGTTAATATTTCTGATTTCTTAAGTTCTATTACCTTGTTGTCAGTCCTTTTATTTACCATTTCAGCCTTTTCAACTGTAGCTGGTTGATTATCTTTTGAAGAATAATAATCTTTGTTCCTAATCACAGATGAAACCCTTTGTTGTTCAGAATCCTCAATTTTATCTTCATGTCTCTCACTACTCTTATTATTTCTTTCTGCTATATTCAGGTTATTATCAGCTATTTTATTTGATTCACCTGATTTATCTATAGCTTGAGGTTTTGATATAGTTTTTTTAGATGCTTTCTGTTTTTGTTTCCTTTTCAAAAATGATTTTGAACCTTCTTTTGATTTAACATTATTATTCCTTTCAGAGGATTTGTTCTTCTTTTCTTTACTTCCAAATAATCCTATAAATGCTCCAACAAAACTTTTACGTTTTTCTTTCTTCTTGTTATCCTTCACGTTACTCTTTCTTGGTCTCTCTATCTCTTTGGCGGCACTGACCTCTGTTTTAACCGCTTGTTTCTGAGAATGAACTGTTTTTGTTTTGGGGACTGTTTTACCAGAATCTTTCAAGATTGTTTGAGGTTGTGTCCTTATTGTATCTCTTTTGTTTTCTATTGGTGTTGTTGCATCAACTTTTTCCTTGATTGGTTCTGCTGAGCCATCCTTCATATCACTTTTATAACTTCTAAATGTGGTAATCGAGCCATAGGACCTATGTTTTGAGTGGATCATAGTGAAAGAATCTGCAGAAGTCTTTCCATTAGGTTCGTCTACAATATCTTTCTTATCAACTGATCCAGTAATGAGGTTAGATATTATGACTTTATTAATATTTAATAAATCTGAAAAATTATTCGAACGAAGGGAGGAATAACAGATCGGAATTTCGTAAGACAATTGGTGCAATATTTCTGGAATTAACTTATCTGGCGAAATATTTACCTGATACTTTCTGTTATCTCTCGTCAAGATATCTAGTTGTATCGTTTCTCCATTTGGTCTATCTATCAACTTAGCAAAAAACGCCACATGAATATTATAATTATCAAGTAACTCAGCGGAAGGATCTATATTCAAAAATAGTGAGAAATTAGATTTGATCTTTTCCTTCTCATATGCATCAATTTCATGAGCAGTCGAATAAAGAAGAATTCCATTTTCATTTGCTCTAAATAAATGGAATGCTGTATCTTTCTCCAAAATTTTTGCCTTTGTTATCAAATCGGCTACTAAATTGGTAGATGTTGTTTTTGAAATAACTTTACATGATATCGAAAATGGATCTGAATCGTAGAAGGAATCGAATCTTATTATGTCTCTTTCATATACCGATACTATCACCTTATCGATATAACAATAGTTAGAAACATTTAAGGTTGGTATCTTAGATGGAAGAGGTACTTCATTGATTAATGAGTTCATTAAAACGTTAGCTAACCATGGTTTATTAGATTCCTTATCGTTATAATAATCATGAGCATCCATAATATCCAAGAATACAATGTAATCACTGAATATTACCAAAAGACCTCTGTCATTGAATTCTGGGCCTAAAACGACGTCAAATACACCAACAACTCTTCTTTTTAACCATTTATATTGTAACTCGACTGGCCATTTTTTGGCTAGCTCAGTTAAGATTTTACCTGAAGGGGTGAAGACTCTAGTACTGTATGAACTGATTGGTTCCTTTAATGTACCAAATGAATGTATAATCTCAATTATGTTATCATAGTATTCTTTTGCTTTATCCTTTTCTTCATCTGACCATTTTTGAGATTCCCACAGTCTATCCATTATTAGTTTCAACTTCATAAGCTTCTCTTGTGGCCCTTTAATAATTGTTTCTATTTTCATTTCCGTATAAACTTGTGGTGAAGGAATCTGCTTTCCAAAGTTAGCTAAGAATAATTTTATATCTTTGTTGAATTTCTTTGTTGCCGCTTCATGTCTTGTATAAGCCTTATAAAAATATGGAATGGTGACACTACATGCCTTTAAAACTTCAAAAGCACCGAATGGTATTGCAGCTTTCAATGAATCTAAAAATATACAATTGATTCTGGTGACTTCATCTATTGTTGGAGGAAACAAACGATTTAACTTTACTGTTGATAAACCATTAATTTTTTCATTTAAGACTTCGACTCTTAATGCAATCAAAAAGTTTTGTAAAAAATCTACTAAATTCAATGCAAATTTTGTTTGAAATTGTAAGAGTTCATTACAAATGGCCTTTGTTAATTCTGAATCAGTATTATCAATTTTTTCCTCTTCTGGTGGTTTATAAGTATATTCTGTTTGTTCTGGGGAATATTCTGTCAATGGATTGAATAATTGTTCAAGTTGTTCACCTAAATGATAAACCAGTCTATTATTCAATTCGATTGAAGTCGATTCATTTTTATAGATCACGTCCATCAAAGTAGATTTAACAGTTCTATCTTGAAGTAAACCTGTATTTAAAATAGTCTCTCCAAATTTTTTCACATCTTTAGTTTCTAGAATTTCACATCTACTGGCTAAATCACCAGCATGTATTTGATCATAATTATTTTTAACCACTGTAGATTTAATTTTACTAATCTCTTCTTCAGAAAGTAAAGAATATTTCTGTAATAGTGCTACAGCAATACACTTTCTTTCCAAAGAATTATTATGTTTGGGATCTAAATTTTCAATTGCAGGATAAAATTGAGATTCGTTAGAGACATCAATAACATCAGAAAATGTTACCCCAAGTTTATCTAATATTAACACGGTCTGTTTCCTATTAAGTTTATCACATTGAACACATACCATGAACTTTCCCCATAGAATTTCATCCAATCCATAATATATTTTAGAACCTTCAAAAACTTGATCTAACCAATTCTTGTCAGTTTTCTCAATCTGATATTTGTCATCCTTTAATTTATACTGTATCAGATTTTTAAACAACTCGATATTAGAGACAGAACCTTGCTGAGCATCAATTTCCCCTTTAGTAGGATCTAAGTATTTATTGACATTATTGAAAGGTGCTGCAACATTGACAGTATCAGAATACAAAGAAGTATAACTAACCTGTCTCATAACCAATAAAATTCAATCGGAAACCACTAGATCTATAAAAATCACAATTAAGAAGCCTGGATATATTAACTTCTAGATGATCTAATCCAAGTAATTCCAAAACCAAACCTAAATCAAACTAAATCAAATTTTATATCTCTTGTAGTTGTATTCAATTAACAAGTTTTAAAATCTTAAGAGATATCTTTGTTTATTTATACTATTTACTAATTAGGAAATACGGCATCGCCAAAAATTTCATGAAATATCGAAATCGAATTATAAGAACCAAGTAAGGTCAAGGTTGTTATAACAAAGGTAACAGAGCATGTAGTTTATCGATGTTTCTAGTATTTAAGATCTGTTGATTTGAGGTCAGTAGTGTTCTTTTTAATTTTGTTTTGTTGAATTTTGGTTTACAGTAGCGGAAACTGTTTCAGAAAAGAGGGAAAGAAGATCCGGTGATGTCTATTAATTTACATTCGAAATTGGAACTAGATGGTTCTTATAAGTTGATACAATTGACTCCAGATCTGATGGAGACGTTGAAGGATGATTCTTTAAGTTCGACAATGAGATTTAAGTCCTTGGATAAAGCAAAAGCCGATGTTGTGCTTTGTTCAGAGGATAAAACTTGGATAATAAGAGAAAAAAGTCATTCTAATACTGTGATGCTAATGCATGAGTTTGCTTCAGAAGGTAATCCTGTAAATAATATCGTGATTAATGGTGTCCCAGATCCTACAAGTGATTTTTTAGGTTTTTCCAAGACAACTTTTGAATATGAAACAAGACCTGCTAATGGCCAACTTAACCTTGATTTAGTACCAATATATAATGGTGAAATGAATTTTACTGTTGATTCTACAAAATTATTTACTACTAAACAAGAATTATTAGATAATTCACCGTGCTCTATAAAAGAATATCGTAAAAATTGGGCAAAAGTTGGGGGTTCTGTTATTAATGGACAAATATGTATATTATCGGCAGAGTTTTTGGCTAAGTCATTGCACGTAACTTTGATGAGTATCATGGCAGAATCTTTGGATTTAGACATCCTTTCTTTAGATAAGGTATTTGACGCTGTTGAGAAGGGATTTGACGAAGATTTCAATCCATATACTAAAGAAGTAATTAAAACAGTTATAAGGAAGTTTGGAATATCAAATGAATCTAATGATAATGACAAATCTACTTATAAATTAAACATGTTACCAATTGCAAAATGGTATGGTATAAGAGCATTGAAAAAATATGTTTCAAAAACTTCAATGTCTCAGGATGAGTTTTTAACTAATTGGAAATCTTTATTCCCACCATTTTTTCCCTGTGATATTGACATAAATATGCTTCGAGGTTGGTTTTATAAACCGACTGGTTCAAATATACAATATATTTCTAAGGAGACCATGCCCATGGATATTAAAGATAGATTTAAGATGTTATTTAAATTACAATCCCAATGGGAATTAGAAGATATAAGACCATTTATTGAAGAATTAAATGTGAAGGGATTAAAGATTGACAATTTTATTATGAAATATGCACGTCGTAAAAAAATTGGTAACTCAAAAATTATAGTTACCAGTAGATAGAAAATATTTACAAGAGTCTATCAGCTTCGGATTTTGACATAGTCAACAATGAATGGGCAGTTTCGTATACCCCTAGGAAAATTGCACCGCCGGCACTAATCCACATAGTTCTTGGACCAATACCACTAAAGAATACTTTTAAACCTTCCTCTCTATAAAGTTCTTTGGTTAATGTTGCCAACGGTATGGATTTATGGCTTAACATCAGTCTTGTTTTCAAGACATCCAAAGGTGTTGTTGAAGCCGCTGCTATACCACCTGCAATCGAACCACATATAGCACCCTTCCATGGGGCTAATTCATTAATAGGATGTCCATTTTCCTGAGACCATTTTTTTTTCAAAAATTCATATAATGGGAATTGTATACAAGTGAATGGAATTTCCCTCATAATGGTTGTTGACCAACCACGATAAAAATTTCTTCGAAAGCCTTCACCATTTTTATTCTCTAATAAAATTTTAAATGTTTTCCAAGAAGAATGTCCTCTTGTAGTTTGGGTTCTTTGTTTGATAACTTCTGCAGGCACTCTTACTAAACAAGCAGAAATTTCACCAGCAGAAGAAGCAATCATATGAGTAAAAGTATCAATGGATTGAGAAGATGAATTTGTTAAATTAATTAAAACCGGCCTCAATTTAGCCTTCATAAAATCATAAGTAATAAAAAATAAAGAAGCACTTGGAGCAGAAGCCACTATAGCACTACCCAGACCTCTATAAATACCATGATAACCCCCATTAACGAAGAATCCACCTTTGGCTTGTAACCTAGTTTTGACAGTATCAATTGGGAAGAAACTTAAATCTGTTGCAATACCTGCAGCAGCACCACTTAATAGTGACACGAAAAATCCATCATAAGACATAATTCAAGAATAATATGATGGTCTTTGGATGAGAAGAAAGAAGGTAATTGGAGTAATTGTACAAATTAAAAATATTACAATATGTTTAATGGATATAATTTTTTTGCAAATAATATATGATCTTTAACTGAACTTTATCCCAATCTCGAACCTATAGTTATTTGTAAATACCTTTTAAGAAGGAGAAAGATAAATGAAAATGAAAAAGATATCAATTAACGGAGTTCAATTAAATACAAACTTTTATTGAAATGAAACCCAACGGTTTAGATTTAATGAGGAAGGAATACCGAGTTCCCTTATGTCTAGTAACGAATTGACTTTGCTATTTATGAACTCAATTGGATAAACTGAAAACAATGTTAGAACTTGAACAGTAATGTATTAGAATATTAAGAAAATAGTTTAAGATAGGATCACAGATATACTATTTATTCATTAATTTATCCATTGATCAATTGGTTGATTCATTAGTTGATTCATTATCTATTGCGTATAGTGCTTTGCTAATTAGATCAAACGAACTAGAATAATTTTTCACTCATTATGTACGGATAAAATGTATTATAGGATAGTCAAGATGAGAAACAGATAAGGATGCTGTCACTGTAGTAGTATTTTAAGCGTAAGTAAGGGTATCAAATAGTAAGTACTTCCAATACATTCACCAGGAGGTGCTGATAGTAGATATGTATCTGAATATGAATGCAAATTCTTGAATATTCTAGTGTTATTGACGATTAAGTATATTAGTTTTATATGTAATAAACTTATGAAATATCACGTGAATATTACACTACACCATATTCCGTCTAATACGATTATATTGACTCTCTTGCTAATAGAACGTGGACCGATCTATCGCCCGATTGACCGACTCGGAGTTTCTATTACAGCAGGGTAATTTTAATATTTGCACGTGATTAAATCTACAATACCCCAAGATGACAGTAATTGAACATTAACAATATACATAGAAGACCTGAATTTTGATACAACTAAACTTATATATATATATTTATATTAATAAAGCGACTCCAATTGAATAAATATATTGACACTGATAACAACAACTATAATGCTACAAACAAGACTTAATGCAGTTCCCAACTGATGTACTCAGTTCATAAAAAACATTGTCACGTGATAATATTACCCTACGGATCACGTGATATATGCATATTCTAACTTAGTCAGAAACTTTTGATTTGGAATTTGAAATAAGAATAAAAAAAAGAATAAAGAAGAGTATTTAAGAATCATACTTAATTAAATTACTCACCTCATTATTAATACAATATTACAACTTTGCTATTTCACAAATCGGTTGAACAGTATTAAGTGAAGCTATTACACTTTTTGAAGTTAGAATAAGGTTTCATATTATTGATCTTTGGTCTCTGGATTGGGTGTGATAAAGATTCTGTCTAATTTTAAGTTTAAGTTTGCGTAATATACTGCTATTTAATTGATCAATAGCTTTATTTATTGCTAGTCGTTTCAGTTTAGAATTCTGTTCTACAATTAATTACATCTGTAATCAAGCAATGTTAAAAAATACTAGAACTAATGGATTGTTGAAGACCAGTTATAGAGTTTTCGGTTTACAGAATGTGCATCCTTTAAAGTTTTATTCTTCTTCTGCTGCTGCTACTGCCGTTAAAAAAATAGCAGATAATATTTCTTTGGAGACTCATACTGATATACAAGCTGCTGCTAGAGAACAAGCTGAAGAAAGATCATCTGCTGGTAATGATTCCGCTTCCAATGGTGTAGGAGGATTCACTGCTCCAAATGCATTGAAACATGCTTATCAAGAAAATACTGGCTTCGGTACAAGACCAATTTATTTAGACATGCAGGCAACTACTCCTACCGATCCAAGAGTATTGGATACAATGTTGAAGTTTTATACTGGTTTATACGGTAACCCACATTCAAATACCCATGCTTACGGTTGGGAAACAAATAAAGAAATTGAAACAGCGAGAGAGCATGTTGCAAAATTAATCAATGCTGATCCAAAGGAAATCGTATTCACATCAGGTGCAACAGAATCTAATAATATGGTTGTTAAAGGTATAGCAAGATTTTATAAAAAGACTAAAAATCATATTATAACTACAAGAACCGAACATAAATGTGTCTTGGAGGCGGCAAGGGCGATGATTAATGAAGGTTTCGAGGTTACATTTTTAAATGTTAATGAAGACGGGTTAATTGATTTGGAAGATTTGAAAAAAAATATACGTCCAGAAACATGCTTAATATCAGTCATGGCTGTAAATAATGAAATTGGTGTAATGCAACCTATAAAGGAAATTGGTGAAATTTGTAGAAAGAATAAAATATTTTTCCATACAGATGCTGCCCAAGCTTATGGTAAAGTGCCTCTTGATGTTGACAAAATGAATATAGACTTAATGTCTATATCTTCTCATAAGATATATGGTCCAAAAGGTATTGGTGCTCTATATGTAAGAAGAAGACCAAGAGTTAGATTGGATCCTCTACTATCAGGTGGTGGTCAAGAAAGAGGTTTGAGATCAGGTACCTTGGCTCCACCTTTAGTTGCTGGTTTTGGTGAAGCAGCAAGACTGATGAAACAAGAGTATGATGCTGACGTCGCCCATATAACAAGATTGTCTAAAAAATTAATGGATAACTTACTGGCTCTAGAACATACAACATTAAATGGTTCTTCAAAGCATCGTTATCCTGGTTGTGTTAATGTCTCATTTGCATATGTTGAAGGTGAATCATTACTTATGGCACTAAGGGATATTGCTTTATCTTCAGGTTCTGCCTGTACATCTGCTTCTTTGGAACCATCATATGTGCTACACGCTTTAGGTAAAGACGATGCCTTAGCACACTCCTCGATTAGATTTGGTATTGGTAGATTCACTACTGAAGATGAGGTTGATTATGTCATCAAGGCCATCGTAGAAAGGGTTAAATATTTAAGGGAACTATCACCACTTTGGGAAATGGTACAGGAAGGTATCGATTTAAATTCAATTAAATGGTCAGGGCATTAATCTTGCATAACTAAAATTCAAATAATGAAGAATGCTATACATTTACATATTGGATTGTTTTAGAATCCATGCTTTTAATGTTATTCTGTGGTTATTAATTAATTTTCTCCCTGGCTTATTTTATTTGAATTTCAAAGTTTTGAATTGTAGAAATTCTAATCAATTGGGCTACCATTTTTATTGGTCAACTCTAATAACTTTTACTTTATGATACTCACCCCATATGCATGTTAATATTTCTTCTTAAATTTATTTTATTTTTTTGTTTTTCGTTCACTGTATATAACAATATTCGTAATCAAGCTACATTAATCAACAAAAAATACGTTTTACATATGAATATAATTACTAAATATTTTAATTATTATGAGAATGAACAAAAGAATTCTTGAATTATTAATTAAAATTATTAGAATTTGAATTTTTCAGTTGTTTTATTATCTAGATTACTCTCTTATTTAATACATTGATATATAGTGCATGGTTAAAACATCTGAGAATTTAATAATAGTATAGTGGAAACACTAACATTTTATTTCAAAATTTCCGATACTGCTTTTGCGACTGCATCTCCAACCTCAGATGTAGAGTTGGATCCTTTTAGATCTGCAGTTCTGATGCCTGCATCCAGAACCTGCTTCACCGCTTGTTCAATTGCAATACCTTCGTCTACCAAATTTAAGGATAATTTCAACATCATAGCGGCTGACAAAATTGTTGCAATTGGATTAACTTTGCCCTTTGGTAAATCAGGAGCAGAACCATGGCATGGTTCATACAAACCAAATGCAGTGTTGGTATCAGGAAGTGATGCCAACGAAGCAGATGGCAATAAACCCAAAGAACCTGGGATGACAGAAGCTTCATCAGAAATAATATCACCAAACATATTATTCGTAATAATAATCCCATTCAATTGTCTTGGACTTTTAACTAAAATCATAGCTGCGGAATCAATAAGTTGGTGTTGAACTTTTAAATTTGGGAATTCATTTTTAATAGTTTCTTCTACTGTTTTTCTCCATAATCTCGAGGACGCTAAGACGTTAGCCTTATCTAAAGACCAGATCGGTAAAGGTGGATCATGTTGTAAGGCCAAAAATGCTGCCATTCTTGTAATTCTTTGAACTTCAGGGATAGTGTATTTCTCACAATCCCAAGCAGATCCATCACCATCATCTTCCTTTCTGTCACCAAAATATATACCACCAACCAATTCTCTTACAACAGTAAAATCCGTACCTTTGGCAATTTCTTCCTTTAGAGGAGATAAACCTAGCAACGAATCTGATACAAAATTACAAGGTCTTAAATTTGCATATAGCTGCAACTCCTTACGTATTTTCAATAAACCTTGTTCTGGTCTAACATCACCTGTGCCCCATTTTGGACCACCAACAGCACCTAATAAGACAGCATCAGAATTTTTGGCAGCATCCAAAGCTTCATCTGGTAATGGAGTACCAGTTGCATCAATTGAAGCACCACCAATTAAATGTCTTTGGAACTCAAATTTAATACCTTTTGAACTAGAACTTGCAACGGCCTCTAATACCTTTATAGCTTCATCAACAATTTCCTCACCAACATGATCTCCTGGAAGAACAACAATTTTCTTAGTTGACATTTCTTATAAATTGAGTGTATATTAATATCCTTTATTCAAAATTAGTATACTTAAATATAACTTCTAAACCTTTATCAATTAATCCCTTTTAGAAAAGTGAATGACTATATAATATTGAGATGTTTTTTCCTAGAATATTTTCCCACCAAGAGAACAATAAGTACAGTCTCGATTATTACCTATCTACTCAATTACTTCTATCAATATGTAGATATTGAATTGACAACATTGTGAAGCAGTTTAAACAAATCTTTAAAACAATATATCATCCTTTATATATCAATTTAATCATGCATAAATTGAACTATGATTAATTTTTCACCTGAAGGGGGAGACATCTACCTTGCCTTTAACCGGTTCCGGAACTGTAGCAGCAAAATTTCCGGTGCCGGCAATATTTTAATGGATCATAGTAAATATCGGTGTCAGTAATAATGGTTAATTACTCTAAATTTAGTCATAAAAATTAAAATAGTCATAGCAGAATATTATATAACTTTGTAACATTGTTTTAATATTTTATATTCTGTAAAAGTCGAGACTTTCGGATTAATCTATTGATGATTTTAACTTGTTTTACCAATCGATGAGGTTGATGGATATTTTGAATAAAAAACAACAATGGAAAAAAAATAGTTTTTAAATGTTATATAAATCACTTCTTAAAATTCTATCAATACATATTTAATTCATCTTCTGTCATGATGTACTTAATCCAGACTGCTTGGCAATTTTCGATATCAAGATCCGACCATGGCGTTACTTTACCGGGACTACATTTGTTGTGGCATCTATTGTTGCCTACAGGAGATCCTGGACAATTTATATACGGTTGGTGATAATACCCAATATCTCTAAACCAATGTATTTGTTTCTTGTCGGCAAATAGTGAAAGAGCGACACTTCTCACCGGGGCATCACCCCATCTTTCATAATAGAAACCATCTTGACTTTCTAAGAAATCCATGTACTTTTGATATGGTTCTGATCTTAAGAAATCTAAGTCTGTAATTTCAAAATTTGTCCAAAAGTGACAAGTTGAGTAACCGTTAGCTACATCAAAATTTTCAGGTTTTTGTCCATTTTCTTTTAACATTTTGAATGCACCATTTGGATTGATAAATTCAGGATGTTTCTTTAAGAATTTCATTGTTCTTGGCCATAGTGTTCTAACAGAGGCTGCACTATCATAAACGTTAATTGTATAACCATATAATTTATTGTTTTTTTCCATAAATTTAAACACATCGTAATCGATATCACAGTGTAACGAAATTCCAGGTTCTAATCTCCAAGTGTATTTGATATCTTTTAACAATGGATGTTTGTAGAAACTTCTAGAATAAAATCTACACATGTTATGATATGATTCTCTGTCAGCATAACCAACACCTTCAGAACCTAGTTTTCTGGTGGCATTGACATACGTTTCTCTGTCGATTGATTCAGGCATATTCCAAACTTCTGGATCAATGGTGCCAAATCGAATAATTCTATCTTCTGGTAAAATTTCACGGATTTGATTCTTAAAATCTTCAGTAAATTCATTATCATTTAAAAATGTGTATGGATAGTTAAATTTTCTATTAAAGGTATTTTCCATTTGTAAAATTGCACTTTTGATATCTTTAATATCTTCATTTCTAACTAATGATAGAATAGTAGCCTTTGCTGTACCAGCTTCAGGGTCATCAGCACGAACTAAATTTTTAACCTTTGGCTCAATAATTGGTTTCTTTAAAGTATCGATATATAACTTGGCTCTTTCTTTAATTAATTCATCACGCTTCTCCTTGCTTAATTTATCAGAATCCTTTATTAAAGGTGTATTCAATTGATCAAATAATGTTTTATACTTGGCCAAATCTTTAACCTCTTCATCTTCTGTATCCTTTGAAGTATCTTTCAAACCATTAGCAGGATCAGAAGTGGAGCCCCTCATTGAATCTGGAAGCATATACTGAGGTAAAACATTAGAACCTTGGATCATTAATGAATCCTTATATTTAACGATCCCTACTAAAATGACAATAAGACTTATAATCATTATAAGGAGCCTCAGCATTCGTTTGGAAACACTGAAATTAGCACCTACCATTGTGACTTGTTTAGGTAGATCACCGATATATCTGTTTTGCAATTAAATTTTATTATCTAATGATTAATGTACAAGTGCTATAGGTAACACTTGACCAAAGTAAAAGCAATATAAATATCTTAATGTATCAAAAACTGACAAATGGTATATACGTGTCGATATTCTTACAATAAATTTATCTGTAACCTTAGCTTAGCGTAGAAAAAATTAAACTGGCTTAAAGGGTCCAAGTAGTTAACCAATAATATAACCTATATCATTAAAACTATTAATCAAAAAAACATAAAAAAATTAATATCCATTAATTGATTAATTGTATTGTTGCATCGTTGCAACAGGGTTCTTAGTTGATGATTATACGCTGCTGTTGGTTCGGATCCGTTTCATTTTCGAATTCGAAATTGTTTTAATCATTGCGTTTAAGCTAAAAAAAATATTACTAGCATCAAACTGTCTTAATAAGGAAATGTGATACTATATTTAGTAATTTTGGGGGTAGTACTGATTCCGGATATTGGCAGCTATTCTTATTTAGGAAATTCCCGTTTTTGATAAGAAACGATAAGACATGATAAGATAAGATAAGATAAGATAAGATACGACAGAGATTGGAATAAACTAAATAAAAGAGGTTAGTTTCTATTTGAATTAAAGATCATGAATTCATCATGAACGTTTGTAATTGGTATATAATATATATGAGGGTTTGATCGGTGTAATAAAATTAGTATTATTGTTATTATTATTATGATTAATTAATTAATTATATATAAAAGTACAAAATAAATGATTATTGCTAACATTATGAATGAAAAATGGCAGGAGGGGATACGGATCCTGGTACAGGTAAAACAAAAAATTAGTTTGATATTAATATTACACACCTGTACTACCATATTTCTCTGACCATTCAGAGTATTCTTGTAAAGATTCCGGTGAGACACTTTTCTTGACTGTTTCCATGGCTAGTATAAAGTCATCCACGTTAACACCTCTGATTTTGTCGGTGGTAATGTCTAGAAGGTTTTCTCCCAAGTCTCTAATTGGTATCATTGCTGCCTCTTTCGCTAGCGTTGTTATATCAGAACCGGAATAACCTTCTGTGATTCTTGCAATGTGTTGAAGATCTTCTGGCGATAACGTATGCTTTTGAAAACCCAATAACTTTTGTAAATGAACTAATCTAGTTTCATACTCTGGTAATGGGATATACAATCTTCTAGAAAATCTTCTTCTTGCAGCTTCGTCGATAGCCCAAGGTAAATTAGTGGCAGCTAATAATAATACCCTATTATCAGATTCATTATTATCGTTTCCATTAGATGTAGCACTTGAAAGAATGGACCATTGAATCAACAGCTCTGTTTTAATTCTTCTCGAAGATTCATTTTCATTATCTGATCTAGCTGTTAATAAGGAATCGATTTCATCAATGAAAATGATAGATGGTGCCAGTCTCTTCGCAAGGTAAAATAATGCTCTAACTAATTTTTCAGATTCACCTAAATATTTGGATAATAATGAAGACGCACTGATACTGAAAAATGTGGAATTAGACTCGTATGCAACAGCTTTTGCAATCATTGTTTTACCAGTACCGGGTGGACCAAATAATAGTAACCCTCTGATAGGTTCTCTCAAACCTTTAAATAAATCAGGCCTTAAAAATGGGTATTCAACAGTCTCTCTCAACGAAACCTTTGCATTATTTAGACCAGCTATATCTTCCCATCTAATTATTTCATCCATAACTATAATATCATTAACAATTTGTTCACATGCTTTTTTATCTACACCTTGTAGACTATTCATTACTTCTTTGACACGCTTGCCCATTGGAGTCTCTTCATATAAATTGAGAGTTGAATTGCTGTCAGAGTTATCATAATTTTTGGTTCCTAAAGCATCCGCAAGAACAACTTTTGGTTTAGTTGAAGACTTATGGGATGAAGATAAAGGAGATTTGGGAACCTTGGAATCTTTCTTATCTAATTCTCTCTTTTCTGATTCACTTCTTCTAGAAGTGACAATTTTCTTTTGAGTTTTAACTAAACTTCTATTCAATAGAGGTTTAGTGCCTTCATGATTTGATTTAATCGTTTCGACAGACTTGGAACGTTTCACTGATTTAGGTACATATCTATCTGTGGTAGGAGTAGCTGATGAAGAATGGTGAGTGTGTGAAGAATGTGACGAGTGTGAAGAGATCGCTGTGTCTATTTGCAGAGAATTTGACCAAGCAAAATTTGCAGCTCTACCACCATTTGTTAAATCTGAAGATGATCTACGATTCACAGAATCATCAAACGATTTTCTAGAATACTTGAAATTATCCGGTAATTTCCTCGACACTGAGGCAGAATGCTGAATTGGGCGAGATTCACTCTCTGTATGGTGGCTAATACTTGGTATTGATGAAACTCGTCTTTTCTCTTGTGGCTTATTTTTAATAGGGTCCAAATTTTCCTTTTCAGTCTGTGAGTCGTCTTTCCTCTTCTTTAAATGTATCTTCCTTTCCTCGTCTGTTTTTTTACTGTATTCATGTTCTAATTGAACTCTTAATTTTGATTCCAATAATTTTTCATGCTCTAATTGTCTAATGTGATATTCTTTTTCGATAGAACTTCTTAGTCTCGACTCCATAGCTTTTTCTTCTTCGATTGCCTTATGGTATTCATGTTTAAGTTCTGTTCTTAACTTTGCCTCAATGTTTTTCTCTAGTAAGAGTTGTTTCTCCGTTTCAAGTTCGCTTTTTTTCTGTTTTTCCAATTCTCTTGATTTTTTAATTCTATTGGCTTCTTTAAATACATAACCTTCTTGTTCTTCATCTTTTTTCATTTTATTTTTGCCAATTCCCAGAGATTTATTCAACAGACTACCGACGCCGCTTTTATTGCTGTCCACGTAGGTTTTTGCATTATTCTTTGTAATTCTTATATTTTGATCCAAAATGAAAAAATCCTCAATCATTGTGATCATATTTGTTTCCTTCCAAGTGCCAACTCGTAGCACTTTTTCACAACGGTAAAGCTCTTCAATATTATTAACGCCTTCGTAGAAATCGTCCAGTAATAGATTCAACAATTTGCTTACTTTTGAGATTTCCTTTATCTCATTTCTAGCAGCGAAATTTGCGTATTGAGCATGTAAATTATCAAACTGTCTAGAAATTAGCAAATACAATAATTCCAAAGATTGAACAATGGTGAATTGCTCGGGTATCATAAACTTCCCCTTCTTGTTCTTATCATACATAATTGAAATGAAACTGCAGAAAAGAGAAGTAAAACGAAAATGCAAACCTTAAATAAATCCGTATTTATATATATATATAACCAAAAGAATAAATTAATAAAATAAATAAAATTCCAAAAGCTTTTCAACCTTGCTATCCAGATGTAGATGTATTGGTATAGGTATAGGTATATATATATATATATGTGAGCGTGTGTGTCTGTGTGTTTATAAATAAATAGATAGACAAATACGTATTTATGTATGAGAGTACTGTTTACTGAAACCAAAATCAGAAAAATAGCGTGCATAAACTTCGAAACAATTCAAACATTCTCTATAAACTACCATTTCGAAATACCTTTTTACCAAGCTTTTTAAATACTAAATATTTCACCATTTCGAGTTCCGATAACTGTTAACCTATCAAGAAATTAAAGGAGTAGGATTGAAACCAAAGCTTTAAATTTTTGCCCCGAGTTTTCCCCGTTTTTTTTTAATTTTTTTCATTAATGTATTGTAATCGTATTGTACAGTATGGGATATTGTCTATTGTATTGTATTGTATTGTATTTTATAGTTGGTAAAGCTGATCAAGCTGTGATGGTTCGAATAAAGAAAGTTATATATATATATATAATGATGGTAGGGGAAGAACTAGGTGGGAATTATGTAATTGATGCAAGAATTGCGTCGTAGTCTTTGTATTGATTGATCTTGCAATTGGCAGATATGCTTTATTTCTGGACCTGTTGGTTATGCAAAATGCAGAGAACAAGGGGTCGAAGGGAGGGAGTGTTTCTGTCTCTGTTTTGAGAGAAAGGAACAGAAAGATAGATAGAGAGAGAGAGAGAGAGAGAGAGAAGGGAGGTTGGGAGGGACTTCAGTAGATTACTTGTCAATATCATTAAAATTTTATATTATACTATATTATACTATATAAATTATATAATGTTACAATGGAGGTTAAAAAACAAATCACAATGATACTGGATTAGGGTTTACTGTAATGTAATCTGGAAAGTATCATTGTTATTTTAGTTTATCTTTGTAGTTGATCATTAAAAAAGTCGTTATTTCATTAAATCTATGTTGAAATTTTTTCTGTTTTTTCTTTAATTTTTTCTTTGGTGTTAATTCCTGTTATCGTTAATGATGTTGTTGTAGTTGTATATTTAACAGATTTGAATTTCGTTAGTTTTCTCCCTGGTTTGTTGAAAAATGTTGTCTTTTACAATACTTATTCTTTTCATCTTCTGTCATTTGTTTGACATTCCAAGTTTTAAAATTTTCAAAAATGCATATCTCTATGTTATCTTTGCTTAACTTTCTGAAATATAAGGATAAAGAATTCAATGTTAATCCATTATTGATTCTAAATTTTTCCAAGTCACCTACTAGTATCTTTCTTATGTCTTCTCTTGGTTGGTTAGGATTCGTAAAACGACCAAATTTCACACCACGATCACACTCAGTTTCAATATAATCCATGATTATTCTTCTCGTTGGGAAAAAATGAGAATCATCATGCACTTTCCATCTTCTGTACCCATAATTCTTGATCAATTGTGTGATCGATGGTTTGCCATTTAATCCAATATACCATTCAGTATATAAATCCCAAATTGTCTTGTTTTCTCTAGATAATTTATATTTAATTGATTCATTTGGATTATGCTTAACAGGACGACCTGATGTTGTAGTCGCTTGTCCCTTTCTATCAAAATGTATATTGTCACTTTGGTACTGCGAGCTATTCACTCTGTGTATTTCATCGCTATCCATATCATCAATATTGTCTTTATCATTGATATCGATATTCGTTTCATCTATGCCAGTCTCTATCGACTTTTCAGGGCTCAAAGATTTATCTTTAGGAATATTAGGAGAAGCAACAGGACTAACATTAGTGGATCTTAAATTATGAGCACGAGAGGCCATTGAACTTTGCTCTCCATTTGTGCCAAAGTTTTGCATCGTTCTTCTTAGCCTTGATCTCGCCACAATTTCTATTGAATCAGATGGTGAATTATCTTCACTGTTTGCACCATCAACATTTTGTTCAAACCCATTTGCCGCAATTGGTGTCTCTCCACCAATATACGAGTTGATAATATTACCCTTTTCGATAGCTTTTGTTAAATTTAATGGAATCTTTGTTGTTGGTAAAGTTCCAGTTAACAATGAATCTAAAGCCGCCTGTGATGGTGTCTGTTTATCTTCTAATCTTAACCTTTTATTTGGTGGCGGGTTGTAGGAGTTTTCCACATTCAATTCTGCAATATTAGTTGAAGGCGATTGTGGATAGGTAGTGTTATTGGCTATTTGATTTGTGTGGTAAGGAAATGGAAGTTTTCTTTTCTGGATATTAGAAGAATTTGTACCTGAATTATCATTTCGATACAGGTTATTATTCCCCCTTGAATAACTCTGGGGTTGATAGTTGCTATTAGGTGGATTATTATACGGTTGCATGGACTGTTGGTTGAATTGAGGATTGTTCTCTGGTAAGATCTGCGACTGTTGTTGTTGTTGTTGTTGTGGCTGAGATTGCGGCTGTTGTTGAGGTTGTGACTGAGGCCTTTGCATACCTTCAATATATTGAACTAAATTTCCTAATGTATTTGAGTTCAACATATTTTTATTTAAAATTATAATTCCGTCGGAATTGTTGCTATTATTATTAGCTGGATTTGAATATTGGTTGTTATTAGGAGTTGTTAATAGCTGTTTCTGATTTTGTAAAATTTGATTACACATATTTGTTACAGAATTCAATTCGGATTTCAGCAGAGAAATCTGTTGATTCAATCTAACATTTTCTGTTGTTAACCTTTTTGACAAAATCGAAAACTGTTCCTCCAGCTGTTTTGGAATAATATTATTACCAGTGCCTGAAATTGATGTTACGTCATTTATGTTTGTATTTCCTGAATCAAATATGATATTATTTCCATTTGCTAATTCATTGTTATTATTGTTTTCGCTAAATATATTATCATTCCAATTGATTATATTGGAAGCTTTAAAATGTTCATTCATAAATAGATTTGGTAATAACTTTGAGATAAAATTAACGATATTCGGTAGAACAGAAGGATTTGAAATTAAATATTTTAAATCTTGAACCACCGTACGACCTATAAATTCAAATAATTCGCAAATGGAATTCAATTTATAATTTGTACGATCTACAAACAAAACTTCACTCTTCAATTGTGGTAACCATGGAAAAACTAAATAAATTAATTGATCAGATGGAGAAAATGCTTCAGCTCTAGCTAATTTTAAATTCATACTAACTTTATTGGTTGATTCACTAGATAGCAACGGCACATTTAGGTTGTTGTTGGAGAAATCTAGCAGGGATATTAAATTTGATTCTAATAATGGAATAGAGTTGTAATTATCTACAGTAATTAAAGACGCCATAGCATTAGATCCATTTACTGTATTCATTATTGACGGATTAGACCATCTTATTATAAAATAAATGGATAAGGCAAAAATAGGACATTTAGTTATATCATTAACTCTTGATACAGTATTGAAATATTTATATGGGGTATTTGAATTATTATCATTTAGCTTTCTTAAAGTCAAAGAATATGGGAATGTTTGATCGACTATTAAATCTATCAATTTTAAAGAATTTAAATCATTTATATCATTAACTTTAAAATATTTCGATAAAATATACTGAGTTATTGAATAGAAATTTGTCGTTATATTGCTAGTGTTTAAATTTGAAATTGAAGTATTGTTCAATGGTATAAAATTCTGATCCTGTTTATATAATAATGACTGCAATTTGTTAGTAAAATTTGATTTTAATTGATCTTGTGAAATTGAAGTATTGTTCCTACTTTGATTTTCTTCTGAGTTTTGTAAAGGATGGAAAAATCCCTTGTTATTACCAGATTCATTAATATTATTTTTGGCATTGTTATTGTTACCGTGACTATTATTTAAATATGTGTGTTTGTTGCTGTTGCTATTATTATTTATGCTATTGTAATCAATATTTGTGTTGTAAAAATTCATTCTGGGAAGTATTATTGACGTATAATTACTTTTAAATTAATCTAAAATGCAATCGGAAATTATTATACGCAGTGTATTGGGAATAAGTTCTATAAATCTATAATATACTGATCAAATGTGGCATGACATACAAGCTTAATATGAAGGAATTCGATGAATGGATTTCTTAGGTAAGAACAATTTCTGATGAACCTTGAATTTTTAAATGATTATAATAATAGCAATTAGGATTTAAAAATTTGAAATCTATTGATGGTCGTCACTAAAAAATGTTCAAATAATTAACAATATAGATCACACATAGATATTTGGCGAGGTGACGTTAATGATGCTATATTGACGACAACAATGTTTAGCTTTATTGGCAACTATTTCCAAAGTTTCGGTCTAAGTTCCTAAGTAATTATCTAATTGTAGGAAATTGATAATTTTAAAATAAAAGTTAACTCACCTGTGAATATAAAAACAATTAAAACTGTAACTTAGAAAACGATCGAATAAATTAGGATATTAAATCAAAATTGAATTTAAAATCAAAATATGGAGTGAATGCTTGTTCCACAATACGACAGGCTAAATTATATATACATACCATAATTCAACGTAGTAATAGTAGTAAAAGTAAAAAAAAAATGTAATAATGGGATGTTAGTATGAGACAAAAGCACAATTTAAGAATAATCTAGTGAACTAAACTGGCAATTCAGTTAATTAGTTAATTAATTAATCTTTTGGAGGAGGAGCAGTAGAAGAAGAAAAAAAACAATTGGAAATTCCGTTAAATTAATAAAATCACTGTTAAAAAGTTGTAACAACAGAATAGTTGCTTTTAAAAGATATTCTTAAGCAGTACAGAAATTAGTATCTCGGAGAGTGGGTTCTCACTAGTGAAATGTTGTTAATAATGAGCTAACAGTATACAATCAATTGAAACCCAAAATAAAAAAAAAACTAAATTAGTGGTAGTTCATTTAAAAGTCAAATATAATTATAACAGTTAGTCAGTTACCGAAGGAATTTACTAACTAGGACTGAAATATAATGTCTTCTTTCTTCAAAAAAATAAAAAAAAAATAATAGTAATAATTGAATGAGATTTTAAACAAAATTTAAGCTACCTGAAACATAGTCTAGTGAAATAATAATATGGGAACCCAACTAAACTGCAATGTTAAGTTAAAGGTATTTAAGTTTTCCTACTTCGAAATATCAGACCCTCTTTCCCTCTTTTCAGTTTTCTTTCAATCAAGAGTGTCAGTATTATTAAAAAAAAACAATAACCTAAATAGTAGAAGTGGGCTAGAATAGTACAATTATTGGAAAGCTAATTGATCCTTATTCTTCGTAGTAACCAAAAATATAATTCAACTACTTGTAAGTTAATTCTGTTTGATGGATGGCGATAATGTATTAAAAAAAAAAATGTCTAGCCAAAATCAAACCTCACTATTGAACAAATCTCTCTCTTTCTATTGGAGTCTTCTATCTGTATCGAAACGATTCTTTAATTATTAGTACTTTTGTTTCTAACAAGGTGTATATCAAATTTTTAAAACTTCGCTACAACTTATTATCCATCTAACTATGTATATGGTATTATTGTTAAGAAATTTGATAACTATCCAACAGTAGGCAGCAAAATAAATTATGTAAAAACTTAACTGTGATTATTTGTAGCAACAAAAAAAATAAATTACCACAAGCTCTAGAATAACTCTAAGTATCAAGGAAACAATAATGCTCTTGATAGATAATAGAACAAGGTACTGGCTGTATACCTTTGATGCCTTCATCCATTAACTCATTAATTACAAGGAAAGTTTAATGGTTTGACATGAATGGAAACGAGATGATATTTAATGTTTGTTATGCTAAAGTCTAAGTTTAAGCTCAGAGTGTTGAGATTATTCGATTTCGAAGAATCCAATAGTAATAGTAATCGTAATGGTAATGGTAATAGTAATAGTAAAGTAATAACATTAACAGTATGAAAAGTTTAATTTGCGTGTGGACTCAACTGGACTGGAAAAGAATGGTTTGAGGGGAGGACGAAAAAAACATTTTTTGAGAAGAGAGAAAATAGAGAAGAGCGTTGGGTATGGTTTGATTACCCTGACATTCCAGCTTCTACTATTTTTGTTGATCGGGTGGGAATAGGAAGCTGCATTAGTGGACGCTGTTGCTGGGTAAAAATTGTGGAAGCTGGTACCATCACAAGACGTGTATGGTTAATATACACGTCTCTCTGGTTCCTACAATTGGATACCAAAGATGCATTCATATATGCATGTGTCGCAGACAATTTTGTGAAACGATTTAGTTGCACTTGTAATAACATATCATGATCTCATTAGGTTTGATTGGGTTGGAGGAGTACAATGGAGGGAGAAATTGGACCCGTTCGCGGACTATTTTTGGTTTTTGTTATTATGTCTATTTTTTTTTTTTAATTGTTTTGGTTCCAATTCGAAAAATATTACTGGAAGTCAGCACCCACTAATTTCTCTTACCTGAATACTTTTGGCATCCTTAGCTACACATGAGCATTCGTCATAACAGTCAAAAAAAAGATGATGATGATGATGATGATGATGATGATGATGATGATGATGATGATGATGATGATGTAGTTGTTTTATTGTATTGGTCTAGTTTGAATTTCCAATTTCAAATTTAGAAATAAAGCGTCTAGATCGCATCTGGTTGGTCGGCTATTTCACGCTCATGTCAATTTTATTATAGCATTACCCTGCCATCCTTCTTTTTGCTTTTTTCGTCGCTTGCAATAACCCCACAAACGACTATATCCGTCGGACCATACTTTCTCACTCGGTCACAAAACCGTTTGAAATGTAAAAAAAATAATTTTAAAACAAAAAGAAAAACACCAGGTCACGTGTTCTGCTCAGGGTAACAATAAGCAAAATATTTCGATCATTGCTAATTCACATCATTAATGACGGATATCAATTCTCCTTCTCAAAATTTAACCTTTTTCAAATTTGAAGATACTTCCCTTTACAGTTCAAGAATTATTGAATAATTCAAATTATTGTAGCAAGATTATAGAGATGAACACGAAACAAACTATTTGAATAGGATCAGTTTTTAAGCATATATCTGAGAGAACCAATTGATCGCAACCAAAATATATCAATAATATAGCGGAAGGTATAAGGCAGGCTGTAAAGTATGAGCCTTTGATCGAAATTGATTACTTATAAATACATATTGAAATTATTTAATCAATTTTTATTAGTTTTTTTTTTTTGTTCATCAAATCAAAATTATAAGGGTTTGTTTTCTCATTCATCCCCATACATTATACAATATTCCTATTGAGTTTAACAATTTTCGAAGGATCTGTTTGCTTACAATTGATATATAATTATTCAAATCAAAATAAATCAACAAAAAACAAGGTAAATTAAAAGATTACAATTGCAATGACTCAAAATACAGGTACCGTTGATACAATAAATAAGAAACCTGTGGTAGCAACTAAAAGTCCGATGAAATCAGCACCTTCAGTTAACACACCGGCTGCTGCTACTAGTACTGCTTCTAAGACTATTCCTACTACTACCACTGCACCCACAACTACAATTAATCCGACGACCAACAGTAATACTAGTATTCAAAACAATACAGATACAAATACTAGTAATAATAGTAGTGCTATTACAGCAAACGCTAAAGGAATATCAAATGCAGTTGCAACGACCTCAAATGCAGTACAAAAGCAACAACAACATCCTCCACAACAGCAACCCTCCCAACAACAACAGCAAAGTGCTGCTAATCAGAGTAATCAACAACCGGGCGCTGATATAAAGAGATTATTATTAGAATATATTAATAAAAAAGGGTACCATAGAATGGAGGCAATGTTGAGAGTAGAAAGTTCAAGAACTTTTACTCCTAAAAATGTAAACTCACCACAATTACCAAAATATTCAGATTTCCAAACCCCTAACGAATTGTTAAATAAAAAAGTATTTAAACCTATAAGCAATCCAATATCAACGGTTCCTGCTAAAAGAAACAGCAGTGGTGACCTAATACAACAAAAACAACAACAACCAAATGAGCATGAACAAAAGAGAAGTATTGTTGAAATTAATGAAAGAACACTGACGCGATCATACGCTTTATTGAAGTCATGGATTGATAGAAATTTATCAATTTATCAAGAACATCTCAAGAACATCATATTATTCCCTATTTTCATTCATACATATATCAAGATGAAGAAATTGGTTAAAACAAATACAATTTCATCTTCTAGATGTGAAGCTTTCTATTCTAAATATAACGAATTTACTTCAAATGGTACAAATAAAGATACCATAGAAGCATTGCATAAATTAGTTTCTGATATTGACGAAGAAGATTTTAAATACGTTGTTATAGTATCAGGTAGATTGTTCTACCCTTTGTTAACCCATATTTTGGAGAATGAAATGATAGGTGGTAATTTATTGATGGACATAATAGACAAATTTATTGCATTCAAAATCGTTCCAGATCTAGAATCAAATTCTATTAAAAAGCTTGAAAAAGATGAGGATTTCTTTAGCCTTGAGGAAAATACAATTAAATCTCTTGATGAAACAAAACCTAACGACAATGAAGAAAAACCGAAAGTTATTACTAGTCAAGAAGTGACAGATGATTCGATAAAAGAGGACGATATTGTTGATGATACAAGCAATCAAATAGAGAGTAAAAATGAACCAAAAGTAGAGAATGAAAGTAAAGAAACCAAAGTTGAAACAGAATCAAAAGAACTCAAAATAGGTACTGCATCAAATGAAAATAATGACGATGTCAAATTGGATTTGGCAGTTACAGAGAAAAACAATAAGGGCCTTGTTAAGAATATCTTGGACTTTAAAGTTCAAATCCAAAAGTTTAAAAATGCTACTTCTTCCTTTTCTATGGATAATTTACAAGTATCTTTACCAAGTGTATCAATTTATACATTTCATAACACACAGAAAAATATGACGTCACTCGAATTCAGTAATAATTACAAATTAGCTGCATCGGGATTTCAGGATAGTTATATTAAAATTTGGTCACTGGATGGGTATCCCTTATCAGAGAACGACGAAATGCCAAATAATCCTATTTCATCTACTTGTAAAACATTTATAGGTCACAGTGGTACAGTTTATTCCACAAGCTTTAGCGCTGGTGATGAATATTTGTTATCGGCATCCGAGGATAAAACAGTGCGATTATGGTCAGTTCAAGATGATAAGCCATTAGTGAGCTATAAAGGTCATGAGAAGCCAGTATGGGATGTGGAATTTTCCCCTAGTTGTAATAATTTGTTCGCAACGGCATCTAACGACCAAACTGCTAGGCTGTGGTCTTGTGATCGTGTCTATCCATTAAGAGTGATGGCTGGTCATTTGAATGATGTTGACTGTGTTAGCTTTCATTCAAATGGTCGTTATATTTTTACAGGATCTAGTGATAAAACGGTAAGAATGTGGGATATTAATACAGGTGATTCAGTTCGTTTATTTATGGGTCATAATTCCACTGTGACTTCTCTTTCTGTTTCTCCTGATGGTAAATGGATTTCTACAGGTAGCGACGATGGTATAATTACTATTTGGGATATCGGCAGTGGAAGAAAATTAAAAAATATGCGTGGTCATGGTAAAAGTTCTATCCATTCATTATCTTATAACCCAGAAGGTACATTATTAGTTAGTGGTGGGGCAGATCAGTCAGTAAGAGTTTGGGATTTGAACAAAGGAACGTTTGAGCCTAGTCTGACACCCGAAGAGGTTTATCAAGGTCCAATGGGTAATGATAATGTTTCTTCTATGAACCAAGATATAAAAGAATATGGTAGAAGAAGAACTGTGATCGCAACAAATGATTTGTTGGCTTCCTTCTTCACCAAAAAAACGCCAGTCTTTAAGGTTAAATTTACTACTTCAAACTTTTTACTTGCTGGTGGTGCATCATTCTCAGAATAGAAGAGTCTTTTTTATTTTATCGAGTTATATAAACAGTTGTAAAATTACATTAATAAATTACTTAAAGTTCTTTGCATTAACAATTCAGTACCGGTCTTTTAGCATCCCAACTTGTTATTAAACAATCTTTTTCATCTCTTCCGTCACCATCTTCTAGCATTCTATAATTTATTTGCCAATAGATGAACCAATGAGGCAACACTATGATATATAATAGGAATGTGGAGAGTATGAGAATTGTGTAGTGCCATCCTAATATTTGTGTAATCACAGCATAAACAATAATATTTGAAATAAGTGCCAATAGGTATGATGGAACTATTAAATTTGGTAGAAGTACATTGACTTGAATGCATATGTATAAAAAACAGAAAACTTCGGTAGTAGATGATAATCTTGATGCCAAGGCAGTGACTACAGCTAGTAGTAAATTAGTTGATACATTTGACGACTTCTTATCCTTAGTATTAGATAAAGCGCTAATATACATTAATGTCAACCAAAAAGACAAGGTCCAAATCGAATCGGAAGCAGTCGTTTTAGAAAGTGATTTTAGAACAGGTGTTAAAGTTAACATTGCAAAAGTGATAATAATAACAGATTTTAAATTTAAAAGGCGTACGAATAGTGGATTGTCATGTTTTTTAGACATTAATAGGCAAGAAACAACTACAGTAACGACGATTGTTAAAGGCAATGGATCTTGTTTGTAATAATAAATATATGCAAATATAAGGAAAATGGATGACACATTCAAAATGCTTTGATAAAATTGGAAGAATTCATATCGTACCTTGAAATAATTTGATTCATGTTTGTAAGGGGAATTCAAAAAGTTAAGTCTCTTATGGAATGTTTCGGCTTTCTTGATAAAATTGGGATCTGTATAATTGTCAGGATAATCCTGCTTCAACCATAATAGCCTCTTCCACGGTTTCTTCTCCATAGATCCATATAAGTTATATATGTTTGGTCTTCATGTTTTTGTAGTATTTAATATAGATCTTGTATTAATAGTAAGATTAACATTCTTTTTCATTGTGTTAAGTAAAAATCAAAATCTCGCTCCATCGCATCAAGCATAACGTCTGATAGCGCCATATATTTTAGCAGGATGTATTCACGATGCCAAGCAAATAGCTTTAAAATCAATCTGCGATTACCAACATAATGATAGATAGATAGATAGAATAGTCAATTAGTCATTAGTTCTGTTGGAATATTATTCACATAATAGTTTTACAGGAGTCATTAATATTCCAATCCCTACTTGTGTCAATCGAGATTATTATGCATTCGAACAATACTTTAAAACAGTTCTGAAAGAATCCAGAGGCAATTGACTTGAATTACCTTGTCAGCAATTTTTACCTTCCTTGGTTTCTATTTCTGGGTTTTACTTATAAGTTTGGTAAGATGTTCCTCGTCTAAATCCATTAATTTAGCAATAATAGGTTTTCCTCTGTGAACAAAAGTTTTAGGATTATAGAAAACATTTCTATGATTTGGAGGTGCTACACCGTTGGGATTCCAATGGGAATCAAAAAATATACTCTTTCGAAATAACTCATCGCTTCTTATTTCATGTTCTTCATTATTTTTAGTTTTTTGCTTCTTTCTTGATTCTGTTGTGTCATCACCTGAATTAGCTTTGTTCTCTTCATCAATTTTCTTCATATTAATATAGTTCATTAAATTAATGGCTTATAGCTATTTTATATAAATGGTTTAGCTCTACACCTGGTTTTTAATCATCTGTGTTATCCTTAAATTCTTAAGTTTATATATCAAACACCGTTTTAAATCAATTTTTTATTCCAGGAAACTTAAATCACGTGAACATCACCTGTGTCATAAATTATAACAACATCGATTAAGAAGCTTTATAAGATTTTATAATCACCTTTGATAGAATGAAGCCATCTAACGTGGATCTAAATGTATATATATTAACTAAAATTTTAATTGGATGCTATTTTGCTAATATAGCCTAGATCTTTCCAGGTAACAATCTCAAGTCGGTTAGAACCATGCATACATAAGGTACGCCAGTAATTATCTCTTCCTATTATAAAAAATACTTATATGTAAATTGCAGAAGATGGTATATTGATACTCGGATATTGTATTAGTTTTGTAGAATTATTTGTACGTTTACAATTATTATGATCTAAATTATAATTATATATAGTAAATGTGAAATGACCTGGATTAAACTTGACAGGAATATAATCATTAAATTAGATTAGATGAAAGTTTCATATGGAACTGGAGCCAAAGTTTGTGGAACGTTACCTTCGGTAGAAACAACACGAGCTTCTCTTGGTTGAGCTGGTTGTCTCTTCAATTGGACAGCAACACCTTGAGCCTTAGCTTCAGCCTTCTTAGCAGCGTTAGACTTGACTCTTTCCAAGAATTCTTGTCTACACTTAGAGTGCTTGATGTGTTCAACTCTCAAGTTCAATCTCTTTTCAAGGTATCTGTTACCGACCATCTTGTTGACAATGACACCAACGGAAGATTTGGTGACGTTGTAGACAACACCAGTCTTACCTTGGTAGAACTTGTGTGGCATACCCTTTTGGATAGAACCATTAGCCTTGATGTCGACGATGTCACCAACCTTGTAGACCTTCATGTAGGTAGACAAGGCGATGGCACCGTGCTTTCTGAAGTCACGTTGGAACATGTAACGAGTACGTGATCTATAACCGTGTCTGTATTAATATGATATTCGATTATAAAATATCAGTTGTTAGTATTCTTGAAATTCAAGTTGAATACAAAAAGTTAAAACTAGCCCCTTTTCTTTCATTTGTTATTGAATAATTATGTAAAAACCGGGATTGAATGCTTTATCATTTAAATTCAATTGCAATTCTTATTGTAATTGTACTTGGAGATTTATAATTTTGCTGTTAAAGTGCCTTTTTTTCATTCCTAATTATTGCAGAAGTCCTTGTAGATTAAAACAAGCTTCATCATCTATTCCATACTACTCTCTATCGTTTCAATTATCTATGTATATATCGAGTATCAATCCTCAAATGCCCACTTTTATATTAACAAGCTCATTTCGAGAAGGTATGCATAATTCTTCAAAGTAATCCATTATTGAAATTGGAGGTCTTGATTTCTACCTTTATGATTTAATTTATTTAATATATCTTAAACATACGATTTACCCATTTTGTGCTATAGTTCTATTTGGTGGTTGACTTGGTTGATTAATATATCTACTACAATACTATATTTTTACAATAAGCCATCTAAATATACAAATTATAAACATCTTATAATAGTGTAATCGTGCAATACTGACGAATGCTTTTGGTGGGTGCAGCAGTAGGTCAACGAGGATAGTAATTACATGCATCTACAAGGTCAGAAACTTACGAAGAGCATCACATATTATTTTCCATAATATCAAACTAAAACATAACTAATTGAATTGAATTGAGCTGAACTGGACTGAACTGGACTGAACTGAACAAAACTAGTCTAGTCTAGTCTAGACTGAGCAAAAGCTATATTCAAGCCCTCTCCTTACAGTTCACTTCAACCATCAGGCTTTAACAAGAGTACAGTAACTAGCTAAAATCTATTTGGAATTGTCGCTATCGCTGAAAAATTCCAACGATGAGGTAAGTACAATTTCACCAAATCAACTTTCTAGTGTGATGTGGGTATAATTGGAAAAATTCGTTTTATTGCATCATCTGTCAAACGAAAAAGTTTAGGTTACAGAGGCCTCTCCTACATTAATTGATAAGAGAGATAACGTGACCTTCCACTTCTATCTTCGTAAAGATATGTGATTGTTAGAAAGAAAGTCCCAGTAGAGCTTTCTGCCTAAGAGACGGGTGCCGAGGACAAGGACCAGTTGGAATAACTGCAGTCTCTCTTTCCAGAATGCTGAGACTTCAAATTTATTTTTTTACGCGCGTGATCCAACAATTTTCATATGAATTGATAATTTATAGCGTTTTTTTTATATGTTTGTTAAGAATTATTATAAACAACAAACTTATATGTGATGTTCAGATGTATTGAAAACAGTCACTTTGAAAATAAATATATAGAGATTATGTACAATTAATCACTATTGTTCTAATGTCTAGCACATATATATGAGTTAGGTGACAGTAATTAAACTGAATGGTATTAAACTAAAGAGTTTTGTAGATTAGAGGAAATAAATTAAGAAAAATTATAAATATGATACAATAGTTATATTTTAATTATTTATTTATTCTTCGTCTTCAGCGGCTTCTTCAGCACCTTCAGAACCCTTACCGGTGTTCTTTCTGGCGACTCTACCTGGTCTAGCACCACCGAATGGAGAAGTAGTAGCAAAGTCAATGTGCTTTTCAGAGTCTAATCTGACCATGAAGGATGGGATGGTGACGATTTGCTTACCAACAGCAATGTGTCTTTGGGAAATCAAGACTCTAGCGTGGTGGACAGACTTGGCCAAACCCAACTTGTAAACTTGAGTTTGCAATCTTCTTTCCAAGAAATCTTCGACCTTCAAAGCCAAGACATAATCTAACTTTCTCTTGTCTTCAGATAAGACACCGACTCTGGTCAATCTTCTGATCAAAGCATTACCTTCGAATAATCTCTTTGGGTCTTTTTCGTCTCTGGTCAATAAGTCTCTGGCAGCACGACGAATCTTAGACAATTGGAAAGAAATTCTGTAGATTTCTCTCTTGTTCTTCAAACCGAATTCACCAGCCAATTTCAATTCAGCGTCCAAACGAGAAGATTCGTATGGTCTCTTTGGGGTAGAGTAGGTCTTGGAGTAAGTTCTTGGGGCTCCTGAATTAAATTAAATGGAAAAGTTGATGTTGTTAGTTTAAAAATGAACACTTGAGTTGTGGAGGGGAGTGGTGATGGTATATACATATACAAGAATGAAGTTATGCTGCAAAGAGGTTCAAGAGGTCCATACAATCATAAATAATTCAAAGGAGATTCTTAATTGAAACGTGTTCTATGCCTGAGACAGGGGGGAGTGTGACATAAATATTTCTTAAAATAATTGAATTGTAGTGTCGGGAGTTCAATTCAATAAAGATGAACACATAAAAACAAGTTTCAAATCTGATAAAATAACAAAAAATCTTTAAAGGTATTGAATAATTCAATGATCATGAGGACCCGAAACCTCTATATACACTAGGTATGTAAAAGGTTTTTATTTAAAAACCAAACATAACTATCAATCTGTATGATATAGAATGAAGTGGAATAACTTGATATACGTACTTGGCATCTTAACTAGTCTTATTCACGGGTTCTTTAAGCAAGAATTGGAACAAGTAATAAGAATTGCAAATAAGAATTAAGTTAAATAGTATGAAAATGCAACTTTAAATTTGAAATAAGAATTAAATTTCAAGCAGTTTGAAAAGAACAATCAATGAATGAATGAATGGATGATATGAAAAATTGCAGATTGAATAGAAAGAATAAAACTGAAAAGGAGATGAGATGAGATGAGATGAGATGGAAATAATAAAAAATAGAAGTCGATGAGACCAACTTGAAGATAAAATTTTTTTTAAAATAGAGTACTTGTTGTGTCGAATCCCAGCATTAACTAAATATGATTATAATAATACATCATGGATAGATGAAGTAATACGTTAGAAAGAAAAAAAACTTAACTTTCAAAGTTTGCTTTGGTAGAGAGACGAGACGGATGAGAGACGGTCTGGTCTTTACCAACGGAACTGAAAAAGCACAGCATAAACACCAAAAACCAATCAAACAATGTGATATATAAAGTAAAAAAAACAGTAAAAATTCTTGGAGAGAGGAGAGTGTAACGTGGGACGGGACAGACAAGTTACTTATTAAAACAACTCAATCTTGTGTGGTGATAAATAAAAAAGTACCAAACTAGATAGTTTGGTACAGCCAATACCCAACAACGTAGTTAGCAACCTTTAATTTATATGTGTATGTGTATGTGTATGTGTATGTGTATGTGTATGTATGTATGTATCTTTCTCCCTACAATTAAATTAAGCTTCATGTCAAAAGCTCTCTTTCTCTCTCTCTGTTTCTTGGTTTTTTCTAAATTATTGTTCAGTGCAGTGGCTGGACCGCAACCTGGTATCATAGCGCAGCACAGGTACATAACAATCAATCGATCAATTGATCATAGGGAAATTAAGAAGAAGCAGAATAATAATACGCCAAACGCGTAAGAACAGTCCAACAACAGAGTACAGTTTAAATTATGCCCTGTGTGTCAGCTCGAACTTTACTTCTTGCCCAGCGCCCCCTCTATCTCTCTGTATCTCTCCCCCATTTCAATTTCATCTCGTCAGTAATCCTTCTCAACGAAACCGCACTGCACTGCACTGCGCTACACTACACCAAAAACCAATAAAAGCCAACCAGTAAAAAGAAAAACACGACAAAAAAAAGCATTAAATAACACAAAAAACATATTGATACTGAAAATAGGCTGATCAGTCCAGACGTGCCCCCGAAGGAAAACAACTCTTATTATTTTTTTATGTTTCTTCCCGTACTGTATTGTACTACTTGCCAATACAACTCCCAAAATCCAAAATCATCGTCGTCGTCGTCGTCGTCGTCTTCAAGGAAGTTTAACAAAATGTACTACGCTATACCATCCCATCTGAGACTACTCTTTGTAATGCCTTTCCAAATTCAATGGATCAATTGCTGCACGGCCCCATCTCTAGGTCAATAAAGACAGAAACTGATTTTTATATTTTCTTTTTTTTGTTTTCTAATGTTTTTTGGTTTTTTGGTTTTTTGTTTTGTTTTGTTTTCACAGATTACGTTACTTAGTACACCATTTTCTTTCTACCCTTGCCTTCTTCTTCTCCTTTTCTCTATGTCTTGCTCTCTCTCTGTCTCTTGTCAAGCAAAATTAATTTTTTTATCATTATTTTTTTTGTCGCCTTTCTTCGCTCGTCTGCCTGGAGTTCCCGTAATCCATTCCATGTATATGTGTATATATATATATAGAGATATTCAGATGCTACTTTTATTATATTCTCTTGTACTAATTAAGGTGCTTTTTATGTGCGAGATGGCCCGTTAAAATTTGTGCTTAGTGGTGTTTTGTTTTCGTTGTTTTTTAATTTTAATTTTAATTTTAATTTTTTTTTTGTTATCTTCAAGTTTAGGCCGAGATATATAAAAAGGGCGGTTAATCCTTTTGTGAACTTTTATTATCGGTTTGTTTACACAGACGGAACCACAACATACACTTGCATTTTAGCAAAACCGTCATAATAAAAACCATTGTTGTTTCCTTTTTTTTAATTTTTTTTTTAACGTTACCAGTACTTCGGTTGTTTCTGGATATACGTAGTTGCCACACCTTTTTTTTTTTGGCTTCCTTTTTCTCTTCAACTGTTTCGGCGGCTAATTTATTATTGAGACCGGCGAATATAACAGTAGGGTTAAGGTACACACATACAATCCAAGAGAACTTTGTTATATTACAATTGCATTATTATAATCTCTTTTCCCTATTTTCATTTTCATTTTCATTTTTCATTTCATTTTTTGTTTCGTGTCATTTATTCTTTCACGTCTCATTGTGCATTTACTTATAGGCTGGGAAGAATCACTCACTGTTGTATTCATATTACTTCTAGCATCTCATTATCAAGCATATTCTCCCCCTCCCTCCCCCCTGCGATAACATATACTTGTAATTTTAACGCGCGCGCTTAATTTATTATTTACTTTTTTTTGTGGCTTCTGTTTTGTGTTCTTTTCCTCTTGTAATTGACCACAAAAACGATACAAAAAAAAGGTATACCGAGAAAATAAAAAAAATTTGGGCGGCTAAAAGTATTATCTCACATATAGATACTCACAAACATAGACTCTCAATATGACATCTCAGGTTTCAAGACTAGACAGACAAGTTATACTTCTGGAAACAGGTTCTACTCAAGTAGTACGGAGCATGGCGGCCGATCAGCTAGGTGACCTGGCAAAACAACATCCGGAAGATATCCTACTACTTCTATCAAGAGTGTATCCATATTTATTGTCAAAAAAATGGGAAACTAGAGTCACCGCAGCAAGAGCAGTAGGTGGTATAGTCGCAAATGCAGAAATTTGGAACCCAAACAAAGATGATGAGGACAACAACACCATAGATATCAATGTCAAAAATGAAACAGATATTATACAAACTGATGAATTTCAAGAAAATGCAAAAATTAAAATAGAAAAAGATATGCAATTGAAATTAGAAGAAATTGACGAAGATGAACTATTAGATGGCGATAAACCTTACTACTCGCTATCAAATTGGAACTTATACGAATTATTCAAAACTGGTAAAACTTTATTAGCATCAAGTATTAATGATTTTAATGATAATAACGACATAAATGCATCTAGAAAAAAATTAATAAAAACTGATCAAAATAATAATAGTAACGATGATGACGATAGTAATAGACAAAACAGCAATAATAATCCAAACATATCTGACGTCAAGCAAGAGCAACAGCAGCAGCCAAATTCAAACGGTGGTTCCAAAAAATCAGCTCGTATGCTTGCAATGGCAAAGAGAAAACAGAGAATGCAAACTAAAAATATATCAACCAAACCAGTCAATTTGACAGAAAGTTCAGTTTCAAAAAATCTGTTGAAATCAAAAAATGGAAATAATAATAATAACAATGTGAAAAACGAATCTTCAACACTTGTAAACCCAAAAATGGAAATCACTGAGCAATCAGATTCAAACAAAATAATGCTAGAAGCTGTCGTAGAACCGATCCTAGAAAAACACGAACGTGTCGCAGGCTTGGTTTGGCAATTTCAAGGTATCTATGAGTTATTATTGAAAAATTTGGCTCATGATAATTGGGAAATTAGACATGGTGCAGCTCTAGGTTTACGTGAGTTAATGAAAAAACATGCTTCAAGTGTAAGCAGACTTAAAGGAAAATCTAAAGCTGAAAACGATAATAGAAACTTCGCAAGCTTAGACGATTTAGCAACTAGATTATTAACTATATTCGCATTGGATAGATTTGGTGATTATATACATGATACAGTTGTAGCTCCGGTAAGAGAATCCGCAGCTCAAACGTTAGCTACGCTATTAATACATTTAAATGATGAACTTTCAATGAAGATTTTTAATGCATTACAACAACTTGTATTTCAGGATTTTATAAACACACAGACACAAAACTTTAAACCAGAAGATGATGAATTTCAACAACCTCAACCAAATATACAACTTAAGGTATGGGAGGCTACACATGGTGGTTTATTAGGAATACTTTATTTTGCAAGTATCAAGCAAGATTTTTTGAAAAATAATTCGCTTATGGACAGTGTCGTTAGCATTGTGTTATACGGTTTGAATCAAGCTGATGACGATGTCCAAAGCGTTTCTGCATCCATCTTATCCCCAATTACAGATGATTTTGTCAAATTGGAGACGTCAAAAATAGATTTGTTAATCACAACAATATGGAATTCATTGACTCATTTAGATGATGATTTATCCTCTAGTGTAGGATCCATCATGGATTTATTAGCAAAGTTATGTAAATATGAAGAAACTTTAAATTGTGTCAAAGCAAAAGCTAATCAATACCCAGCAGAATGGTCATTCAAATATTTGGTTCCTAAACTATTTCCATTCTTACGTCATTCTATTTCATCTGTAAGACAATCCGTGTTGAATTTATTATTAGCATTTTTATCAATTAATGATGATAGTACAAAAGGCTGGATAAATGGTAAAATATTCAGATTGATCTTTCAAAACATCATATTAGAACAAAATCCAAAGATCTTACAATCCTCATTCGATGTATACACGAAACTATTAAATGTATATAAATCGATGGAAGCCGAAAAAACATTGGACCATTTATTAAGTAAGCATTTACAACCAATGTTACATTTATTAAATACGCCAATTGGTGAAAACGATAAAAATTACAGTATGGAATCTCAATTCATCCTAAAACCATCCCAACATTACAAACTACATCCAGACAAAAAAAGATCCTTATCAGAGGCTACTATTGAATCAGATATTCCTGCCCCGAAGAATAGTGAACATGTTAATATTGATGCCCCAATGATTGCAGGTGATGTCATGTTGCTTGGTAAAGAAATTATAATTAATACTAGAGTTATGGGTGCGAAAGCATTTGGTCTAACATTAGCTATGCTTCAGGAGTCGACCTTGCAGTCATTTGTTTCAAATGTTTTAGTTAGATGTCTGGATTTGCCGTTTGCAACGCCAAGAATGTTGGCAGGTATAATATTAACAGATATTTGTTCCAATTGGTCACTATGTAATGTAAACAATCCTACAATACCATCATTTATCTTCGATGTATTTGGTTCTGTATTAAATGAACAACTGACGAATAGAGATAAACTTCCTCCATTTAGAGAACTGGTACCAAGTCTAAAGGCATTAAGAACTCAGTGTCAGACCCTTTTTTCGACATTTGTTGATGTAGGATTATTACCGAAACATAAATTACCAAGCATTGCTATCATAGTTCAAGGTGAAACAGAAGCTGGACCAGAAGCCTTTGGGATTGAAACTGCAGAAAAGGTTCATAATGAATATTATGAAAAGATGTTCAGGTCATTAGGTAATTCTTACAAATTGCTTGCCAAGAAACCTCTTGAAGATGCAAGATATCGTATTCTACTAGCCATTGAAGCAGCAAAGGAAGCTAAATTGGCCCGCGAGTGCAGCATTCTATCAAATTATGCTTCTGTAATAATACAATTTGATGGTCTTCCAGAAAAGTTGAATCCAATTATTAGGTCCTTAATGGATAGTATCAAGGAAGAAAAAAATCTAAAACTGCAAGAAATTTCAGGTAATTCGGTCATTCACTTAATCAATAAATTATTATCCAATAATAAAGCTGGTGTAGCAAATAAAGTAGTAAAGAATCTATGTGGATTCCTCTGTGTTGATACCCAAGAAGTACCTGAATTTTCAAGCAATGAAATATATAAAGAAAATATTTTAACATTAGTGAAAGAAACTGCTGGTTTAGGTCTCGTGGATGATGCAAGATTAAAGCGTATTACTGACGAAGCACATATCAAACGTAGGGGTGGTTTATATGTAATTGGTGAAATATTCTCCAAATTTGGTGATAACGCATTTGATATTGAACAGTTAAAGACAATTATTTTAGAACCAATTAAAGAAACCATTAAATCAAGTGACGAAGATATTAATTCAAAGAGAGGACAATCTTTGGTTGATGCAATGGGTATTTTACGTGCAATCTACATGTTTATGTCACCATTTATTCAAGAAAATCAAGTTCTCCCTTGTTTTCCAAATTTACTGACGCTGTTAAGGTCTAAATATTCAGTTTTAAGGTATTCTGCTGCAAGAACATTTGGAGATTTAGCAATGATTAGTCATGTCGCAGTGATGACATTTGTTATTGAAAATGTTTTGCCTTTGATGAATAATGCAGGTTCTGTGACTGACAGACAGGGTGCAACAGAATTGATATATCATTTATCAGTTTCCATGGGCACTGATATCCTCCCATATGTGATCTTTTTAATTGTTCCATTATTAGGTAGAATGAGTGACACGGACCCAGATGTTAGAGGTTTAGCTACGAGTACTTTCGCTTCAATTATTAAATTAGTTCCATTAGAAGAAGGTATAGCAGACCCAGAAGGATTGCCAGAATCTCTAATGGTTGGTCGTGAAAGGGAACGTGATTTTATCCAGCAGATGATGGATCCATCTAAAGCTAAGCCATTCAAACTTCCGGTGGCAATTAAAGCTACCTTGAGAAAATATCAACAAGAGGGTGTGAATTGGTTAGCATTTTTGAATAAATATCATTTACACGGTATTCTTTGTGATGATATGGGTTTGGGTAAAACTTTACAAACAATTTGTATCATTGCAAGTGATCAATACCTCAGACAGGAAGACTTCAAGGAAACGAAGTCTGTAGAAACTAGACCTTTGCCTTCTTTGATTATATGTCCACCTTCATTAACAGGGCATTGGGAAAATGAATTTGAAGTCTACTCTCCGTTTTTGAATGTGGTAGTGTACGCTGGTGGTCCTAGTACAAGACAATCTTTAAAGGAAAGGCTTGCTGATGCAGATATTATTGTAACTTCGTATGATGTTGCTAGAAATGACCTTTCTGTTATTACTAAATACGATTATAATTACTGTGTTCTAGATGAAGGTCACATCATTAAGAATTCTCAATCTAAACTGGCAAAAGCTGTTAAAAGCATAGCGGCAAATCATAGGTTAATTTTAACTGGTACACCTATTCAAAATAACGTCGTTGAGCTGTGGTCATTGTTTGATTTTTTGATGCCAGGATTTTTAGGTACTGAAAAAATGTTTCAAGAAAGGTTTGCAAAACCTATTGCAGCATCCAGGAATAGTAAAAGTTCGTCTAAAGAGCAGGAACAAGGTACTTTAGCTTTAGAAGCTTTACATAAGCAAGTATTGCCATTTATGTTAAGAAGACTGAAGGAGGATGTTTTATCCGATCTTCCACCAAAAATCATTCAAGATTATTATTGTGAGTTAAGTGATTTGCAGAAACAATTATACAAAGATTTTGCAAATAAGCAGAAGAATGTAGTCGAAAAAGATATTCAAAATACAGCAGATGTGGAAAATAAGCAGCACATCTTCCAAGCCTTACAATATATGAGAAAATTATGTAATCATCCATCATTAATTTTATCTGAAAACCATCCACAATTAAAACAGGTTGATGAATATTTGAAGCAAACTGGATTAGGTTTACATGATATAGTAAACGCTCCAAAATTAGGTGCGTTGCGTAACTTACTCTTTGAGTGTGGTATAGGTGAAGACGATATGGATAAGAAGTCGACTGATCAATTAGTTCCAAGCAATACTGTTATTTCACAACATCGTGCTTTGATTTTCTGTCAATTAAAAGATATGTTAGATCTTGTGGAGAATGATTTGTTCAAGAAATACATGCCGTCTGTTACTTACATGAGGCTTGATGGTAGTGTTGATCCACGCGATAGACAAAAGGTTGTCAGAAAATTCAATGAGGACCCATCCATTGACTGTTTACTATTAACAACAAAAGTCGGTGGTTTAGGTTTGAACTTGACGGGTGCAGATACAGTTATTTTTATTGAACATGACTGGAATCCAATGAATGATCTGCAAGCGATGGATCGTGCCCATAGATTGGGTCAAAAGAAGGTTGTTAATGTTTACAGAATCATTACTAAAGGAACATTAGAAGAAAAGATTATGGGTTTACAAAAATTTAAAATGAATATAGCATCAACTGTTGTTAACCAGCAAAACAATGGATTAGCATCAATGGACACTCATCAATTATTAGATTTGTTTGATACCAATAACGTTCCAAACCAAGATAAAGAGGAAACGCCTGTAGAATCCAAAGCCATGGATGACATTGCTAACGAGACCGGATTAAGTGGTAAAGCAAAGGAAGCATTGGGTGGATTAAAAGAACTATGGGATTCATCTCAATATGAAGATGAATATAATTTGGATAACTTTATAAAGGCACTGCGTTAAAGTATCAGATAAAGCACGCATATTATAGTTGTAATTATTTTATAAGTATTGATAGATTTAATTTTATTATATTTCAATTTCTATACATATATTCTAAATTTGGCATATTGAATGTGACAATGCGATTAAGAATGAATCCAAATTTATTGGCAAACCTCTAAAGTGTTCTGAAATACATTTCAAGGAAAGTTTTTTGGTATACCTACCACTTAGTTTTTTTTTAAAACATTCTTCACTTAAAGTATCCAAGATTTCATTATACTTTTTGTTCTTCAATACCACTTTCCGGTAATTTGACCTCAAAATATTTAAATCCAATAATTCGCTAATGCTTGATAAAAGAATTTGTTTTATGCCCATTCGAGAGGGATTCCCAATATAGAATATACCATCTGAGCGATCTAAAAAGGCAGAATCTAAGGAATCTAGTAAATTAGAGGTTGCCAGAACCAATAAATTATTATATTTCTTCAAAGAGTCTAAAAGCGTCAACAAAGTGCTAACGACACGAACGCTGTCTGTCGTTTCGTTTTTGCTTAATAGACTGTCTCTCGAAAATGCGATAGCTTCTACCTCATCTATTAACAGACATACAAATCGACCTGTGGATTCATTTAGAATTAATAGGTTTTCTATATCTTTAAAAATATTTGTTAAATTTTTAGCAGACTCACCAAACCAACGAGAAAATATTCTTGAACAAGATATTTCTAAAAGTATCCCATTGTAATTATCAAGTTTGACAATATTTTCGTTTCCAGTTATATTTCTTATAGATAATTTTTGACAAAGAGCCTTACATACTGTCGTTTTACCTGTACCTGGTGGACCATGAACCAAAAGAAGTTTGTTATTACCATTATGAATCAGATCTTCCTTGGAATTCGATTGAGAAATAAAATTGGAAATTTTTAAAGATATTGTAGAGTAATTGTATAGGACCTGTTTAATATCTTGATCAAAATAAAGTGATTCCCACAGATTTTCGAACTTTCTAGACGGTAGTAGATTGACATTTATTAAACCCAAAGTTTCATCAGATATTGGAAGGAAATCTATATGACTCTTACTTCTGGGAAAAGAATTCAACGTTTCACCTTCAACACTTGATATTTCGTTACTATTCTCTAAATCAATTTTATCGAACTCTTCTATCGGCGGTTCTTTATCAACACCTACGTTATTAGTACAACAGAATAATGACGTTTTATAGTATCTATTGTTAATACACTTCTGTGATTCTAAAAAGGGATTTTTCATAGTCTGGAAGGTGACTCTAATTAAATTATGTATTTGATCAGTTTCATCCACTTGAATATCGTCAGGGAAAGTATCAGGTAGAAATTCACAGTATATTCTTTCAATAAATAATGATAATATTAAGTTATCTTGACCATCTTCTGTACCGCAAGTTCCATTCGAGAGCTGTTGCTGATGCAAAATAACTTTAACCAAACTCTTTATAATCCTTGTTTGAGCCTCTGTAGGTGGTTCAGATATCTCAATGCTTCCATGGCCTTCATTTAATAAGTCCTTTAAAGTAATAACTCTGCTAACCAATTCATCATGAGGTAACCTAGACAGCATTCGCTCAATAACATTTGTAATAGTCTTGTTAAACAATTTTAGTTGCAACATATAACCTCCATCAGCTTCTTGTCCACATTTGTCACTTGAATAATCTTCTTTCAAGGATTGATAAACTAGCCTGATAGTGCTCTGTCTAACTTCGACATCAACGATAAATGACATTTTAAATCTCTTGAACTCTCCAGTTCTAGCTCTTATATCTTTCTTTTCTTGCACCAGAACCAATGGAAATACCAGCAAAGTGAACAGAACTTACAATCAACAATTTGGGTTTTTAATTCCCAATTCTTTTATAACAGTGAAATAAATACAATTAGCCGCCAATGCTCGAATATGACCCTTTTATATATACACTTTATTATTTGTTTTTAACACGAGAAAGAGAGGGAGACTCTATAAAAGAACCAATACCTTCCAAATAACGTTAAAAGGTCAACAAAACAATGGAACCGTCAAACATCTACCAGCGATGAACGGATGGTTGTTGGTTAGTGGATCTTTTTATATTGTATTGTTCTGAATAGTGATCCTATCCTTTTATAGCCAAATTGGTTTGGATTATAGTACTGATAACAAAATTATAAGTTGAACTGGAGATTCAAATGGACAACCTCTAGTCCGCAATGGTGAAGCTATTGGTGTTGTTGTAGTAGTAGTTTTATATGGTATGGTTCAACGTCGAGTGTTTTAATACTATTTGATTGACGTTCCTGTTTGGTATTGGTTGGTTGGTCAACTTAATTATTATCAACATTTTATGGCGCTAGCATACGTTGATTATCAAGACACTTTAAAAGTTTCGGCTCATCGATAAGTTAAAGATGAACAAGAAACTTGTTTAAAAAGCCTTAGAAGAAGTGGGAAGTAAACGATTAAGATCACTAATCTATAGTTCTGATGATTTTATTGACCCCTAAATAGTCAATCTGAGGGAGATTCTCGATTAGAGTGGGCCATTTTTAAGTTCCTGATTCAAGAAGATGCCAGGACAATTCGAAAAATCAAATAATAAAGATGATAATGATGATGATGTGGATTTAAAGAACTCTACAAATGCAGTAGACTCTGATTTGGATGAAGATGAAGTACATCAGGATTGGTCACAGGTTGCTAAGCTTACGAAGAAAGCATTGAAAGCAAAATTGCCTAAACGTGGTGAGAAGGAATACGAACCTGATGGAACCGAAATACAAGATGCTATGCTAGTTAATGCTAGAAAGGCAATGTATGATACTCTGTTTAATTCAATAAGAGGATCCATGTTGAAAAATCAAGTCAAGGCATTTTACATACCTGATAGACATGTTGCAATAATTCCTCATCCAAAAGGTAATTTTTTGCAAACAATTGGTAGAGTAGATAAAACAGGTATATGTTATTTGAATTTTTTGGAATTTCTTTATCTGGCTGAAAGAGGTACAGTGACTCCATTTTTATGTAATGATCTAAATGACATCACAAATGGGAATGAATATCAACTGTCAATCCAAGAGATATACTCATTTTTCAAATCCCAAAATGAAATGGACAATTTCCAAGTTTATGCTCATCTTAAAAGATTAGGCTTCATCGTCTTCCCTTCAAATTCATTTGAATCAGGGAAAACTACTTTTTACCCACCCACATCAATATTCAAAAAATATTTTGCTCCGAGTTTATTCAAATCATTCTATTTAAGGATTGGACTAATTTTTTCGAAATATTTTAACTCCATTGCCAATGATATTTTTTACTCTACATCCAATTTTCATTATATGAAATATTTGAACTCTATCAGCATTTACAAAAGTTTGAATAAACTGATTCCATACCATAAAGTCCCAAAATCAAAACTGGAGTTACTAGACCAGAAATTTACAATCGATCAACTTACCACAACTAATCGTGAATTCGAGTTAAGTTTTGACGTTTGGAAACCACAGGTGAACTTTAAGAAAAAATGTCCAAACCTTCCAGATTTCCAAATCGTTGTATATAATAAAAATGATGGAAGTCAACATTTCCCAACTTATCACGATTGTCAAAGTATATTTAATCAACTGGATTATAAATTCGGATTTGTACAAGGCAAAGATGACTTCGATTGGGATTCTCATTCATATACTGATGAAAAGTTAAGAGCAGAATATCTATCATCGCTGAAATCGAAGGCAAAACAGTCAAACGCAAGCATAAATACAAAGGTTGAAGGCAAAAAGAAGAAAAGAAAGATAAATTCGTTTCCACCACATGTTCAACAAAAGATGAGACTAAAAAATGGATATCGTAGTTTTCTGCTTGCAGTTATTGATGATGGTATAATTAGTTTTACAAGGATGACTGAAAGCGATTTTGGTTCAGAAAATGTGTGGTATAATCCAACCAATTCTAAGACGAAAAGACCAACTAGAAAAAAATAGATTCCATTTCGATAATTCAAAATCACACTCCTGCATTAAACTTTGCATTAAATTTAACTCAATTTTTTTAGCAAGAAACCAATTATATATATACCTTTAATATTTTATAGAATGGAATGAACATTAAGGTGTCCTGTGATTGCTCTTCTTTTGAAAAAATAAAACATAAAAAAAAAGAAGGATCGATATAAGTATAATTCATTACACAGTTCATTAAAATGTGATAACTGTATTTAAATGTATATAATATTATATATATTATTCGGATAATTTCATCAATTATTATCCATTACATTGACATAACCTCTTCCTGTCCTCTTCTTTCTCCTTGTATTAACAGCTGGCCCAGAACCAGTCAAACTTAATAAGTCATCAAGACCATTGGCTTTTTTACCTGACAAATTAATACCAGAGCTATTCACACTTGGTGTTCTTGATGGTGGATCTGATGTAATTAAAGATGGCGGAACTAGAGTTGCTGGTGAGGGAGATTGGTTACCCATGCTAGCAACGATACTTGTCCTTTCTCCAATATTGGCATTAATACTATTTGTGGAGCCTGATCTTGGTTTCGATGCAGGTTCAGTATTCTTCCTTTTCACTACAGGTGGTGGAGGTGGTGGAGCAGACATATCTTGTTTTTCTTCCTCTGTGGAAGTCTTATTAACCCATCTCTTTAGCTTTTCATCATAATAAAAGTTCGTTTTTTTATGGCCAAGTTTAGCTTTGATAGGTTTCTTCTCATTAGGATCCTTTTTCAACCATCCAAACCATCCAGATTGGTTTGAACCGTTATCTGTATTAGTATCTCTTTTCTTTTGTTTTTCTAGTTCTGCCCTCTTTCTTTCACGTTCCTTTTCTTGTTCTTGAAGTCTCCTCTCTCTTTCAGCTTCTTCTCTCTTTCTTTCTTCCTCTTTCTGTCTTTCCAATATTTCATCTTCATCCTCTGATTCGTCCTCTATTATGTCATCATATTGATGCTCCATAGCACTTGGAGAAATTGATGAAACAGATCTAAAGTTGGAACTTGAAGAAACTTTAATAATTGGATCGAATAGTGCTTTTGATAGAGGTTCTGATTCTTTTATTGGACCAAATCTTCTAGATGGTATATTCAATGCCGAGTCATTCTTGTCAATTGTCAAGATTGCATCCGCAGAGGAAATATTCTTGGTGTACCCTACTTTAACATTGCCAAAATTATTTACACCTAGTGAGTCGGTACTGACCCCATTTCCAGATATACTACTGACTTGACCTCCAATTTCAGGCGAACTAATATTTGAAGGTTGATAGGATTTTATACCTTCATAGGGATTGTATTTTGATTTTATATTATCTAAGCTAGTTTGGCTTTTTATAGCAAGACCCTGTAAGCTATTGCCTTCAAATGTAATTGGGTTTGCTGATGAGATTATAGAGGGAGTAATTAATCCATTTGATTGGGATTCGAATACTTCCATATTTTCTTCTACTTCTTTATTCATGCCATTTTGTTGAATGGTTGGATTTTGGTTAATCGTTTCCACGGAAGATTCCTTGTAATTTTCAATCAATTCACTTCTATCTTCTCCTGACTCGTTAGAATAGTTGAAAGCATTATCTTGGTTCTGTTCATGGGTGGTTGAATTATCTACTTCTTCGATTTTATCCTTCAACTCATTTTTATCCACTCCTGCAATCAAATTTTCTTCTGATTCTAGTCCCAACTCTTCTTTATTGGTGGTAATAAGATCGGATCCTCTATCCAATATTGGGGCTTTTGGCAGGGATTGTTGCATATGCTGGTTATCGTCGGATTCATATGGCTGTGTTAAGGAAACTGTCTTTCTCAGCTCATTAACAGAATGGTCTTTCTCTGACGCCTCAGAAATAATATCATATAGAGGGGCGTTCTTTAAAGCAGTTCTGGAATCTCTTGAGATACTTTTGCTTGAAGGAGATCCATGAGTTTCGCTGATAGAAGAACTATGTGTAGGCATATATTGTTCAGTTCTTACTCTTCTTAATTGGTTGGGGTTACCAGATGCAAAAGGAACAACTGGGGTAAAAGAGTGAGGTGAGTGCAATAGTTTAGAATCAAACTTTGGTGGTAAATAAGGATTTCCATTATTTGTGCCCTTATATTGTTCATTCAGTAACGAGCTAGGTCTCACAGGACTAATCATGTTTGTTTTCTCGCTTGACGATAATGATTCTAATTGAGTCTGAGAAGTCCTATGAACCGAGTTCTGGTAAGGAGTAAATTGTGCTTGTGAATGGGTCTGTGTTATATCTAACATAGAAGAATTTCTTGAAGTTACGGGAGTAAAACCATCAAATAATTTCTTTTCTCCTGTGGCCGGAATCAATGAGTCATCATCACCACCAATGAATTTATTGAACGATTTGTCCAATTGATCCCAAACACTACTTAGTTTAGGTTTCCCTAACCAACTATTGCTTGAATTCATCATCCTAGTTGATAACTCAGATAGACGGGCACTGATATTTATACATAATGGATCTTTCTTAGAGCTTGACTTCAAAATGTGAGATATGTGATCAGTATATTTTGAGCATAATGGTATCAAATCTTGTTCAAATAAGCAGTATGCATGGTATAGTTTAATAGGAAGTAAGTCAATGTTATATTTAGCTTTAGGATCCTTACAAAAATTGAAATCGTAAATTTCAGACCACATCATACCACATGGAGTTGATGGATTACCGACAGAAGAAAATAACACAGGAGAATCTTGAACTATAGGTTTAGACGACAATGGCACGTTTGCTATAATAAAAATAATGCATGCAGGTAAGTGTAACGACTTCTGTTCCAAAAATATACCAAATTCTACTAAAAATTCAAAAACAAGAGGTGGAACTTCGATATGTTTTGAAGTTGAACCTGGTATTGTTTGTGGTTTAACATTGTTCAAAATTGCTGCTACAATCATATGCCAATTATTAATTGCCCATAGGCCCTTGTTATTATCTAAATATAATTCCTTTACTGCTGTTTTTGCATTGCCTACAAAAACTTGAAAAATTAGATATAACAAATTTCCAGCATTTTTAGAACTATTATTTGATTCTACGAATTCATCAGAAATGTATCTCTGGATAACTTCTGCCCATTTATCTTTTCCTATCATACTTCCTACCAATAGAGACATAGCATAATCTTTTTGATCTAGAGCAAGCTTCAATGCATCATCATGCTCTCCTGTTTGTAGATATGCCAAAATTCTAGTACGGGAATTTGGATCCAACCTGTATGCATTGAATTGGGATTTAGTCTCTTGTGAAGACCCATGTGATAAAACACTCATTAAATCATCAGTGCTATAAAGGAGAGAGGCGATATCCTTCAATGTAGTGTTTTCGGATAACTTTAATTTCAAAATTTCAAAAATTTTGGTGTCTAATGAAGTGGCATTGATGTATCTATTATTTAAGACTTCTTCTATCCATTTTAAAATATCATTATTTTTTGTTCTGCCCTTAATTAAGGGACCTGGAAATGTCCTTAGAACCTCAGATGGTTTGCATATGGTATTGTAATTACTAACTGAGACATCTGATACTTCAGCTGCATTAGAGACTGCGAATGGACTTTGTGAAGCAATTGATGGAACCGCATAAGTAATCTTATTTGATGATCTCCAAGAAATGATTGGGAATTGCTTATTCAACAAGGCTTCATTATCGATAGGTACAGTTTGCTCATTAGAATTATGGGCATATGGGGTATTGGAACGACCAACTCCTGAAGTTTTGGCTGGTCTTTTATTTGAATTTGTTGGTGGTACAATCCCACTCATAGCTGGATTAGAAGATAACAAAGGCGCGGACTGATCCATTGAATTTTGTAGCTGCATTGTTTTATTTGGTGCATATTTTGAACCAGAAGCCTGCATTGGAGTATAAGTATGAGACCCAGTACGATTATGTGAATACTTTCCAGTAGTTGAATTTAACCCAGGTTTGTTGGAATTGATATTATTTTGGATACTTGGTTGCTCTGATAAACGCTGTATTGTCTGTTGATTCATCGCCTGCTGGTTAGTTTGAGGAGATATGGAATTTGGTCTGTTGTATCTCATTGGTCCTAATGGTTCTCCATGTGGACCGGTGTTACCAGAGATTTGCGGAGCATATTGAGAGGAAACATTGCCAAGTCTTGTGTTTGTAGGAGCATTTAAAGGTGAAATTGGCTTTCCATAAGAGCCAAGACTACTATCTATAATAGGAGGTTGTGACTGAGTTCCATAAGTAAGGCTTGGCTTTCTTAACATTGAATTAGGAAGGACTATACTTGCTTGTGGAGGAACCGAGTTTGAGTTTGTGCTACTGCTTTGAGATATTGGCACAGATGCATATGGGTTTTTTGGAAGTGATAAAGGATTAGATGCAATGTCATTTATTGGTGAGAAATTCTTATTACCGATACCTTGTTCCTTTGGTTGACCAAATGCAGACATTCTCCTTTGAACAGGTATAGCATAATTTTGATTAGCATTAAAAGTACTCTTTGGAATAGGAACAGGTTTTGCGTGCACTTTTTCTAAATTTTTGGGAACCAAATCTATAGGAAAATCATATGCATCAGATTTCTGTTTTTCTTTGTTTAATTTCTCAGCAACCTTTTGATTTGCATCTGAGTTCGGTTTACCATTGCTAATATTTTGTTGGAAAGGTTGAGGTGGGACAATTCCAGTAGATGATGTTGCACTTCTGGTACTAGCCATTGTGGTCATTTTCGATGTAGCAGGAAAAGTTGATTGTTGAGGAATAGGTTGTGGTACCAATGTAGGATCGTATTTCGATGTTGGTTTTGTATTCTTTGAAGATGTGCCAGAAATGCTGACACGCTGAGAATCATTTTTCTCTTCTTGAGATTGGCTGACTTTTATTGAAGAATTGTCTAGAGATTTAGAGAGATTCATTTCAAATTCTTCGTCAGAGTCAAGGAAACTATCATCATCACTATCTAGTTTAATTGTTTGGTCATTATCCTTTTGAGATAAATTGATCTCATTATATTGGCCAGACATATTGTCGGTTTCTAGCAAATCTTCATCTTCTAATAAATCATCATCGTCCTCAAGAAAAGAAAATTTTTTTTCCTCAGTTTCTGCTCCTATTTCCTTTAAATCAATATTTTCATCAATTTTAGGATAGTTAATATTGTTACTAATGTCATCGTCATCCTTTATATTTGTTGCTTCCATTGTATCTTGCTTCTCAAAAACTATCGTTTCATTGTTGATACTTTGTTGAGGAACGTCATCCAAAAAACCATCACTACTGGTGTTTGGAACAAAATTCTCTGATGGTTCATAATTTTCTTGGTTATGTTGTGTTAGGTTGGTAAAAAATTGTTCATCAGAATGCATAGTATTGGAATCTTCGGTGTCAGAGCCAACCAGCATTTCATCTTCAATTAAATGGGATTTGGTTTCTCCTAGTTCTTCTGGTAAAGACTTCTGTGTAAGTACCTCTTCCTCTTCTTTTTGAGATGGAACTAGTTCGGCCCTTTCTTCTATAAAGTTTATATCTTGGGATTCCACTTCAATGGGGTTGATATCTTCAGAAATATCTTGAAGTTCTTGGTTATCAGATAAAATATGTTGTCCATTATTATCTATGAATTCTTCCTGTGCAACTTCAGCTGATTCTGCGTTGTCGGAAATGAGCTCATCTTCGCTTATACTAATTAACTGTTCAAGTTCTTTAGTAGCTTCTGAAGTAAGGTTATTGTCTGTTCCTGTTTCAGTATTTTTCTTTAATGTAGGATCTGTCAAATTTCTATTATCATCAGACTGAACCGCAACTTCTGTTATCTCTGAGTTGGATGTATATTCTAATTCTTGAGTGTGATCAATAATATGTTCGTTGATATTGGTGGTTTCAACAGCGACTGGTACTTGCTCATAAACGGTATCATTTTTATGAATATCAACGTTATCAGTAATACTGTCAAATACTTGAATTTCCTCAATAAACTCTGTTCTTACATGTTGTAAACTATCCCCTTCAATGATGTTCAAAATCGGTTTTGGTACGTCAATTGAAACTGGCTCCACATTCATCATAGAAACATCCTCGGAAGACATTTCTAACAATGTAGAGACAGAAACTGGTTGTTGTATAACTGGTGCCGAAGAATCAAGTTCATTATTCATTTGTAGCTCTTCAGACACAGGAGTTGGATTGGCACCCTCTCCAACATCAACGACATCAACTGGATCATGCTGTTGATTGATAATCTCAGGATACTCGGTATGTGGAACTTCGGTAATGTCGCCTTCATTATTCAAAACTTGTGAATTATCCGATATGGATTCTTCAACAGATATATTGGCGTTCACATCAGGTTGACCCTTCAGCACAGCTTTCTTCTGTTTCAGTTTTTGCTTCTTCTTCTGATTTTTCCTTTTTTTAGCCTCTGGAGTCATATCTTCCTATATATTATGCCTTTACTGGAGGGATATCTAAGAGCTTATTTCGTAGTATAACCTCTTATAGACAAAAGAAAAAATAAAAATTCGAGATAATAAATAAACAAATAATGTATATTTTACTTATCCTATTTTTTATATGTCTTGATGAACTACAATCCAGAAACACCAGATTGAAGTATTAATATATATAATACCTTAACAGTCTTATTTAATTTAATCTGTTTGGTTCCTTGGCATGCATTCGAATATATTGTTTCCTTTGATTAAAGTTGGAAAACCTTTAAACTTTTATGAATATTTGGACATTTTTGATAATTTTGACGTGACGGTCACGTGAAATATTCCAAATCATATATAACGAAATCTAATAGATAAGAGATAACGAGAGATATAACTTTTGGTTCAATTGAGAGGACTAAAGAATACCTATCTTAACCCCAATACTATGAAGCAATCTTCTCTGTCATACTCTACCCTTTGAATGTACATTATCCTTATACATATTGGCCTATTTTTGTTTTATTGATATCCTTTAAAACTCTGGTGATTACCCTGGGTTAGTTTAGAACAGTTTGTACAGTACTTTCTCTGAAATCTATTGTTTTAAGATAAGGTCACGTTTGTATCATTGTAAACGATGTGGTTAATACATGCCTATATACATATATATATCTTTCGTAGTAACCTATTAACTAAAGCTTAGCCATAGTTATAAGATATTGATGACGACAGATAATATTTAATCATTGCTTCATTTACACTGCCAAAACGTAGTTAGCTCAACCTTTGGTCATAGCATCTATTTTGGGGCACTTAACCCAGATGTACTAGTTTTTTTTAATTACAGGATAGAGTATATTAGAATATTTAAATTGCTAAACTACAAATATAGATATAATAGTATTGTTTAATCAAAGATTTCTATCACCAAGAGTGTATTAGATGGAAAGGACTTAAGTAAATGTTATTTGATTTGATTTTTGTATGGATTCTATTTCCCCTTTGTTTGATTATAATATCTTGCAGTAACAATGTTTGTTTCCCTTTTATATTTTGAACTCATGTAGTGAAAACGAATGTGTCATAAGTGTAATCATGTGGATTAGAATAAAATTAAAACGAATGGAACTCGTATCTGTCATCTTCCTATCAAAGAGTCTGCAGAATATCCAGTTTTAAATGGAATCTGATATGCATACATATTTTTGGTATAGCACAAATGTAATTAATAAATTAATTTTTTGCTTTAAGGTTAAAACTTTTAAGTGAATGGGAGAATAGGATAGTCAATAGTAATAACTACACTGAAACTTCAGGTGTTGCGTAGTTACCTAAGAATTCATATGAGAAGTTGGTGTTAATAGCATGGTCATTTCTGACTAGTTCTGGAAGAACTCTCCATCTCCAGATGAAATTGACATCCTTCATGCCTTGGGTTAAAACTCTCAAGTATTGTAAGAAAACAATATAGTAGTAGACACCTAACCCAGTTAGAACGTGCCACCAACCATGTAATTCTAAGAAGATACCTAATGGTAACTTCAGATAACTTCTTCTAATATTAATCCAGTGGGAACAGAGACGAATGTCTAGTTGCCAAGATAAGAAACCAGCGCCAAAAAGCATAATACCGATTGCCATGCAATGAGTTAAATTCTTCTTAGCTCTTGGATTTCTAACATGTTTATAGTTTAACCAACCTGCAATTATAACTACTATACCTGTTAAAAATGCGTATGCAAATTCATGAAATAAAGGATTTCTATTAATAATGTAGAAAACGGTGATACCGATGACTAAAACAGAAAGAATGAAGCCCACAGCCCATTCAATCCTATCTAGTTGCCTCTTGTTACCTTTATTATTTGGCTTATTCTCTAAATATTCACAAATCATACTCCAAGCAGGAATGGTTGTAGCATAAATCATTGGTAATTCATCTAATAATTGGTAACGGTACAACAGCGTCATATGAAATAACCAAGATCCTACACCAACAACAGCAAACCCAGCCCCTATTAATATAAACCTTAATTCCATTTGGTTTCTATAAGCACAATAAGTAGCATAAGATGCAGTAATTAGATAAGTAATATTTGAAATAGTATTTGACCATTCTGCAATATATGAAGAAACAACGTAATTCTCTTCACACCAATCAATAGTAGCAGTTACATTACCCCAGTGGCCATCTATTGGAGTCTCTGGATAAGGCCATCTTAAGAAACCCATCTTAAAAATCAGTGAATGAGTATCAACAATGATATCTGTATATAAGGGAGAAAAGATCTAAACTTCTCAACTATATATCTATGAGATATTAACAGTTCAGTCAGTATATCAACTTTATATAAAAATCTTTTGAAAACAATGAAAATGTATATATCCTGAACAAAATCGGTTACAGTACTTTTAGATATGACAGTTCAAAGATATTATACCCTTTCAACAACACTTTCCGTTCAATGTATCTTAAGGTAGGTGTGCAATATATGTATATGTATATATATCTTGTTACAACTTTGTCCAGATTTAAGAAAGTTAAAATCAGAAAGGCTGAAAACTTGTCACCAGACAAAACATCTTCGAGTCTTGATACAATTAATAACTTAAATAAGAATATTAAAAAGTACCATTAACTTGACATGTTTAACATATTTCGAATGAACTCAGAACATCCAAGCCTTCATCCAAAGTTCAGCAAGATATAAAATCACCACAGGTAATGATTCTTCAAGGAATAGAATACGGAAACTTATGGAATGTATGACAATTGTTTAAAAGCTGTTGCGTTTCTTGTAGCAATAATTTGCTTTTAACTTCAAGGAGTCGTAACGTAGGTAAATGACGCAGTTTTAAAACTAATTAGATTGATTGATTACAAGAATTGATCTGATTCGAATAAGAAACCTCTTGCCTAGAACTTATTTATCGTTTTTATCGTTTACACTGTCTGCTCTCGACAATAAGAATCTTTATAAGAAGAGTTTGTTTTTACCAGAATTGGTAAAAGTAGGAAAGAGAGGGATTAGTTTATTAAGTTACATCATTCGAAAACGATTGAAGGAAGAGTAGATAACTATTATGGTTCGAAGGCGTATATTTAGTTTCCCTTCATTCAACTGATTTAAATAGTGCTTATACCAATTAGTTTTAATGTTTTCTTGATTCTGGGGTTGTAAGTAACGTCATCGAAGTTGAATTCTCTTTTCTAATCCAAATTCTTGCTAAAGGTCCAGATCAAGAGGTATATATATATATATATCGGTTGTTGTAAAATAGATATATTTTGTTAGTAAAATGTAATTTAGGTAACTTGAGAAAGGGGTAAGAATGATTTTTATAGCTGTTGCAGTTGCTGATGGAAAAAATATTACTTTCGAAATGTATAATGTATCTCTCTCTGTTCTTATTGCCTTTGGTGTTTCAATTTATATAAAATAGGATTTCTTGAGAATTGTTTAAATAGATGGGTTCACCTTAGTGTTGCAGTAGATAATGCATATGATAGGTTCTCAATAATATTTGAAAGTAGAGTTCGCATATTTCAGATAGTAAATGAGTTTAGCGTAATCATATATAAATAGTAATCAATGGCTTCTTATTCGAAGACAGTAACAGGAAGTGTATATATGTGATAATAGCATGACAAAGGAAGAAAATCATTAGATATATTGATTTTAATTCAAATAACTATCACTGAATAAAGCACATTTCTTTTGATACTTTGCGATGTATTTCGAACAGTTTTTGAGTACTTGAGTGGACTTTCAGAAAATACACTTTTAAATACTCATGGTATATTATATATATGGTCGAATGAACCTCGAAAAGTTATAAAAATATATTACACCATTAAGTATTTGGTATTTTACATTCAGAGAAGAACAATGAAATAAATTGAAAGAAAACACCTCAAACTTGAGTAATACAACTAACTAGACCAAAATCAAATACAAGTGCTGTCCATTTAAAAATTAAAAAAAAATACGACAATAAAGGTAAAAAAAACAAGAGTAAAAATAACAATTAAAACAGAAGCTTAATATCAAAATAAAAGTCACCTCTGTCTCATACTATCAGTAGTAACCCCCCAGCTCACATTAAGTTTAAGAAATTATCCAATCCAATCCAATCCAATCCATCTCACTAAACATGTCACGACAAGAAAGCAAGCCCAAGACTTAATAAGTTTTTTCTATTTTCACTTTTAGTATATAGAGAATTGAAGACATATTTTTCGATATTTAGTTAAGACAAATTAGTTTGGTAACCTAATTAGCTAAGAACACATTACATAACCATATTGGCTTATAATATCATTGTAAAATAATTCCAAGAAATATTTTGTCAATTAAAAGAATATTCTACTTGCTGAATTAACAGTTGTCTTTTGTCAAGCATTAAAATAACATGTATTAGTTATGTTACCCATCAAGAAGTTTCTGTCGTACTATACATCTCTTCTAACAAGGCAGATGGACAACGAGTCAAATGCAATTGGGATAGGTTCGGGAATTTATTTGTTAGAGACAAACGAGTTCTCTAGGGATAACCTTTCACAGAACCTATAAGGGAAGGCTACTTAACAATAAGCCCTTTTTTCACTTGGGGAGTGGTGATGTAAGATTCATACCTGAAACTTTCCTCGAGACAGAAATAATCAAACTAACAACAGCAAGCGAATTGGGTTCATGAACCGAGATCTAACTTGAAGAGAGAGCAAAAGCTGCAATTTATTAGAAGTATATTACATCTTCTGTCGGATGCTAGATCTTGGATCCAAATGTCTGCGATATCCATGTTTTTTTTTTCTAGTGATTCCTTTACTAGCATTCGTATATGTCTTGGTTCAGTATTATTATAAGTTGTTTCATATCATGAATCAATACATTCTATTCAACTTTAAGTTTCTCTTTTGTGTATTTGAATCCCTTGAGTAAGTTTCAGAACTATGAGAAATCAGAAGAATTCTCAATTGGAAGCTTATTGGGTATTATACAACTCATCTTTTTTCAAAAATTACTTGATTTGGGCAATATTAATAATTTATAACTTGGGAAAAAGTCATGAAAATTCAAGTACTCGATATTTTTTAATTAAGTTTCGAGTGTTAAAGTATTGGCATTACTGAATAAATTCCATTTCCTAGATTTCGTTCAATCAGTACCTTTTTTTTTCCTTGGGATTTTTAACTTTCAATCTAATACTATTGGGTATGACGTCCAATTGTTAACTTTTGTATTAACAAGAAGCTTCTTAGTTGAGGGAAGCAGCTAAGGAATAATAGGCGGTTCCTTATTTCATGCCTGGATCAGGAATTTTTCTTGTATTGTTGCTGAAATGTACTTCAAAATCTTGTTGATTTTAGTATGTTTGTTTTTATTCATTTCATTTGATCTTGACACATACATCACTTGAAATTACCCACTCTGGAATTCATTGCTATATGACTTCAACTCCTCTCGTTTATGTAAGGTTTAGTAATAAGTCACTGTGGGTAATCAACCATTTATAGTTTGTATAGTGAATGGCCAAATCAATATCAATTAAACGTTGGATTACTGTCCAACTGTCATCCATGAATATCCACCTTTTTGTCCAATTGTCATGGTATAAAAGATTAATGATATCAATCAATCTGAGGTTCAATGAAAAATGTCCTCTCTAATTAATTTGTCTCTTTAGTATTTTTATTTTGTTTCATCTTTTTTGCATTGATCAAAAAAGGTGAGATAATTTTCTTTGAAAAAAGTAACAATGCAATTAATTGATTTCATCTCTGTTTTGGCTGCCTCCATCTTTTTGACTTTGGCTCAAGCTTCAATTCCTACCAGTTGTTCAAAATTTGACAACCTAGACGCTTTCCAATGTGTAGCCACAACCGCTTGTAATGTTCCATACACTTATACCATGGTATACAGTTGGGGTGTCTGGAGAGATCCAGAAGACAAACACTTATATGGTGTCAATCACATCACTATTTGTACTCCAAAACCTGGTTTAGAAACTGCCACTTCTAAGACTACTAAAACTACTGATGCAACCACTAAGTCTAAGACTACCACTACCATCACTGGTACTTCAACAACTGTAGAATCTACAGAACCATCTCCAACTGTCGCTACCACCGCCAGTGTCACTGCTAGTGATTCCAATTTAACTACTTCAACTACTTCAACTTCTAGTTCTTCTTCTACATCTGAAACCACTTCAACTACTTCCACCACCGAAACTACTTCAACTACTTCAACTACTTCCACCTCCCAAAGTACTATCTCCTTCCCAACTATGTCAATGAAGCCATTTCCAACTATGTCAATGAAGCCATTTCCAACTATGTCTATGAAGCCATTCCCAACTATGTCTTTCAAGCCATTCCCAAAGTTTCCAGCCTTTAGATTCAACAGACCAGTTCAAACTACCTTAACTACTGCTATTTTTGCTACAGATGGTCACCCAGATATCAAAGCTGGTGAGTACGCTCCATTAACTGAAGAAGCTCAATTGTAATGAGATTGAATAAATAAATTGTCTTTATACTTTCATTTTCATTTTCAATATAGCGTCTAATCATAATTTATAAACGAAATTCTTAGAATTAACTTTCTGGACTTTTTTTATGAACTGCAGTTTATAACTTTATAAGTGTCAATTTTGTATCTATAATTTATGTCATGGGTGTGTTTTTTTTTTACTGGTATAAATATTCTTATTCTTATTTGACATGTTGATAAGTAGCCATTTGTTTCAGTAGGAGCGAAATATTCTTAAGCGAATTATTATATATTTGCATAAATCTTGGGATTTTTAATATTTTAGAAAGGTCTGATTTTTTTTCTTTTGTAATTTGCATTTTTTTTTTTGATACTATATCAGAAAACATTTCAAGAAATGTTAAAAAAGATTTTTGAAATTAGTTCACAAGTTCTAAAAGTCTTAAAAAGACAAATTATAAAATGCTTTTTGAATTGATAAAGTGTCAGAATTCATAAAACTTAATATTGTGTCTTTTTCTTGTCCGAAAGCTCTAGATCTATAAAAACTATGAAAGTTTTGCCTATTATGAAATGATAAAACAATTGTTCTTTTTTATGTTTAATAGGGAGCTGTTTAAGGATAAATTAATTAAAGGTATATTGCAATTAGATCATTCAAGTATTTTTAACGTTTTCTTCAGATTTTTTTTCCTATCCAAAAACAATTCACTAAAGCTCAAAGTTACTTAGTTGGCAACGTTTGAAATTCAACAAGATATAGCCAAACATAAAAATGTTACACAATAATGCCTTTTTTCATAAAAGTAGATTAGATATTTCTTGATGTGCCATTTCTTCTTATACAGTTAGCTGCTTTTGAGAGGATTATTCTTTTCTAATTCGAATTAAATAATGAGGTGAACATTTCGTTATAGTCAAATTAAAATAAAAGGCAATCTATCGTTTACGATTTATTTATAGATCTTAAACGATTTCTTTGTTAATTTACTTGTTAAATAATTTTTTAAACAAGGGGAATTGACGTAATACTTAATTAACAAGAATTCTTTCCTTATGTCTTTATTGATCATATCTCAGATGTTTAAGATTTCAAAGTATTAGACAATTTACTTCATTGCTTCATATATATTAATCCAGTGACACCACAGTAATTTGACAAATAGTGACATAATTGTTACTAATTGTTTTCAAATAACATATCCTGCTATCTCATTTTTTAAGTGAGTAATAATAGTACTGATAGCAATAGTAGCACTAACAATATACCTCTGTAGTTTTTATAAAAAGGAAAGGCAAAAAAGATCAGATGTGTACTTCAATTACTTCTCATTTAATCTCAGGGCTTATGAAGTCAAGTCTATCCCTAAATCTTTATAATAATCTGTTTCAATTAAGAGATAGTTAAGTCATCTTACCCCGAGATTATTGAATTGTACCCAAAGGTAAATTTAACCAAGCAATTAATAAGTCTCAATTAGATCTATTTAACAGAGAAATGTATCTATTCCGTGGAATAAGCTTAAGCCATTCTAATACCGATCTTACTTGTTCTCAGTTAAGGCCCAACCATTAACTACAACGTTTTTACAAGCTTTAACTAAAGAAAATTAATTTAACTTCTTGAACTCTACTCCATTTCCAATTACTGAAGAATCAAATCAATTAGGATACAATTTCCAAATTCAAGACAAAACTAATACCTTGTGAACTTATTTCTTTTTTATCAGGGGCTACAATGACAATGGCAATGTTTTACTGACAACTTAAGGTAGTTTTGAGTTACTGAAAAGTTTCAAAAAGAGAGCTCAATTAATAAAAATTGCAAGAATTCATCAAAAATATTAAAAAAGAGAGGACATCAATAACAAACAACTAAATAAATTTGTGGGGAAGAATTAGAAAAACCATCTATAAATTCTTGTAACACAGTTTCTTAATTGATTGCTGTTTCTAAATGAATTCATTAATTAATTGCCAAGAAGGCAAGTTTCTTTTATTGTTCTTTATTGAGGACCACTATTTACCTTGATATTTTAATACTCCGGTTTTACTTTTCGGTTATGTCGTTTGTTATCAAGCAAATATTCTAAAGAATTGTAACTTGTGCCAATTGATCTAGATCTAACGATTAAAGGACTATAATTTTTTTGTTTTGCTTAGAGCAACTCTCTTCTAAGCTTCTTTTTCCCCTTCTTTTTTTCCTTCTTTCTTTTTAAACCTTTTAATAGGCATTTAGATATTAACTATCACACTATCGCCAGCTAATGACTTAATACTACAATAAGTTCACAGGAGGCTGGCTCTTAGTCAACAGGGATCAAATGAATACGATTAAGGTAAATTCAGTGGATCTTATTTCCTTAGTATTCCAATATATTGAGAATGAAGGTTCAGTTCAGCTATTTCATTTCATTTTATTGTTTTGATTTTAGGTTTGATTACTAGCTTGGAATCAAAAAACAGAAATAATATAAAGAGCATTTGTTATTCTAACTTCCGACAACTTCATTTTAAAAAACATCAATTCTCGCTATTACTTTCAGTTTAATGAAATTAAATCAACCATCACTACAAGTTATGGCCCACTTGTAGCGCAAATTTCTTAAAGTTTATGTATATTTCTTGTACTAGATTTGAACATCTTATTAGGATATAGAGTTGACTATTGTAATTTTATAACTGAGAATAATAACTGTAACTAGCTTTTTTTTTGAAAACGAATAACAAACATACCCAATATTCGAATTGGAAGTAATTATCTGTTTGATGGAAGACAAGCACACTTTACCCAATTTGCAAATCAAAAACAAATTCACATTTAATCATTTCTTCAAGACATAATATTTTAAATAAGTAATGGCCAATTCATGAATAAATAAGTCATCATGACACAATCATTCTCTTCTCTACAACATATATAGAGTTTTTACGATCAACTTCTGTTTTAATAAAATGTCAATTCTATTAAGTATATACTACAAATAAAAGGATAATATATCTCCCTGTTATGATGTCTAGAATTAAAGCCATTTTTTTAACGACCAACTCACTAGTATATTTCTATCCTTACTCTAGATCCTTCTACAGACACCTCACCAACAATAAAATAAATTCACTCTCTTGATATTCCTCATATATTTTACTATCAAGATAATACACAGTAAATTAAATTCTAATGACAGAATAAATAATCTAGTATGTCCCAAACTGATGCACCCAAGGTAACTGAGTCATATAACTTAGAAACCTGGAAGGTTTAAACTGAAGCAATTCCTACATGCAATCTGTTTATCTAGATATCAATATATATATATATATATAATTACGAAAAATTATTCAAGTAGAGACAGAATTGGGAAATTTAAAAGCGACATACGTGAATACTTTGTATAGATATGATACATTGCACCAAAATAAAGTTCAGAACATTAGTACAAAACTTAAATACATACAGATGCCTAAAGGATATTTTACTAGTTAAGAGTTTTTGAGGTTGTCACATCTTGACGTAATCAATTGCTACACTTTTCTCATTTATTTTCGAATAGGTTGTAACGTCACAATCTACAAGATTTGTTTTATCTGTTCATACAACAAACAGCACAGGAAAAAATCATAAATCGATCGATTTCTTGTTTCTCAAGAGTTTCAAACAGAGTTGTATTATTATTATTATTGATTGAATAAGCCGATCCATATTTTGAAAATATTGATAAAGCAATTGAATTAAATTCGTTCTAGTTACCTCGTATATTCTTTTTAATAATACTTTTAAAACAACCAACCAAACAAATGAAAATAGTGATATTCATCACGAAATAAGACTCCTTTATTAGTAACATAAGATTAGTTTGTCTGTGCATCTCTTAGACATCTCTAAATGGATATTCCTCAATTAATAGACTTAATTAACTAGAAAGAAAGTGAGGAAAAAAGAATTTAAAATTTGAAATAGTATGAATATAAAATTCTTCCGATTTAGTTGAAAGCCAATAAAAATCAGCACTGTTGCCCTTATTTTTTCATTTTAATCAAGCATTCTAGCCATCGTATCACTTTTAACCAATTTCCTATGAATTGACTGTCGTCTAGTCTTGATACTCTTTTTTCCCGTTTCTTTTACAGCTAACCATAATAATCTAGTAAAATATTGAAGACTAAGAGTGCTGTTGCAATGGAACAGGAACCAGTAACACGAGTAATCCCTATTTCTGTGTACAATACATTTTTTCACTTCTACTGCACCTCCCCTTTGCTTATTATCTTTTGCTGTTTATTGTTGATATTTCCAATTCCTAGAACCATTTCCACAGGTGAAGTTAATCACTGCAATGCTATTCATCTATTAACTGGCTATACTTCAATTTGTGAAGATTCAAGAAATATCTGTTTTTAGTCAAAATAAGTTGTAGGAGTGATTGTTCCAGATATAATATAACAAGATATAATATAATATGATATAAAACATAACATAATATAACGTAATATACTATAATATATTGCAATATAACTATAATACAAGTATAACATCCTATGTTATTTCAAATATCCTAAAACGTTCACTACAACTTTAACCTTGTTCTACAAGCTACGCTAATTAGAATTCGGATGCCTTCCGCCAAATAGGATCTGGAATATAAGACCTTACCCACTAAATTGTACAAAACGAACATATCAGTCTCATTGTATTGGAAGAGACGGAACTGACGGAATATTAGATGCCTAATGAGGGGCAGTCAAGTGGGAGACAACGTTTCGAATACTACATAAATATATATTTATATAAATATATATATATATATAGTATCTAGCCACATTGAAAAACAGAGAGAAAGATACAAATCTTCTCCGAACCTTTTTGTCGTATCACAGACCTTTGTAGTTATTAATTACTGCCAGAAGTTATCTCTCTTTTGATTTTTATCTCTCGTAGAATCTTCTTAGAAACCTCAACCAGAATTTCCGCTATCTCTTTCTAAACTTACTTTTTACTCTCACTAACTCCCCTCTCCCCTTCCTGTCTGTCTACCTGTCCGGCTGTCTTGACATCAATATCTTTTTTCCAGCAGGCTCCAGTCCATCTCTGTCTCTCTAGGCTGGCAAAGGCACCTCCTGCCCCTTCCAACGGTTAGCTAGCCGTTTAAGCTGGTCTCCTTCTACGTATCACGGTAGTAAGTACCTGGGTATATAATGTTGTTACAAAAGTAGTGTGGGATCAAACCCGCTTCAAGTGATATCTTGTTATGTTTAAATTTTATACTATTTTGACGACACAGTTGCTTACCACTCACAAATAATCAAGTGTTCAAGTCAGCCTTTGAATCTGACTGTAGTGCGAGTAAAGTTTAAGAAAGGTAGAATTATAGAGCGACTTTTAATATGTAAAAATTTAGATCAAGTTTAAGCCAAAGAAAACATTGCTGCAGAGCTACATAATGTATCTGATTTGATCATTTGATTCAAAAATTTAATCAGTTAAACCTATGAAATGTCTTATAATTTAATTTACCTCTAATCTACACACTTACTTAAGATCTTATACGTACGAGTGCTTTCTTTTAATGATGGTAAACCGGTAATTATTTTCTATGATATTTTCTAGTTAGGTTTGTTATCTATAATATTTCCACAAGTATATCATATAATATACTGAGTTTTATTAGGTATGTTTCTGTTTCAATATTACCTAATTTTTTTTTTTTGGTTTGTTCTTGGTGTTGGAAAATAGATTTTAAAATCAAGTAGACAAAAAGAAATTCTCGTACTATATATCCCCTATATTAATTGCTCCGACACAACCGAACTATTGAAGTATTCATTCTATCTAACAAGACATGTCTTTTATTAGTTTAAGCATAATAGTGTTTTAGGCTATGCTATGCCTTGCTTTGCTTTTTCCCTCTAATCGTTTCCGCTATATTACGATGACCTGGCACAACTTTGCCCTGGAAAACACCCAGTTCTCAGTTAAATTATTCTTCCCTATTCTACTAATGATATATAATAATTTCTCTGATTGTGAAAAAGGAAGTATTCTCCAATTTTGGTTTATGAAAACGATAGTTACAACCATTAAACATATAACCAACTCTCTTCCTACTTGACTTAAGTAAATTCTCTATGAAAGATTAGTTACCATAATCAGCTTATCTCTCTAGTTTCTCTTTGTATCAAGCAAGATATTGCCTTTTTAATGAAAAGAAAAAATAAAATTTTCTTTTCTTATGTATTGCTGGGGTTAACAAACTTAATACCAAGTAACATACATGCACGTACTTGTATTGACAGTAATATCTGATAACTATTCTAATAGAGTTTTCTTTACTTACTCCAAATATATATGGATTATTATTCAATAGTTGACTGTCAGTAATTAAGAGATCAAAAATTCTAAAAATTTAACCTAGCAAAATTGTATATCTCTAAGTTGCTTTATTAAAATTTGAACCAGACAGTCAAAAGAGACCTCAAATACAATATCATTGCTGAGATCACTTGAATCGTCTTAGTATCTACCACAGTTCTGAATGTTCCACGGTTTGTAGCATTTGCTTTTTTTTTTTTGAAATAAAGCTGTCGTTTAATTAAATTCATTATTCGAAGAAATGTATTTACAAGCAAGATCATAATCAATATTTTGATTAGACGGAAGGTTGCTGCGGTCACAGCAGTAATATTAGATTTCAAAATTTAATAAATTACGTTAAAGTTTTAAAACCCGGTTGAATTCATTCTATTATAAACTTACGTGCTTTCCATTTGTTAGAGTATCCAAATAGCTTTAATTCAGTTCGAAGTTACCTTTAATACTACTATCTCTATATAATTTTAATCATTAATTATGACACCTCTGCTACGTTTATTAGTACCTTATCCTTATCCTTGTTAATAAAAATATTATTATTATTATTGTTATTATATTATTATTTTTATTATTATTATTATGGTTATGGCTATTGTTAATGTTATTGTTATTATAATGATACAAGCGAGTAGCTGTGCTGGTGGTTAGATTAGTATGTCATCACCAATTTCTTCTTTCTTTTTGCCTTGCCTTTTTCTTTTTGCTGGATTAATTTCAATCAGATTTACTGAGCTTCCCTTAAGCTTAAATTTAAAATTGTGGAAGCAATAAATCCTTTGCATTGTAATCCTGATTAGGGACATATCCTTCTCTAAGGGAGAAAGAGAGATTAGTTCTTCAAAATCTACTATAATTGTGGATGTTTAAAACCCAAGCCTTTACACTACCCTGTCTAATGCTATGTTATATGCAATACAATTCATCAATTCGTTAATAAGTTTCTTTAAAAGAAAAAAACAACACTTCTACTACAAGTTCTTTAATTAGAGGAGTTACGTTAGAATAAATAAGCTGAATTTTTTAACATGTTTATAAACTACTAACGATTAGTAATATTCCTAGTGTATAAACTTCCAGCTGTATTTACATAATTATGTTTCTTTTGTTTTTGGTCTTTACTAATTTCTGCGTTTTTCGTTGTATCCTTTCTTTCATATTGAAATTATTTAATATTTTCTCTCTTCAGTATTGCTATTATTATAATATCCATTTGTTCTTATGAGGTTCCTTCCTCCCTTTAGTAAAAACATTGTAAATAAGTACTTTCCTTAGTTAGTAGAACTAGATATTAAAGGGAATACCTCTCTTTTCGAACTCTCTTTTGCTTTTTATCACTTTTATTTATTTTACGATATTTTTTTCCTTCGAGTTATTACATACTACTACTAGTTCCACTATTACTACTTACTTTGACAATTTCTTTGTATTGTCCTACATTTATACACTATACACTATTCATTATTCGTTATTACAACAATCACATAATAGCATAATATCAATATCAAGATACTATTGATAATAGACATAGTCAACTTCATACTTTCATTGAATCTGTAAATGAAATCAAGTGAATTGTGTAGAATTGAAATGGACTGAACTGAAGTTATACACATATCCACAGTTTGGTCCACTACTTTAATGAATAAAAGTCCGGCCAAGGAATTAAAACAAACAAAACCTTCTAAAATTCATAGAAACCAAAAATTCCTTTCTTTGTTGAACTTACTAGGTAATATCTATTATTTCCATTATACCTTATTTTAACCATTTTAGAAATCAATATTGTTCTGTTTTTTCCTTTCTTTATTTCAACTTAAAATTTTTAATATATATATTATATAAATATCTCGAGCTAAATTAAAAATATAATTAGTGTCGTCGTTCCTTATAAAGAATTGTTATTCTTTATTGGTGGTGATTGTAATTGTACTTTCTAGATTTATATTTAGCCTTGCATATTAAATATTCTAGTTTCAACATCTCCTTCTATTGTTATAAGTTGCTATTATTACACTTAAGTATTTTATTTTAGGTTCAGTTCCCAATTTAAGTTTTTTAGTTTTAATATCAAAAAAATAAAAGAGGATTTAAATTTAGATATTCAACTACTAGATCAAAAGAGATTTTATTTTATATATTTCAGATTATTTATTTAATTGCCAATAGAAACTGATCCAAACTAATATAAGAAAATTTCAATAGCTGATTTATTTTTCTCACATATTCATACAACTGTTTTCAACTACATTTTAAAGTTTTATTATTTTAAAACTATGGGTAGGCGTAAGATTGCGATTAAACCTATCACAGAAGAAAGAAATAGATCTGTTACATTTATTAAACGTAAAGGAGGATTATTCAAAAAGGCACACGAATTAGCAGTATTATGCCAAGTAGATATTGCTGTCATAATTTTAGGCGCAAATAGCACTTTTTATGAATTTTCTTCCTGTGATATTAAAGAATTATTAGAGCATTATAAAAATGACAAACAGTTTGCTCATATATCAAAAGATCCTTCGCATTTTGGAAATTATCCAAACACTTCAGAATCTCGACATAATTCCTTTGTTACATCTGAATCAATAAATGATAATGGTGATGATGATTTTAACAAAGATGAAATTGATGATGATGACGCAGATAATGAAAATGATAGTGAACTTAATGATACTGATATATTAAACAAAAATGAATTAATGACCGATAGCTTGCCACTTTGTCTAACAAAGACTACTACTAATGATACGAATACTGAGAGAAAACGTAAATTAGAGACTGATCAAGAGTCCCAACATTTTTGTCAAAAGTTTTATAGGACTAAATTTTTACCAGATAACTTTGATATTGAACCATGTAAGGAACCATTGCATATTAACAAAGTTATTCCTAACATTGACAACAATAGCAACAATACTAATGAAAATAGCAATCAACAAAATAATACACCTAATCATGAGGTGTTGAAAACCTTTAGGGAGAATACACCTGTATCCGAATTTTATGCTTCTACTAAACAAGCATTTAATAAATATTATGTTGACTGTCCTAACTCCTCATCAAGAGATAATGAAACCACACGATCGAGGATGCTTTCGTTTGAATCTAATGTATCCAATAAGACTGATGGAAACTCAGGTGTATATTGTAATGACAATTCAACAGATAATATTTGCTTAATACAAAACAAACAATCACCATCTGAAACAATCGAATCATGCTTAGATTATTCTAATAGTGAAGATATTAAAAAAGAAATCCAGTCACCAGTACATGCTACAGAGTTTCCAATCAAAGGCTTAAATGATACCAATAACCACAACAAATCAACTCTAGATAAAATATATTCTCCTAAATTAGTTGAAGGTTCAGCGGATGTGTCAGGTACAGCTAGTCCGTTGCTTAAGGTTGTCTCAACCCCCAGCCACCTTATACCAACTAATAATGAATTACAGTTAATTCCAGCAAATGGTGAATCTGAAATGGATAGGACTATTGCAGTTGATTGCGAATTTCCTAAGTATCGGAATTATCGAGATGATAATATTAACATGATGTTATCTAATGTGAATTCACAACAACAGCTTAAGCATGAGCTAAATATGCGTTCTAAACATAATCAAATTGATCATACTGATTGTAATGCTGACACTATTTCTGCTTCTAGGATGACGACAGGAACAACGATAACATCTGATAATGCAGATAGTATATTTGACAGTAATAGAATTAATGTCAACCCCACTGACATTAGAATAAACCATAACAACAACAATATGACCAAAAAGACAATTTATAAAGAGAGCAAATATGAGAATTCGAATGAAGATACGATTTACGATGGTAATGCCCAATTCCACAAGCTAACTATTCATGATCAAAACAGGCCAATGAATGAAGGTCGACAGTATTATAACTCACAAATCGAACAAGAGAATGGTAATTTGATGATTGGTGATCGGAATACAGATTCGTCAGTTCAAGTGTCACCTAATGTTTCTTATCAATTGTCATTGTTTCAAGAATGGTTGCATCATACTGGTAATATTAAAAATGGATTAAATATTCAATACTGTAGTAGTAGTAGTCACAATCAAAACCATGGCCATACTATTCCCAGCACTGTGAGTACTAACACGAATAATTATTGTCATAATCATAACAATTGTATACCTGTACCATCGACTATGCTATATCAAAGTAATGGTTGTTCAAATTTCTGTCATCCTGGTTATTCGGACTATTCATTTGATTCGAGTCATTACAACAATAACAATAACAATCCATCACCAACTAATTTATAAGTTTATTTTTTAGGAACATTGAAGATCAAAGCTCAAGAAGCAGATTAATAATAAATAAATAAATTACACGGGACCTTTGCAAGGAACCACAGACATTCAGACAGTTTTAAATATATCGTTTCAATCTAGTTTACATCAAAACCCTCAAAAAAAAATATCAGACACGACAGACACTACATTTTATTTTTTTGTTAATTCTTTTATCATCCATCTCATATATCAATGTTTTATTTTATTGATGAGGGAGGTATAATCCATGATCCATCTATCTAGCTCAAGTTGAAGTTTGAAAACTTTACAAATGTATTTTTGCACAATTAAATTAAATAGAAAAAACAGACACACGCTCATACACGTCCACACGGTCACAAACACACATATATCAAATAATATTCAAATAACAGTTTCCAATTTCATCTATAATTAAATAATTAAAAACCAAGATACCATGGGTAGGAAGGGGGGGAATTTATTACCCTTTTCTAATAATAATTAACAATTACATAATCACAATGCATAAATAATTCCTTAACTTTCATCAAGAAAAAGAAAGCGATTCACTAGATATATAAAAGTTTATACAAGTTCTATTACTGTCCCATGAAGAAATGGGATAAACGCATTCAAAAGAAAAGCTATAGATAGATAGATAGGTAGATAGATAGGTCATCAATTGGTGAATTGGTGTATCCTCAATTAATTCATTATTTGAAATTAACACATCATCCCATCCCTAACAGAATATTCGAAATAGTATAGTTGATAGAATCCATCAAGAAAACTAATCTTTATACTAATTCAAATTCAAATTCAAATTCAAATTCAAACTCAAATTCAAACTCAAATTCAAATTTGGTTTGATCTTGAACCATTTTCTGTCGTTTTAAAATAGATTTGTACGAGTGCTTGTCTGTGTCTGTGTCTGTGTGTGTCTGTTTTGGATATTTTCCATTTTCCCAATCAGAAACGAACGATCCGGCTTTTAAAAGAAAAAAGCACCAAACACCTGGCAGATATGAGAATACATCTCTTGGCATTTTTTCGTGTCAAAGTATGTTTCAATCAGGTGGGAAAGAAACGAAACGTAATGTAACAAGGGGGAAGGGGGAGGTGCGTAGGAATTGATATGTTTATCCCCGTAATCGGGGGAGAGAGATTGAAAAAAAAAACAGAGTAGACGCAAGTAGGAACAGATAACAACGACAACCACGACTGCCAGATCAGTCGAAAGGAGCCGAAGAAAACTTGTGCTTTCGTTACTTTTGCCATATCGGGACGAGCAGATTATCATTTCTTCTTTGTTTCTCCTACTTCTCTCTTAGTCGTTTCTTTTTAAAAAAAACCACCACTCCACTTGTGTTTCTTGTAATTGCCGTCGCGGCTCCATCCCGATTTGTCATTTTCCCTGCGAAAGTTGCAGATACGGCAGGGTAAGACGCGTTTGTTTTGTTTTGTTTTGTTTTTCTTCTGTTCTTTTCCGGAAAGTGACTGTTTACTCAACAACAGTACATCCGTACATTTCTTGTCTCTCTTCTCCCTTTCTGCTCCTCCCGTCCAATTTTTTAACAAATTTCCAACAATCATCTATTCACCCACTCACACGCCCACTCACACACTAACCCACTCACCCACTCACCCACTCATTCAATATCAATATCAATATATGGTTGGTTTGTATTATTGTAGTTTTTCAACTTTTTCACCATCCATTCATACATCAGCTAACCTCTCTCCATTCTCTCTACAGCTTATTGTCTCTGATCCTATCCATCAATACTCTAGCGCTGCCTGCCACATCCAATCCAACCCAATCACATCGAACAACCTCTTTCTTTATGAATATTATTGCTATTATCGCCAACCGTTCGTTATCCATCAAATTTCAAGTATATACCAATCAATCAATCAATCAATCAATCAATCATTCAATCCCATCACCTTCATTCTATACTGAATGAAAATATACATCCAATCTGTATTTCACCTTATCCCTACATCACGTTGGTCCTATTGTGCCTACTACACTTGACCTTCTCTCTCATGCTACAGTAACACATTATACCTTTTCCCAATAACCTCTCCATCTTTCTTCTGTACCTACTCTCCCGCTGGAGCATATTCTAGTATTTCTTATTTTTAATGCTGTAATGCCATCCATCTATACTTATTTATCAATTGCTTGTCACGTACTTAATACACGCTAGCTATTCATTACATTTCTATTTAAACTTATTTAAAAGGTTCTTCTCCGCTACCATCCCAATTATAACAACCCAATTGATTCAATAGGACAAAGATGAAGTTGAATATTGCTTACCCAGTTAACGGTACCCAAAAGACCGTCGAAATCGATGATGAACACAGAATCCGTGTATTCTACGACAAGAGAATTGGTCAAGAAGTCGACGGTGAAGCCGTTGGTGACGAATTCAAAGGTTACACCTTCAAGATCTCCGGTGGTAACGACAAACAAGGTTTCCCAATGAAACAAGGTGTCCTATTACCAACTAGAGTTAAGTTATTACTAGCTAAGGGCTATTCCTGTTACAGACCAAGACGTACTGGTGAAAGAAAGAGAAAGTCTGTCAGAGGTGCCATTGTCGGTCCAGATTTGGCTGTCTTGTCTTTGGTCATCACCAAGAAGGGTGAACAAGAATTAGAAGGTGTCACCGACTCTACCGTCCCAAAGAGATTGGGTCCAAAGAGAGCTAACAACATTAGAAAATTCTTTGGTTTAACTAAAGAAGATGATGTCCGTGATTTTGTTATCAGAAGAGAAGTCACCAAAGGTGAAAAAACTTACACTAAGGCTCCAAAGATTCAAAGATTAGTCACCCCACAAAGATTGCAAAGAAAGAGATACCAAAAGGCCTTAAAGGTTAAGAATGCTCAAGCTCAAAGAGAAGCTGCTGCCGAATACGCTCAATTATTGGCCAAGAGATTGTCTGAAAGAAAAGCTGAAAAAGCTGAAACTAGAAAGAGAAGAGCTTCCTCTTTGAAGGCTTAATTTAAACGACATCAACATTAACATCAACATTAACAATAATAACAACAACAATAATAATAAAAATTCATGATAGCAATTATATTGCAAACTTAGTTTTGTACATTTCATTGTCTATCTTATATAAATGACATAGTCAACGCCTAAAAAAATAACATTATGATAAGATTTCAAAACGTAAATTCCTTGTATTAGAACTATAGATTGTAAATTAAATTATTTGTTAAACTAATTAAACAGAAAAGAGAAAGAAAACCTAGTAAAACGACGCATTTTCATTTCAATGTCACCAACTCTTCCGCACTAGTAGGGTGAATTGCGACACAGTTATCAAAGTCTGCTTTAACAGCGCCCATTTTAATTGCAACACCGAAGCCTTGCATTATTTCAGATGAACAATCACCTACTATATGTAAACCAACTACTTTCTCTGTTGGTCCTGCACATATCAATTTGTACTTGGTAGGTGTTTTTTCTTGTAACATTGAATAATAAAGTGCTGAGAAACTTGTATTGTATATTTTTAAATTCTCTTGACCAAACTGCTCAATTGCCTTTGCTTCAGATAATCCAATTGTGCCAACTTCAGGATGGGAAAATACAACACTCGGAATATTAGTATAATCCAATTTATCCTTAGCAAATTTCTCAGGTCCAAACAATCTATTGGATAATTTTCTACCTGCAGCAATTGCAACTGGCGTCAGTTCAATCCTTCCTGACACATCCCCTAAAGAGTAAACATTTGGGACACTAGTATTCTGATATTCGTCTGTCAATATCTGACCTTTGTCATTTAATTTAACTCCTATGTTTTCTAACCCAAAGTCCAAGTATGACTTCCTTCCAATGGTCCAAATTATACAGTCTGCTCCCTCTATTGTTTCTGATGTCGTTAGAGTAACATTTAACTTACCGTCTGTTCTTTTTTCAACCTTTTGAACTTTCGCTTCTTTATGGACATTAATGCCAGTTGCAACGTAATGGTCAGTAATTGTTTCTTGAATCAAAATATCAAATTTTCTAAGAACAGTTTTACCTCTAATAACCAAGTGAGCTTCTGTTCCTAATCCATTTAAGACACCAGCTAACTCAATCCCTATATAACCTGCACCAACAACTACGGTTTTTTTAGGTTGAGTCTTTAACGAAAAAAAGCCATCTGAATCAATACCAAATTCATACCCAGGTATTTGATTTGGAATGATTGGTTTTCCACCTGTTGCAATCAGTATATGATCTCCAGAATAAATATTTTTAGTTCCATCATGTTTAGAAACTTCTACATGGCCCTGCTTATCAAAAGTTGCCCAACCAAAGTCAATGTCGACGCCAAATTTCTTCAAATTTTCTTCATATATTCCATTAAGTACTCTTAAATAGCTATCTCTCTTATCAACAAACTCTCTCCAATTAAAGGTCAAATTCTCCTTATTCAATGGTAAATTTTCAAAGAGCTTATAATCATGAGCATCGGTAATACTTTTTGCCAAGTTAGAAGCATACCACATTAATTTTTTTGGAATACAACCTACATTTACACATGTACCACCTAGTTTTTTACCTTCAATTAACAAAGTCTTTGCACCATATTGGGAAGCTCTTCTTGCAGAACCAACACCTCCAGAACCACCGCCTATTACAATAAATTCGTAATGTTTCACTGCCGATGACATTGACCTAATTCTTGACCTTATTATGAAACTGGTAGACCCTCAATTAATACAAATATTCAACTTTGGAAATATATCAGGACATAAATAATGGCAATTCCAACATGTATGTTCTAAGCCTGTTTTATACATTCTTTAATTTCCCTTTTGACAGTACCTCAATTGGTACCTGAAAAGACTAGTTAGCATAATAAAATTTTAATGTCGTCTCCCCTAAATTTAGAGCATTGTTAATCCATATATAAATATTCATAACACTTAAAAATAATTGTTGGAATGACCTCTATTCACCTAAATTGCTCTTAGCTTTCACTTATTTCAAAAATATGTAAAGCATATTAGATTTTATTACTTGAACATTCTTGATCTTATAAAATCAGTGTATTACCTAATAATAAAGAAGGAATTTAACAAAGGGAACCAAGCCTGTAATCGTTTAACAAAAAGGAATTACTTAAACATACCATTAGAAAGGTTCTAGTAATGGTGTTAGCAATTTATTCTGGTTTACTAGTTTCAGGCATTCTTGATTTAAATTAATTGTAATTTTCACCTTGTGCAGACAGACCTACTTATTACCCATTTGGCTATAATAATAAAAATATAAGGAAGACAAAGTCTATAACCTTTCTTACTTCATTCGAATTATTTTGAAAAGACTAGGGCCCTTATAGAGTAAAATAGTTTCATTGGCAATATATATTATTCATATTTTTTTTTCATTTAATAGTTTAAAAAGTTTCCATTATTAGGATATTTTCATATAATTGGATATAATTATTGAAGGTAAAATTGTTATTTTAACTACAACAACTGGGAAGAATAAAAAATCATTGAAAGTGACGAATACAATTATATTCAGTTACTTTGTTAATTTTTTGGAACTATTTAAAAGATTCTTTTAATATATTTATTTATCAAGAAAAGATAATTTATATGCAATGTGTCATGACCGTGCTTCAACACAAGTACAATGTTATATATACAATTATATGTGGAAGATGTTTTGATTGAAAAAAGTGATAGTTCTAAATCAAATTGGTGGATCATCCCATCTGTTTCCATTGAAAATTAGATATACGATACCAATCAATGAGATAATATTGAAGAATGCTAAGCCTGTGAAGCACCATCCAGCTCCCATTTTATCTGCTAACGTCATTATGATTGCTGAACTGATTGCAGCAGCAGAATTTCTGAACATTGTACTTAATGCTACAGCTGTTGCTGCTCGCCTTGCCAGTAGTTCTGTCAAGTATGTCATTGTCGTATTACTACACCAAGTCAAACCAAATGCATTCATAGCTGCAAAAACATACGACCAAATAATACTGTTGTGTTTTTGAATTGTCCAACCATATCCAATGCATCCAGCAGTATTGATTACGATTCCCCATATTTGTAGATATAATCTGAATTCTGAAGGGAATCTTCTATTTTCATGTGTTTTTATCCATCGTGCTCTTATATAATCTGAAAGATGACCACCAGTTTGAGAACCTATTAGCATAGCAACACCAGGGCAGATATATGCTAAACCAGTTTTGAAGCTGCTATAGCCATATTGTGTTTGAAGGTAATATGAAAAGGTGACACTAAATGCATAATAATTTGCAAACAACAAAGCAGTGCCAATTGAAGTAATTAAGACGGGAGGATATTTCAGTAATGAGAAGTAAGTGTGAATACCAGCCTTCTGAGGTCTTGGATATAGTTTTTGAAATGTTGGATCATCAGTTACAGGTTTTTGTATGCCAATATTAGAGAAAAATTGCCAATTTGAGTCCTTTTGAATAGTTTGACTTTCAATTGCACTTAAATCCGATTTATTATCCTTCATAGCCATTTTTTCATTTTTATATTGATTATTATTATTATTCTTATGTTTGATCCATCTTTTATCACCATTTCCTACCATGCATCTTAAAGTTTCTGGTAAGAATACCAAGACCAGGAAAAATGCGACACCTGACATGATTGAGGTAAAGCCAAATAGCCATCTCCAATTATCATTTATTAGGATAACTCCAGCAATGATAGGTGCCACAATAGGTCCCATATTTGGCCCCATCATAAAATAGGCAATAGCTTTGCCTCTATGTTTTGGTGCTGTTATATCAGTAACCGTGCCTGCACCCATTGACATCACTGAACTAGAAGAGAAAGCTTGAAAGATACGTAGGAAGTAAAGAAGACCTATCTTTGCTGGCAATGAAGCTAACAAGATATTAACAATAGTCATTAGAAGCAATGAACATAAATATAACCATTTTCTACCACATATATCAGCAAAATGACCCCAAATCAGAGGACCAATAGCGAATACCGCCATGAAGACTGACACAGTTGAATTGATGGTAGTGGTTGACACATTAAAAGCTTTTTGTAATGTAGGTAATGCAGGAATATAAATATTACCTGACATAGGGCCTAAAAATCCTATAAATATGATTATTGCAAATATTGTAGTAACTTGACCCTTTGTGAAACTTGTATAGGGCAACTCTTGGTCAATTGGTGAGTTTGAATTTGAATTAGATAATGAATTAGAATCTGATTGCAATCCATTTTTATTCTTCTCGTTTAATACATCATCATTGTTGTTGCTATCACCATTATAATTTTTGTTATTCCCATTATTATCATCACCATTTTCATTCGTAGTGTCATTAGAAATTTCTGGTTCCATATTTTTGTTCAAAATAACGATATTATTATTATCATCAGTTCCGAATTTTTCATAATCACTAGAATTTGAATTCAATGCATCAAATGGTACATCAACAATATCATCATCGATATTGAAATCACCAGACAAACCAGTTGGCATTTTATCCAAGGGAACTGTCATTGCCCTCACAATTGGACTGTCGGAAGAACAAAATGATTTCATACTTGGCGAAACAACAGCTGGGTCATCGTGATCTGATTTATTTGAATTATTCAAATTTGAATTGCTATTTTCTAGGTCTAACGCCATAATTGACTATTTTAATTAACTTTTAAAATATTATTTCTTTTTGTTCTCTTCTCCTTTAATGTATTATACTTTCATATAATAGAATGACAACGACCGAAAACAACAACAACAGTAATAATAGTAAGAACCTACAAAAACTTAATCAAGAAGGTCTCCAATAAACCTAAAACCAATAGATCTTAAAATGATACACACATCCAAGGTGACACTATAAATTAAATTGAATTAAATCTATACATTGAAGGATTGACTAATCAAAAACCTTACTATTTTATAATGAATCAGAATATCATCTAGGATATAATCTAATATCTACAACTATTAATAAAAGGGTTCCAAAACTAAAACTGACCATTAATTTGAAGGATAAAGACATAATGTAGTTCACGAGTTCGTGGTTATTGTTGATTCAAAAATGAGCTACAAAAACCAAAGTTGAAAGTTAGAAAACAATTTGTGTCACCACAGTGAGTGAACCTATCTTAGATATGCCTCAATCGCTTTTGATTACATCTATATCATATTAGTTACAATCGATTGATTTTAAATAGCCAATGCATCTAAAAATACAATACTATAGCTCTTTATACAATTTTTAGCCCAAGCTGGTTAAGTTTAATACAGCGACGGCATTTCTAAACCGAATAGCAAACTTTAATTTACATGTATCAATAATTGATTGTAAATACATTAATAAGGACATAGCTACACCTCCACCTCTGGTCTCCCTTCTCTCTCCTCTCATAATTTAACTTAGAATTAGATTTAAATATATCTAAGTTCAAGAAATGTGAATATATTAGGTAGATTTGTCGGTATGACTATGCCATCTGCTTTCTGCTTATTTTATGTTTTTGTTTAAATTATTTCTACTAACCTTGCCAGTGTAATTTATGAAGGTAAAGACGAATACATTCTCATACATTTTCGAGATTGTCATTTTGTAATCAATTACTGACAAAAGTTGCGTCAAAACCATTTTGGTTAAAGAACCGATTAGTAGTTTATTACATCAACTTCCTTATATCTGTCATTACCCTTTATATAGACTTTGTTACATATATTGTATACAATTTGTATAATTACAGGTTCATTTGAAGTTACCCGCACTGTTTAAATAGATATCTCTTTGTACGTAACATTATTCTTAAACTACCACGAACAGGTAAAGCTGTTTCAATAAAATTAACACTATAATAATATAAGCTATTAAGATAAAAAGATGTTAGAATTGATGATTAAAGTTATGGATCATTGGAAAGTAGTAGACCAATAACAGCATATCTGGCTTCAATTGTCTTAATAACTATACAAGGTTTTATATCTGGTTATTCCTAAATTTTTTTTTAATTCAGTAATTATTAAAAAAAAAAGAGTAAACCACAGGAATTCTTTTTGCTCAATATTTATATTATTGATTTAAGGTTGTGACTCTTTTAGAATTGAATTAATAGAAGCTACTTATTGAATATTCTTTTGACTACTTTTTTCTTATTTTATTGGCGAAAAAGGGTTTAACGAGCATACCGTTGTGATTCTATTACCTACATTTTTTTGGGGTTTTCATTGACTATAGAAATTAATTTTTAAAAAAAAGATAAGCTTACTCAAACGTTATATAATATTTGTCAAGATATCATAGGAAATACACCATGTCAGAAACTAGTCCTGAATCTCCATTAGCTGTGGCCAAATTGTTACGTCATCACAAAGCATTGAAACAAAGAAAAGGTTTATTACAAAATAGACCTATTGAATTTTTCCGCTACAAGAGATTTATAAGAGCATTGAAATCAGATCAATACACCAAGAAATCTAACAATCAACCTGATTTATATCCTATAATTGCTGCTGATGACAAAGATGAAAGTGCAAGAAACGTCTTCATCTCATTAATTAAATCTCAATTGATTGTACCAGTAATAAAGTTACACAGTCATGAATGTAAAGATCATGATCTAAAGCCAAATAAAGATCATCCTCATTTGATTTTGACTCAAAAGGCATTATTAGAAGATGACGCTTATTATGCATGGAATCACAATCCAAAATCTTGGTTAGATATCTTATCTGTTTTTGGTATTATCACTGTTATTTTAACATTGGTTTGTTTCCCATTATGGCCAAGATCAATGAGACGTGGTAGTTACTACTTATCATTAGGTGCTTTAGGTTTGTTAGGTTTGTTCTTTGTATTAGCTTTCATCAGACTAATAATATATCTGATCTCATTGGCATTTTTCAAACAGCAAGGAGGGTTCTGGTTGTTCCCTAATTTATTTGAGGATTGTGGGATCTTTGATAGTTTTAAACCACTATATGGATTTGGTGAAGAAGGTAACTATACATATATCAAAAAGTTGAAGAAGAAAAAGAAGAAGCAAGCAGAAAAGGATGGTGTTACTACTGAAAAATCAAAACTGAAATCTAAATCTAAAAAACAAATAACTGAAAAGGGTAATTAGTAGCTTTAACTCATTCTTAATTAACGAATCAAAAGGTATATTTTTAACTAAATTTTACTAAAATAAGTTTGAATCACTTTTAGTTTACTTTCCATTTCATTTTCTCTTTTTTCAAGTACTGCATAATTGATAAAATAATAAAATTATCACCATTCATTCCACTAGGTTATTTTTTCTTTATTTTGAAATGTCTATCTGAACTTTTTATGACTCTTTCCACTTCAACTTGGATAGATAGAGAATCAAGATAGCAAGATGTTTAGAAGTATATGTAATATAGGCAACTGGAACGATCAGATCAAGCTGAAAAACTTCTAGAATTAAAATAGAAATAAAAATAAAAATAACACTCCAAATGGATGATATAAGTATTGATGTATACTCTCTCTTTAATATAAAAATAAGCAAGGTATAAAGTATAATAATAGTAATAATTTAACAAATATACTGATAATAATATATTGATTATGTTAACCTAGTCACGTTTCTGCTATTTCTTTAACCATATTTATGTATTATATGTATATTCAACTAAACCATTGTAGTTCATTGAATGAATTACTTGAATAAGAATGAATAAAGGAAAGAACGTGAATATATACTTATAAAGGCAAGATACTAAAACCGAGCTATTTGAATCCAACAAAAGCAACACTATTACTAAAAGAGTAATAATTCCATGATTAATTTTTTCACTTTTGTTCTCTTTGCAGGGACCTTCACAGACTAAACTGAACTAGACCAATTCAACACAAATCAACTCAATCTATTCCATACATTAAAATATAATTCCACTAAGAAGCGGATACTAAACTATACACCACTTGAACCAGCCCATTCAAGAGGTATCTTAACGATAATAAGATATCCAACTTTGAAAACCCTCAATAAACTAATTTAATACAACAAACAAAAACCATGATTAGATTCTCTTGTTGAATTTGTATACAATTTATTAAGTCGTTATGGTATGTAAATGAGAGCTTTTGGATAACTTTTGGATAACTTTTGTCTCATTTACATTCTAAGAAAGAAACACTTGTTGCATCGATTAAATAAAAGCAACGTTATTTCAACAAGAAGGGTTCCGTGGTTGAACATTACGTTCAAGTTGCCTTGAAATATATAATAGATTCCTGTAGGAATCAAACCAACATTGGCAGTTGGTTTGATTAAGCTTTCACTCAGACAGTAGGAAAAAAAAAATACAAACTCTTGTATATACTGATGATACTTATGATCTGATATGAAATTAGTTAGTAGTCAAGGATTCCACGGAAACTAATTCCAACTTAAACGTATCCCATTCTCTATATCTCATACCTATCAAAACCAATCTTTACTGGCTTAGCAAGTAATTATATATCTATCAATACGGAGCTGTTACCTTACTAGGTTACGTATTTTGTTGAGCTTCTTTCAACCAACTATGTATCTCCAGTAAAATGTATCAGGATCCAGTTTCGAAACAGGTCGAAGATACAATTCCAGCAAATTACCTTGTTACTTCAAATCACGGAGGTTTTACCTCTTTTGCTTCCATACTGTTAACTTCCAATATCACGTAAACGGGTTTCTTTTTATTCATTCATCATTAAGAAGATATCTTCATTTCACTACTTTAGTTCATTCTAAAAAGAACATTAAGAGCTTAGTAGTTCATCTAGGAGTTTGATAAAACTGGTGAAAGTTTGTGTTTCTTTGTCAAATGTAGGGGCACATTGGTCTAGCCTTGTCTTGTTCTTATTTGAAACTCCAGGATGTGGTTGTTATCATCGTAGATGTATCGATAGAGGAATTTCTCAATAAAGTTACTAATCTTACATTATGCTTACTGAGGTGATGATGGGAATTAAATAATATATATAATGGTGGAATAAACATCGAAACTTGTTGGAATGAAGTGACTCTCGATTCATTAGATAGTCTTATTATTAGCTTTCTATGTTCGTTTAAATCTCTCTTTTACTTTTGTTGATATTTTAATTATCACTATATTTTCATCTCATCTCATCTCATTGTTAGAGGTTTGTCGACTTAACTTTGGTACAAGGAATTCAAGTACAGTCTTCTCCACACAATGTCATCTACTTATCCAACTATCAATCCATTTCGTTGGGGTTTTAATGGTACTGTTACCCAATTCGCTAGTGATGACTCTGTCAAGCTAACTCTAAAAGATAGTAAAGAGAACACAGATTTTAAACATTTCGTATCTCAAAATGTGCCAGGCTTAAGAGATGGTGCTACCTTTAGATTGAACCCATTGTTATTCACTGGTATCTTACAAACTGTCTACCTAGGTGCTGCTAATTTTGATCAAAAATTTAGAGTCTTTTATGGTAGAGAAGTTAGAAAATTCTCAGATGGTGGTATCACTTCAATTGATTGGGTTATGAATTCATGGAAGGATAAATATCATTTCGATCCTTCAAATTGTTCTTATGATAAGAAATCTTTTGATGCTGATGAAAAAGAGACTCATTTAGAGAATTGGCCTCGTTTACATCCATTTACTAGATTCTTAAGAGAACCTGAGATCACCGAAATCGATGGTGACGATAGACCATTAATCGTTGTATTACACGGTTTAGCAGGTGGTTCTCACGAACCTATTATTAGATCATTGACTGAGAGTTTATCTGCTATTGGTAATCATAGATTTAAAGTTGCCGTTTTAAACTCTCGTGGTTGTGCACGTACTAAAGTCACTAATCGTTATTTAGGTACTGCTATCTTTACACTAGATATTGAAGAATTCATTAGAAAAGAATTAGAAAAATTCCCAAATAGAAAGATTTATGCTGTCGGCTTTTCATTTGGTGCAATGCAATTATCAAACTATTTAAGTAAGATGGGTGAAAATTCAATGCTAACGGCTGCTGCCTTTTTATCAAATCCATGGGATATGGTTAACTCAACAAGAAAGATTGACAACGATTTCTGGACAAAGACACTCTTTGCCAAAACATTAGGTCAATTTTTATCAAGATTAATTAAAGTTAATATTGGCGAATTGGAAGTACCAAACGGTACAGTCCCTGATCACGAACCAACCCCAGAAAACCCTTGTTTTTATACATTTACAAAGGAGAATCTACAAAAAATATCAGAGATCACATCCCCATCACAATTCGATGATATATTAACAGCACCATCACTTGGATTTAAAAATGCATATGATTATTATGGTTATGCAACTAGTATTACAAAAATGCCACATTTCAAAATTCCATGTTTAGTGATAAATTCCATCGATGATCCAATTGTTGATAGCAACACTCTACCAAGAAACGAGGCAATGAGCAACCCATATTTAGTTTATTGTGAAACAGATCTTGGTGGGCATTTGGCATATTTAGATTCAGAAAAGAATTCCTGGGTCACTCCAAGAATTGCTGAATATTTCTTTAAATTTGATGAACTGGTTCTCTGAAAATAGCCAACATCCCCTTATCACTATTACATACATATACATATAAGTAGAACTTGGCTTTAAAGTAAATAATGATTATAAATACAAGTAATGTCACCAATTATCAATTATTGACAAATCAAAACTGTTTCCTACCCCAATTCCATCAATTCCAACTCAATTGGAGCCGTTGAAAAGGGACAAATCAACTTAATTCACAAACAAACATATAAATACTATCAAATTAACCCCATTCCTTATCAACCATCGATCATATCGAATCAACTCTTCTCTGTCATCACAAATTTCCATCCTTATGGCCTGGTTCATCTTTTTTTTTTCAATATCTTCTGCAAGGAACTGTAAAAAAGTTGAAAAATATCAAGATAAAAGACCTTTTTAAATGTACTAAACTATATTGATTGTGAAGGTCTAGGATTGATTGGGATTCAGGTTTAGAGTCAACAAGAATACCTATTGGTTTCAGTCCATTGTTCATAGAAAATATAATCACAAGAAATGCCTCCTCCACCACAAATTTACGCTCAACAGCAGCCATCAAATTGGGATAAGTTTAAGATGGGGTTGTTAATGGGATCTACAGTTGGTGTCTGTACAGGTATCTTATTTGGTGGGTTTGCTATTGTCACCCAAGGTCCAGGTCCTGATGGTGTTGTCAGAACTCTAGGGAAATATATCGCTGGTTCTGCTGCTACCTTTGGTCTGTTTATGTCAATCGGTTCAGTAATCAGAAGTGATACTGAAAATGCTAATGAATCCAATCCAACTCGTAAACCAATAACCCTAAAACAACAATTTAGTCTACATCAAAGAGCAAGAGCTGAAGCTTGGAAACTACGTGCCAATTATGGTATCTACAAGGATTGATTCCTCTTTTCACTTTAGTTTTTATCATGCTTTTATATCCATAACCGTCACTTCTAAATAAGTAATATTATATATAAGAAATTAAGCCTTATTTGTATTTTGTACATATAAATAGTTTGTCATCCCAATACATAACTCCTGTTCATAGCCAAGTAACAAGCTTATAAGAACTGTAATCGGTTATCTGTTCTTGTTCAGCTGGTGTTTGTTAGTTTTCGATTTAGAGTTAGATTTGTTACTAAGGAAGTCTGTTGCTTAACCTTTTAAGTTTGGTTTCAATTGGGTTAATATTGATTGAGGTTAGCTGAGATAAAACATTTGTAAAAGAGCCAACTGTTGCATGATGATTAGGAATCAATTGTATAGAAAGTGTATTATCGGTGGTGGTAGATCGATATTGAATGGCTGGGTGATAAATGGGACGGTTCCCAACATTGGTCTTAGATATTTACGTTCAGGAATTGTCACTAGAAGTAATGAAATCAAAACTTTAGAAGATTTATCGAAACTGAAGAATCTTGATGATGTTGATCCAGAATTAATAAGGAAACTGATCAATGAGAGGACTAGCGAATTGAATATTCAAAATGAAATGGAAATGTTGAAACATATTCAGAATGAAGAGAGGAAAACTCAAGATATACCTATTAAAAGATTCATCAGACCAACTTGGATGTTCCTATTGATGAGTTCGACTTTTTACCTTTTAGGTCATTACATATGGTGGAAACTTGAGTATGATGAAGTAGAGAAAGAATTAGATAGACAAGTGACTGCATTAGAAGAAGAATTGCATAATTTAATTGAAGAACATCGTGTACATGGAGAAAATGAAGCTATTAAAAACAAAAAACATAAACATTGGTACAAATTTTGGTCTTAGAATGCCATATATATATTAATTCCGAAATCATTGTAAATAACTAAATAGAAATTAATAAATTTAAATTGTCATATTAGAAGAATGAAATTAATTATATAAGTGAATATGTAATTGATGCTGGCTGGATAATATATTAAAAAGTTAAAAGAACAAACTACTTCTATTGTTTTAAAAATCTAATGACACTTTTGTATTCTTAGTAGAATCTTCAAGTGAATGTGAATGAGAATGAGAATGATCATGGGTTCCATCACCAATAGCGGTCGAACAATTATCTCCAGAAGCAGCTTCATCATTGTCTTCAACCGGGATACCCCATTCTTCAATTTCGAATCTCTTTCTACCATTTTTAAATGCCCATTCTGATTTAATGACATGCATTTCACCACGTTCACTGAAGATAGGTAATTTTAAAATCTGAATTAAACCATGTTGAACTTTATTAGGTTGCGACTTGTATGCACGCTCTAAAAATTGCAGCATTGTTTGGTCAAATGGCTCCAATCTCATAACTGAGTCAAAAATACTCTCAATTTGAGTCAGTAGGAATTGATCTAGAAGGTCAGACGAAACACTTGCAAATAATACACAGCTGCCTTCGTATTTTTTAGTTAAACTCTTTAACCCATGTAATAAAGGTAATATAGTAGAAATCTTAAACATATTAGGAGGATACATTGCTGGATGTAATAACGATGGAACAACAATTCTTATTATTTTATCTTTATGCTTTTGAATTGTCTGCTCCATCTGAACTAAAATAGCTTGTACATTTTGTGAGGGCGAAATAAATGTAATTTCATTTAGTGTAGGTGCTGGTATGATACGTGAAGTTATATCAAATTGATGGTTATAGTTTTTATGCTCATCAATTAATACTTCATCATCATCTTTCTTAGGCTTGTTATCATTCAAACCGTATCTCCAAGCAATCTTTAAGTCATTTGATCTTGCTGGTGCTTTTGACTCAGATAAGTTGCTGACAGATACTTTAGATTGCTCTTCAGCTATCTTAAACTTCTTGACATCTCTTCTTGATCCTTTGTAGATACCTGGCAATTCTTTGGCAAACATCTGATTTAATGATAAAACAATAACATGTGTATTACCTGGAGTCGATCCAGTGGACTCTAAACGGTTGTGAACAATACCCTGTGATGCAAATATTTTAGCTAAGACAGATTGAAACTCTGTAGTACCAGTTTCTTCCATTAATAAACTTGTACCTAGTGGTAATCCCATATGTCCCAAAAGTTTATCTAAATCCTTAGTACCTGTTGAAGTAGTTTGTTGGGATGTTGCTGGGGATGGTCTAATACCAGGATGGCTGTCTTCCACAGATGAGATTGGTACATCTGCTTGGCTCGAAGTTGGACCTCTTGAAATCCCTGGACTAGAACCTCTAAGTGATAAATTACGCATACGGTCAACTGCCGAAGGTCCAGTACCTCTTTCTGATCTCATGTTATTAATTAGACCTCTGTTAATACCAGTTGAGGCTGGACCTCTGTTGATACCGGCTGAGGTTGTACCTCTTGTAGGTAGTGGAACTCTTCCTGGAACAGCAGCTTGTCCTCGAGAACCATTGTTTAAAACTTCACCTCTCTTTCTAAATGACATCACTAACAAATCTTTAAATCCAGTTCAGTGCTCTTAAATTACTACAAGCAATCAATATCAACTTCTCGTATTAAATATATCCTTAAACCTTTCTTAAATCCATCTCATCTCATCTTATAATTTTTCAGTTTTTAGCTTTTGATATGCATGCTTAAACCGCATCTCTTTATAAGCCTTAGCTAAAAAAAACTGCTACTTAATGGTTATTATCTTTATCTTTAATATATTATTTGATTAAACTATCTACAAGTCATTTATATTATTATTTATTTACTTAATTAAATCATTTGTATAGTGTTTATTTTGTTTTCTTGAAATACTCAACATTATACATTTTTAGTATTTCTTCATTGACTGTGCTTGGGCTTCCAACGACAGTGTCGGAACCACTTATACTTTTTGGAAAAGCGATGACATCTCTTATACTATTCCTTCCACAGACCATGGCACACATTCTATCGAAACCTATGGCCAATCCTGCATGTGGTGGTGTTCCCATTTTGAATGCTTGTAATAAATGACCAAAAAGGTTTTCTGGATCATTAATTTTTAAGATGTTATGGAATATATAATTTTGAAGTTCTGGATCATGTATTCTAGTTGAACCTCCACCTAGTTCAACTCCACTAACAACAAGATCGTAGTGTTGTCCTAAACATTGAGATGGATCATCAGTTGATAACTTTTCATAGTCCTGCAATCTTACCATAGTAAATGGATGGTGAGTTGATGTAAATGAATTCTCTTTATACTGTGGGAAATGTAATTTTGTTCCATCTTTTGGAATTGTTTCAACTTCCTGAGGTGAAAATAATGGGAAATCAACAACCCAAGATGCAACATCTTGTCTTGTGCTTGCATACTTTTCCACTCCTAATTTGGTTTCCAAGACTAATTGACGTAGTTTACCTAAAGGTGTTGGGTTCTCAAACAAAGATTCAGATTTCTCTCTAGTAGAACCACAGATAATATCACCTTTTTCTAAATTTAGGAAATTAGAAACCAATTTTGGATTTTCAATATCTGTAATAGTTAAGAATTTTTCAAACCAATTCAATCTAGTTTCTTCATCGGCAATAGGAACGACTATTGGTGTTCTATATGGATAATTATCTGAATTCGACAAATGAGTCCAATTTTTATTGTAATCTTCTATATTTCTAAAAGCATTTTTCAATACCATAACTTCAAAAACAGGGAAATTCTTATGCTGAGTACTATGAACATTAAACTCTGACAAATCAGTTATCTGTAAATTTGGTGCTCTCAAATCTGGTTTGTCAATACCATACTTAGTCATTGCTTCTTTATATGTCATTCTTTTAGCTGGTTGTTCCTTGGTGACTTCTACAAGTTCATCATTTTCATTCAACGTTAGCAAAGGTCCTGACTCAGCAAATTCTTTCCAAACACTTGGTATTAATTCTTCCACTACATTCATGACATCTTCACCAGAAGAAAATGCCATTTCAAGGTCAACTTGAGTAAACTCTGGCTGTCTATCTGCTCTTAAATCTTCATCTCTGAAACATTTAGCTATTTGGAAGTATCGATTAACCCCACTAGCCATTAAAAGTTGTTTATATTGTTGAGGACTCTGTGGAAGGGAATAAAATAATGGTAATTTTCCAACTGTAGACTCCTTTCTTGTTGGTACCAAGAATTCCCGAGCACCTTCTGGGGTAGATTTGAATAAAATTGGTGTTTCTACTTCAGTAAAAGCTTTACTTGCCAGATACTCTCTAATACGTGTGGATATATTGTATCTTTTCTTCAAAAACTTTTGATATTCAGGTAATCTCAATTGCAAATATCTGTACTCAGGAGGATAGTTGCCTTTTATTTTAAAATCTTGAAGTTGTGATGGTTTTTCATTTGCTTTATTTAATGTCGTTATGTCGTCAAGTTTAATTTCATAAACTTTTCCTGAATCTAATGTAGAATTATTATCATTACTATCCTTTTTAATTCCCAATATACCTTCAATTTGGACTACATCTTCTACACTACCACCTTTAAGCTTTGAGTTTGTATCAACAATTTGAATCTTATTACCGTCGATATCACGTAAGTTACCAAAGATCAAACCTTTCCCTATCTTCTTCGGTTTTCTATCTAACCAACCATTGATGACAACCTTAGTCCCTACTTCTAATGACTTGGCTTGTTCTATTGTGATCGAATTACCCTTGAATTGGAATTTAGCCTTGATGCCTTCTGTTTTGGGCAGTTCACGTTGCAATCTGGATAGCAAAGAAAACTTTCTACAAGTTCTCAACATTCTCAGTTTATAACCCTTATTTAAAGACTAGTTGTCGATTTTTAGATTCAATTACTGTTGTTCATATTGTTTTGAACCAATCATTACTAGTTATATATAAGTTAACTATTGAATTTTTAAAGATTTTTCCAAATCGGGATAACCTTTAAGTATGGATAAAAATTATTCAATAATAACTATGACAGATGTCTTATAAGTTGAGACCTAAAATATGATTATCTGCTATAGACAATTATTCCAATGGTATTATATTTACAGATTAACTATAATTAATTTTAAGTAAGTGTATATATTAGAAAGAAATGCAAATTTAGACGTTATTTATTAAATTCATAAAGGGGAATGTTATAATGTTATTTCCAAGTCCATAGATAACATTCACCATTGAGTGACAGAGAACATACCATGCTCCCATGACAATCGATGCTTATAATTGGGCTGTCCTTATGATATTCATCACTTTTTAAGAGCTGTAATAGTTTTTTATCACTTGTATCCCAACAATAAATTTCACCATTATCGTAACCACTTATGACAATTGGAGGTTTATCATCGTCTTCTGGATATAGAAAGTCCATACCACATGAGTAATTCATTTGTTTTAGTTGTTTTCCTTGTTGTTTATTGTCTATTTGTTCTTCTCCGTCCTTTTTGTTTGTATCTATATCGTTATCATCTTGTAGAGGAAATGTTCGTACGACATTCCCTCTTACACAGTCCCAGATTTTAACGACTCCATCTAATGATTTGACAAGTAAGAATTTGGCATTTTTTGAGAATTTCACTTGTGATATGGGTACCACACCTGTTTCTCGCTTCCAATCCTTATCATAAGTCAATGTCTTTAAACAATGGCCGGTAGCAGTATCGAATATACGAATTAATCCATCGAACGAACCTGAACTCAATATCGAGCTATCGAAAGTACATATATCTATGGAGACAACAGCCTCGGAGTGTGCAGATATAGTTCTCATTAAGGTACCGTTTAAAGTATCCCAAATCTTAATACTTTCATCCATAGAGGATGAACAAAGTAAGTTACCCTTTGAATTATAGCACAATGATATCACAGGAGCTGTATGTCCCATGAGAATATACAATTGACCATATAACAGATGCAATACGTTAATAGTGAAATCATCTGAAGCAGTAGCTACACATTGGCCATCTGGAGACCAACAAACTTGAGAAATTGATTTAACATGAGAAGTCAGTATAGTCTGAAAAACTTCACCACTTGAGATATCATAGATAACCACAGATAGTCCATCTACAATAGCAAGTTTTGTACCATCAGGTGAAAAACAAGCACTAGTCGATAAACCATCAGTTAGATGCACTAAGTCTGATATTTTCCCAATTAGTTCTAGCATTATCAGTTATTCTTTAAGTTTTTCTTAGTAGCCTGGTTCACTTTAAAATAAAAAAAATAGCAAGAAGACCAGATATAAAAGACTAGATGAAAGAACGGACTAAACAACAACACTTCTTGATCCACCAGAGACTCAATAATCAAACTTATAATCCAATTTGAGCTACAAAACTTGATCTTGTTCAACTAGATGATCTATTACTTGTTCCATTACTTTATAAATTACTATGAGAAAAATGGATATCATTAGTGACGACTGCTTTTGTATAGATAATTTTGAAATATCAATTAAAGGTCAATTTGAAATTGATATTGGGATTTTGTATATATAAGGAATAGATATTTAAATATTGTTAAGGTGGCGATAAATTTGAATAATTGTAGATATAATTTATGTTATAATTGCAGGTGTGGTATCCATAGGGTTACATATAAGAAGGGATAAGATGAATAATATGAATATAGTGCCATCTGATAATTTTAAGAGTAGTGTTTCTACTGTCTCTGAGAGTAAAATAGTTTCTAATGCGGTTCCATCGTTGCCAGATACTTTGCGTCAACAGGAAGGTGGTGCAGTTCCTCTATCGACACAGTTGAATGACAGACATCCATTGGAGAACCGTGTGCAAAACTGGGAAGAGACCCAACGTAAGAGACAGCTTGAACAGTACAGACAAATTTTTGGTATAGCTGAGCCAGTTAAGAGGGAGATGGAACTTAAAATTGTTGAGAATACCGATTTTAACCCGTTATCTAACAATGCATCATCTATCCATCGTGACATTCTATTGAACAAGGAATGTGACGTCGATTGGGAAGATGTATATACTTCTACTACAGATTCAAATTCTATGCTAACTAGCAACGTTCATTCTAAGATTGAATCAACTTTAGGTATATAAAAAAAAGCAACAGCAACATCAACAAAACAAACAAGCAAGAATATATAATTACGTATATAAGTGCTGCTTCTTCATATAACCAATCAATACAACATTTATTAGATCAAGACTACTTATATTCTTGTATTAGTAGTAGTATTATAGATATTCACGAGTTTAATTCTGACCACGTGACTAACCAAACTGTAGAGGGAAGAGAGTTTCAGACTTTCTTTCCTAATCAATGAGGAAGAAGTGTTTCCGGTTCGATCCCCAGCTGTGTCATATTCTGTCAACCCCTTCTCAACTTTGAGCTTGCGTAGTACTAATTATATCAGTAGTAACACACAAGGTAAGACAAGGTAAGACAAGGTAAGGCAAGGCAAGGCAAGGCATGGCAAGCATAGACACGGAAATAGCTAAGTAGTGTCAATAAGTACAGCCATTCACCCTACAAAAGGGTCAAAAATATATCATTTTTTGAAATTTATTCCTAATCACGTCTATCTGACAGGCAAAGATGCTGACACCATTACTTGCTAAAGAGCTCATCTCATATGCTGAGCAATGAATGTATTTGACAAAATATTCAGCTTTTGCACTGTTAGTAATTGCAATTGATAAAGGATAATATATATATATATATATATAGAGAGAGAGAGAGAGAGAGAGAGAGAGAGAGAGAGAGATAATAATAACTGATTAATCAGTCTTTTCCAAAGAGACCAACACTACAAACAACAAAATACCTGTCTTTCTGCGACTGTTTCTCTTGCTTTTCCTCTCTCTATCTCTTTCGAAATCAAAAATTCAAAATCGAAATCGAAAAAAAAAAATTGTAACCAAAAATTTGAAAAATTTTTTATTCTCAAAGGATTAAGAGTGATATATAACAGTTGATTTGATGATTAATTGTAAAACTATTTTGTGTTTTAGTTGATTTCATGTACTTTTATTCAATTGTTAGATCTTGTTTAGTTTTCAATAGGTACCATACTTAAAAACTCGTTCCGATTATAACTGCACACTTAGGGATCCTTTATTTTTTTTTTTCCATCAAAATTGAAACTTTTTGCTTGTAGAATTATTTTAGTTTAAACATACAACTGGATATTGTTTATCAGATATTTGCAATTCATTTTATTTTTAAAAATACAGAACTATTACAAAAATTTTTTTCTGTCTTTGTTTCCTACTTATATAATAAATTACACTAACGCTCACACTTTTTTTTCTTGGGGAAAATAATATATATATATACTAATCTCACATCATATACCCCCCTTTCCAATAATAAAAATCAAAGCTATATTTCTTTTTTTGGATTTATTTTTAATAAAAGATATAAAGCAATTACATTATTAGACCATACTTATTATAATAATAATTGTCAATATTATCAACACACATACTCCCTCCTTTCAAACTTTAGTAAAACATGAATTTTCAACCACAATTTCAAAATCAATTGGATTCGATGAATTTTAATTTTCAAAATATGAATCTACAAGGTTCAAATGGTGTGCCACCATTACCATCACAACAACATGTTCCCAATATGATCCCTGATCATAACATTAGTCGAACTTCAACTCCAAACCCAAATAATGGCGGGGGTACACCTTCTCAGCTAAATAGAGCTCCATTATCCAGAACCACCTCCTTATTGGATTCAATAGGTATCCAAAGAGTAGGTTCTCCATTTATGCAACCAGGAGGTCCCTCTGCCGTCGATATGGGTGGTGGTCTATCTCAAAATATGCAATCGTCTTCAATCTTAAATAATTGGGGAACTCCATTGAACAACAATAACAACAATTCTAATGGTGGAGTCCAATTGAATCACGAAGATTCGTCTTTGACTTCTTCTCCTTATGCTGCAAAAATGCATCCTAGCTTGAGTACTCAATCACTAATGTTTTCTAGATCTTCTGCTGGAACCCCTGTTTTGAACCATTCAACTATCAATTCAGGTTTAGCAACTACGAATAATGCTATGTATGCTCCAATGACACCATCGGATTCGATGCATTTCCAACAACGACAGATACAACCACAGCCTCATCATACCCCTATTCTACCACACCCACCTCCTCAACAGCAACAGAATATTCCAATTCTGATAGAATCACAATGGAAATATATCGATTCCATGGGGCAGGTACAAGGTCCTTTTGAATCTTCAAAAATGAATAGTTGGTTGGCAAGTGGTTATTTCCCTTCTAATTTACAAGTTTCAAGAACAAATACATCCCCTGAGCCATTGGGTATTAATGATAAGTTTATGACAGTGACAGAAATTATCAACTTCTCAAACGATTTCTTTGCTCCTTTTTCTGCTGTTGATAAAATTATATCTGCCAGTATATTGAGCCAACAAGCTTCTACATTAGCAGGAGGCAGCACTTCTTTACAGGATTCCTTAAGTTCTTTATCTACAGGTTTAAACTCTGCTAAACCTAACCTGAGGGAAAAGGATTACTCTTATGATGAATTATTGCAATTAAGAAATAACGATGGTAGTTACTATAAAGAGTCAATTATCAAAATTCCTGTAGGCAGAAGCAAGAAGGAAAAATTAGATCCAGATTTTGTCGTTCCACAAGCTGCACCAGAACCATTATTACCAAAGTCTCCTACTCCGGTGAAACATCAAAGCCATTCCCCAAAGAAAATGGAGATCTCGAAAACAGCAGACATACATTCGATTAGTCCTAAGAAGACATCTCCTTTGAAAACTGAAACTTCAGTAGCAACGAAGGACGAAAGAGAAGTACATCATACCGAGGAAAAGGTTTTGAAAGTGGAACAAGGTTTAGAAGAGGACGATTCAGTTGAAACAGAAGAAACACAAGATGAAGAAAGTGAAAAAGAAGAGGAGGAAGAAGAAATCTCAGAGGTTAATGATTCAAAACTTGCCACTCCAAGTCAAGGTAAAACTAATCTAGCACCATGGGCCAACAAAGTTGAAAAAGTTGAACCTGTCAATATTCCTTCCTTAGAAGAAATGAAGAAACAGACGTTATCGAAAAAACAATTAGATCAAAACAACTTGGCTCAGATGCGTTTAGAACAAGCCCAATTAGCCAGAGAAGAAGTCATCGAGACACAAATTCCCACAAGACCTTCTTCGAATGTTGCACCATGGGCTAACAAAGTGACGAGCAATAAGATTGAACCTGTTATTATACCAGCCCCAGAGCAAATGAAGAAGAAACCATCATCTAGTAATAAATTAGAAAAAATTACAAAAGCTACCCCTATAAAGTGGGAAGATTTAGCATATCCTGATGAGAAGAAGGATAATGAAATGAAATCAATGTTGACATGGGCCACTAAACCAACTTCTGTTCCTGTGTCTTTGAACATCAAGCCACAACCTAAGAAGAAATCTTCCTCTACTGTATCAAGTGGCTCTACATCCACTTCCCACTCTTCTAGACTTGGCGATGAATCAGTTCCATCTTTATTAGATCTAAATGATAATGATTTTATTACAGAACAAAAGAAGTTATGGCAAGATGCTCATCGTTCCAGTGGCTCTTCATCAACAGATAATGCTTGGACTACTGTCTCATCTAAAAGTTCCAAATCTTCTGTTACTACTACCCAAGCAAAAATTGTTAGTCAACCAAGTTCTTATGTCAGTCCTGACAAATTGAGAAGTATCGGAGGCAGTTCAACTCCAGTGAGAAGCAAGCAAATTGGATCATCTACCACTATTCCATCATTGAAGGCCAAAGCTTCTAGTGGATCTCTAGCTACAGCTTATCCTGGTAATGCTTCTATTTCAGCACGTCAAGAATTGATTAAATGGAGTAGATCTCAAATGAAACTTGATTCGGGAATCCAGGTGAACAGCGTCTTGGAAGTGTTATTCAGTCTTCCAGCGGGTACAGAATCCACTGAGATCATTGCCGATACCATCTATTCCAACAGTTCTACAATGGACGGTAAAAGGTTTGCTACTGAATTTATCAAGAGACGTATTGACTGTGAAAGACAACTGACAGATCCGTTGACATGGATTGAAGCACTAGCTCTTCCAGAAGGTAATGAAGATGACTGGGAGTTCCAAGTAGTCGGCAAGAAGAAGAGCAGAAGACATTAGTGATTTTCAATTTTAGCATAGAAACATGTACATACAACAGAATGGAGAGTATAATTATAAATACACATCCATACCCCATTTATACATACATACATATATATATATATATATATATGTACCTCTAAAATCTAATTAGCATCACATTGCATCAACAAAACGTATGGATATGTACTAGACCACAACGGTCCATACAACTAGTCTTGTTATTGATCACGTGGAATACAATGACTACTTTCAAAATGAATTCCGATACGAATACGAATACGAACCCTTTTGCCCTTTCCCTTCTCTGAATTATCTCCGTGCCCAAAAAAGGAAAAACTCAAAAAAACATTAATTTGTTTATCCGAGCACCTTTCTTTTTTTTATACCACGTGAAAGAATAAAAAGGTTATACGCATCGCTACCAACATAAAACCGAACAAACCCACAAATAGCAGCGCTACCACAATGTCTCTCCTCTCTCTCTTTCTTCTCTCCCAGAAAGTTTCCCTCTTTTCTTCTGATATCTTCTCGAAGCTTCGTGAAAATTTTCAAAGTTTTCCATCTCATCATCAACTCATCTACTATGCATCATCATCAAATATCATCACAAGACATCTCGAAGTAATTCGAACTAAACTAAACTAAACTAAACTGAATTGTACAATCAATACTCTCTAATTGTAACAATTTACTTAATTTTTAACCTTCAGTTAAGTACAACTTAATGACTATCTTTTGTTTTGTATCTTATGGGAAAAATGTTATTTAAAGTTCGATTTTGTTCTTGTTCTTGTTCTTGTTCTTTCATTGTAATTTTAACTCTCTCTACTTGCATAACACCAGCGTATTCTTGATTGAATATAATAAGACAATAGCAATATGAGTACTCCATTTGGTTTAGATTTTGGTAACAACAACTCTGTTTTAGCTGTCGCTAGAAACAGAGGTATTGATGTCGTCGTCAATGAAGTTTCTAACCGTGCCACTCCATCTTTGGTTGGTTTTGGTATGAAGAACAGATTCTTGGGTGAAGCTGGTAAGAACAAGCAAACCTCTAACATCAAGAACACTGTTGAAAACATCAAGAGAATCGTTGGTCTAGACTACGAACATCCAGATTTCGAACAAGAAGCTCAACATTTCTCCACCAAGTTGGTTAAGTTGGAAGATGGTAAAATTGGTAGTGAAGTTAGATTTGTTGGTAAGAATGAAACTTTCAACGCTACTCAATTGGCTGCTATGTTCATCGACAAAGTCAAGAACACTGTCATTGATGAAACTAAATCAACCATCACCGATGTTTGTATTGCTGTCCCATGTTGGTACACTGAAGAACAACGTTACACTATTTCTGACGCCGCTAGAATCGCAGGTTTGAAGCCAGTTAGAATCGTTAACGATGTTACTGCTGCCGTCGTCTCTTATGGTATCTTCAAGACTGATTTACCAGAAGGTGAAGAAAAACCAAGAATCGTCGCTTTCGTCGATATTGGTCACTCCACTTACACCTGTTCCATTGCTTCTTTCAAGAAGGGTTCTTCTAAGATCTTGGGTACTGCTTACGACAAACATTTCGGTGGTAGAGATTTTGACCGTGCTATCACTGAACATTTCGCTGATGAATTCAAAGGTAAGTACAAGATTGACATTAGAGAAAATCCAAAGGCTTACAACAGAGTTTTATCTGCTGCTGAAAAGTTGAAGAAGGTTTTGTCCGCTAACACTGCTGCTCCAATGTCCATCGAATCTGTTATGAACGATGTCGATGTCTCTTCTCAAATGACCCGTGACGAATTAGAAGCATTAGTTAAACCATTGTTGGAACGTGTCACTGAACCAGTCACCAAGGCTTTAGCCCAAGCTAACTTGACTCCAGAAGATGTTGACTTCGTCGAAATTATTGGTGGTACTACCCGTATCCCAACCTTGAAGGAATCTATCTCCAACGCCTTCGGTAAAGAATTGTCTACTACTTTGAACCAAGATGAAGCTATTGCTAAAGGTGCTGCTTTCATCTGTGCCATGCACTCCCCAACTGTTAGAGTTAGACCATTCAAATTTGAAGACATCCACCCATACTCTGTTTCTTACAGCTGGGACAAACAAGTTGAAGATGAAGAATCTATGGAAGTCTTCCCAAAGAACTCTACTTACCCATCTTCTAAGATTATCACTTTGAACCGTACCGGTGACTTCTCCATGAAGGCTTTCTACACCAACAAAGAAGAATTAGTTGAAGGTATTTCTACTGACATTGCTGAATACACTATCTCAGGTGTCCAAGTTCCAGAAGGTGCTGAATCTGTCCCAGTTAAGGTTGTTTTGAGATGTGACCCATCCGGGTTCCACATCATCCAAGAAGCTTACACCGTTGAAGACATCACTGTTAAAGAAGCTTTGCCATTGCCAGAAGATGCTCCAGAAGATGCTGAACCAGAATACAAAGAAGTCACCAAGACTGTCAAGAAAGATGATTTGACTATCACTGAAAAGACATTTGCTCTATCCGAAGACAAATTGAGAGAATACACTGAAAAAGAAGCTGAATTACATGCTCAAGATAAATTGGTTGCTGAAACTGAAGATCGTAAGAATACTTTGGAAGAATACATTTACTCTTTGCGTTCTAAGATCGAAGAAGAATACGCTAACTTTGCTTCTGATGCTGAAAAGTCAAGATTATCTGAAATGTTGAATAAAGCTGAAGAATGGTTATACGACGATGGTTACGATTCCACAAAGGCTAAGTACATTGCCAAATACGAAGAATTGGCATCCTTAGGTAACATGATTAGAGGTAGATTCTTGGCCAAGCAAGAAGAATTGAAACAAGCTTTGAAATCTAAGTCTGAAGCCTCTAGAATGGCTGAATTAGCTCAAAAGTTAGCAGCTGACAGAAAGGCTGAAGCTGAAAAAGAAGCTGAAGCTTAAAAGAATTGAGTTAGTTTTACATACCATGTATTTTTATTATTAGGTTGTATATTTATAAAATAATTCATGATATTGCGTTAAATGTTATTTATAATTACACCTTCTGATATTTTGCTATTTAAACTAATTTTTCATAATCTTTTATATAGTTTATACCGACAACGTGAAATAAATCTGTGATACATATACTATCCTATAGAAACATTATTATTTAATGCTAGTAAATATATTAAAAGATTATTAACAAAGTTATAAAGAAAAATCAGTAAATTAATAATAATAAAATATATATTAGTTACAAATTTTGTTCATAAATGGAACAGCCTGCGGCTCCATATTTTTGATCTTGTACAACCTTCCAAAGACTCGTTTAATCCAGTAAATTCCCAATCTGTATTTGAATATGACCACACTGTACAATGCCATTCGTTATCTAACCATTGCCAACCTTCCGGTATCAATTTCCCCATATCGGAAGGAGCTAAAGCAGAATAAATCTTATTATTGATTTCGATGGAATACGGACTTCTTTCATAAGATACTAATTTTGAAGTCCAACCATCAGGATGCCATTTGCGTTGATTTTCTTGAATTTTTACATCTAAAATTTTAATTGAATTTTTATTCTGCCAATCTTTAGTCAATCCTTTAAAAGAAGAATCCTGTGGGTACAATTTTTGAATAAACAGCTTCAATCTATTATCTTCCAAACCTTTCAAAGTCTTGGTAAAAGGCAAAGATATTATCAAATCTTCATGTTTGATTAAATCGAATAAATCCAAAATTGGAAATTTAGAAATGCAATTTTTGTTAAAGATGTAATAGAAATAATAATAAAATTTCCTTACAAGTAATATTCTCCAAAATAACTTGAAAGTAGCTTGAAACCAAGTAGAATGGTATAGCCCCAAGACCAATACGCTTAAAATTGTATACAATTTCACAGAAATGTATTTCATCAGAATTAATTGAATTGGTGTCATTATTAAAATGGTCTTAATCAATGATAGCCATCCATTAATCTGCAATCCATGCATAAGTACTTCCTTCCTTACAGTCTCTAATTTATCCAAAACTGATTCTAACACCACTATAATATCATCTAAAGTTGGTTGTTCAGTATGACTTATATCATGATACACCGATTGTACATAATAAATGAAGGAAAAAAATAGAAACATGACACTTGTAAGTCCAAACCAAGTGTTGACTGCATATTCCTTAACCTGATTAAAGTTCCACTGCCTCCAAAGGCTACCATCTCCAATGGAGTCCATTGGTTCTAATATATTAACAGCTAAGGTAAAAGTCACTAGATATACAAACGGTAAACATAAATCGTCACAAATCCACATTAAATTACTCAGAGCACAATCTGTAATGATCAATAAAGGATATAACCTATATAAAGACCCTATTAAACTACTTGGAGTTATCATAGTCAGAGATGGCTTTTGACCATGATTATGAATAAATTTTGCCCTATATTTAGCATTAGAAGAATCTAAAGAAGCGGTAGACATCACCTATATCCCTAAACACAACAAACAAACTCGAAATTACACACACACAAACGTTCTGGTTACCAATAAGTGCCCAGTTAACATTCTTTTATACATTTGTTAAAACAATATAAATTACTAATCTTTTGCTTTTATATCAATTCTAGCTTAGTTTTATATAAAGGATGTCATTTGCTAAACACCGAGAAGGAACTAAACGTGAGATGAGGTTGCCAATGACAACAGAAGACCCAAACAAATAACCCATATGGGGGGACTTATTTAAGCCTAGGATGACAATTTAATGTCGATTGTAGTTAAGGATGGGTAGCTTTTCTCAAAAGATAAAAGGAGGCCTTCTTATTCATTGTACTGGATCAGATATTGATTGAATCAACCTATAGATTGTAAGAAAACAATACCTCTTTAACAGGTATTCTTCATGCTGTCGAGACTACTGTGTTGTTATGATTCAAGTATCACAACATTCTCATGATTGCTATTCTTTTGACAATGATCAATCATGTAACGTAGTTCATCTAATTCTCTATTCATTTTATTCTTTGTATTCAATGGTTCAAATATTTCCAATAATTTTTGAGATAATGTTAGACATTCCTCATATCTTCGTTGGTAATAATACCTCTCACAGAAGCTTGTCAGTTTCTGTCTTGTCTGTTTGATAGTGATATCATATTCATCGTTTGTATTTAACAAATTTAATGCATCTTGATTATCCATCCAATTAACCTCTGTTACAGTTGGGCCTTTCTCAATATTGAAAAAATGATCCAACTGTTTCTCATACTCTTCTTCACTCTGGCCCTTACGTATCTTGACTTTACCAGTGGACTTACGCACTTGAACCTCTCCAGTAGCTTGATCAAGTGCTATAGGTTTCGTTATAGCATTATCTTTATTGAAACCTTTCTTACCAATATTCTCTTGATCTTGAATCTCCATAGTTAAGCAATCTAAAACAGTAAAAACCAAACCTAGGCCTGATGCAACTAAAACTAAACAACAGATAACCGATAACTATATCACCTCTTCACAACTTTGATAACATCAAACAGCCTTTCAGCTACTTCAAATATCTCTTGATATCGATAATTATCACCTCTTCTTATAATAACCTCTTCGGTTATGTTAAAAGTTTCAAAGGTTTCGATATATAAACTCTGTTAAATAAAAAGATTGATATATAGAGGAACAGTTAGGTGAAGTAAGTCAATTGAAGACTAAATCAACTAATAAGAATACTGTGTTTTCAATTCCCTTGTTTATGATGATTTCTGATGATAAGCTGTGTCTTTGGAAGGAGACCAAGACGATTGGTATTATTGGTTTAGGTGATATGGGTTTGCTATATGCTAGAAAGTTTTCAGAAGCTGGTTGGAAAGTTGTTTGTTGTGACCAAGAGAAGTATTTTCAAGAGTTGTCATTGAAATATGCTGCCGAGAAGTTTGAAATCGTTTTAAATGGTCATTTTGTATCAAGATCTAGTGATTTTATTATTTATAGTGTTGAAGCTGAAAATATTGATAAAATAGTGTCATTATATGGTCCTTCTACTAAAGTTAATGCAATTGTGGGAGGTCAAACCAGTTGTAAGAACCCTGAGATTAAGGCTTTTGAGAAACATTTACCTTCAGATGTGGATATCATTACGGTGCATTCGTTACATGGTCCAAGGGTTAACACTGAAGGCCAACCATTAGTCATAATAGATCATAGAAGTAAACAGAAGGATTCTTTCGAATTCGTAGATACTTTGATGTCCTGTTTGAAGAGCAAGCATGTTTATTTGAGTTATGAAGAACATGATAAAATTACTGCAGATACTCAAGCTGTTACTCATGCTGCATTCTTAAGTATGGGTTTAACTTGGGCAAAATTAAAAGTTTATCCTTGGACAATGGGTATCAGCAAATGGAATGGCGGTTTAGAGAATGTCAAAATTAACATTTCAATGAGAATATTTTCAAATAAATGGCATGTGTATGCGGGTCTAGCTATTACAAATCCAGCAGCTCATCAACAAGTTTTACAATATGCAACAAGTGTCACCGAAATATTTACTTTGATGTTAGATAATAAAAAGGAAGAACTACGAGAAAGGTTATACAAGGCTAAACAATTTGTATTTGGTGATCATACAGGGTTGCTGCTATTGGATAGTTCGTTGTTAGACAAATATTCATTAAATAAAGAAAATGGATCTACTGACGCAGAGGGAAAACCATTACGCAATTCGCATTTATCATTATTAGCTATCGTAGACTCCTGGTATCAGTTGGGGATTAATCCATATGATCATATGATTTGTTCAACACCATTATTCCGTATCTTTTTAGGTGTTACTGAATATTTATTTTTAAATGATAATTTACTAGAGGAAACTATTGATAGTGCAGTAAATGATTTGGAGTTCCGTAGAGATGATCTGGAATTTGTAATATCTGCCAGGTCCTGGAGTTCTATAATATCTTTTAGTAATTTTGAATTATACAAAACAACATTCGAAGGGGCCCAGAAGTTTTTCGAACCAAGCTTACCTGAAGCCAATAGAATAGGAAATGAAATGATTAAAACTATATTAAGTCATTCTAAATAAATTTAAAATATATATTTTAGATAAATTTATAAATAAAATGGATGTGAGTAAATGCTATTTTGAATAATCGATAAACAAAAACAGTTCTTAGCGTTTGAGTTTCTTATGCAGTGGATAATTTTCATTATTGTTATTATTTTCATTATTGTTATTATTGTTGTTTTCATTATTATTGCTATTGATATCATGATTATCTATAAAACCCCATGACCTTTTGGAACTATTTGGTGAGTTGTCACAGGCTAAAATGTCATTTTTATTGTGGATTATTGAATTATAATTATTAGTATGATTATGCTGATTTAAATTTAAGTTTATATTTTTCAAATTTAAAGAATGATAATAATCCTTGACAATTGTATAATCTCCTGGATTTAAGTTACCTAATAGCTCAGGAAATAAAACTTTAAAACTTTTCAAAATGATTCTATTCCAAAGATGCATTAGTCTGGAATCTATTGTTGAATAGGAATCTATACTATTTGAAAATTCAGAAGGGAAAGAACTAACTATCTTGGAGAGTAAACCAAACAAACCATATTGCATCAAACACTCGCTATAGTGAGAAATAGAAATATTTCTAAATAAAGGTAAATAATTTGACGGCGTTAAACATTTTAAAATCAAAATTAAATCAGATAGCTTACTATCATTTTTAATATACAATAGAAAATATAATTCAACCCCACTATGCAAATTATACAAGATGATATGCCAAATAAAAGTATTCGAATCTTGTGGCTTCAAATAAACCCAATAATTATCATTCAACCTAAACCCATTTCTATCACTACAAAGACTCTTCCATTCTTTTAATAACCGTCTATTAAGTTGGAAACCCATGATGTTTCTACTCTAATAATATACAGGTAAGCCAAACAAAAACACACAACAATCAGCTACCTCCTAGAATAAAATTAAACTATACTTTTCTATATATTCTAACCTTATTGCTAATGTTCTTTGATCTTGTTCTTGTAGGAAGAGGTTCCTCTTATTTGCAAATGTTTGGTTTAAATACCTTCGGTAGATGATTTCGGTTATTAATTACCCTACCCGACGAGATGAGATGAGATGAGCTGAGATGAGGTGCAAGAAGGTTGAATCAGAGTTATGGTGGAATAACTATATTGATTGGCTTGAATGAACGGTGATTTTTACGTTACGTTAAATTTAGAGTTACTTTGAGGCTCTTATAGTTTTCTTGTTGGTGATCAAGAGAAGTGGGAAGAAAAACACACGAGAAGAACAGCATCATAGATGTCTGACTTCTCTCATATGATCCAAAGTTTTATTGGGAAGTGGTCATTGATTCAGTAGAACAGTATATAAAAAATTAGAAGTGTATTAATATAGAAGATAAACTATACATCAATTTCAGTTTTGGAATCAATATTTCTGATGGTTTAACCATAGATGCATCATGGTTGATTAAACGTTTCTTTGTTTTGATTCACGTGACCGAATCTTCAAAAAGCGATGAGGTCGGGTTTCAATGTCATCTCGAAAAGTTTTGATTCAATGTATATAAAATATGATATAAATTCGAAATGGATAAGATGGTCAAACTTCTTTCAATTGAAGATTGTTGGTTGGTATAGCACTGTGATAGTACAGTAGTAATCGGTTTAGGAGCTATGTTCAGGTCTTTTGCTAGATCCTGTAATTTCAGATCGTTTAGATGGTCTGAAATTCGAGGATTCTCGATTAAACGTCGAAATTTAATGATTTATTCTGCTAGTGCAGCCTTAATTGGTTATCACAGTTCTAATTCTGTATTGAAAAAGTATAATTTAGGAGGTAGAATGTTATTTAACGATTCTTTGATTCCTGATCCGAGAGGTGATACCTACGAAATGGGGTTATTCATTGCGTCTCAAAATGATTGGGAAGATCAGGTAGTTAATGAAAGAAATTTAACGGTAAAGAATTCTAGAAATAGACTTTATAGATATTGTAATGTTTTAATGTACAAAATTGGTGATTTCATGGAGCCAATTATGGTTTTTTTACGATTCATTGAATTATCATGTATTTTCGTACCAATATTTTGTTTATACCCTATTTCTTATTACGGGAAATTAGTAATATTAAATAATAACAATAATAATAATAGCAATGATAAAGCCAATTCTCCCAGTGTAGAGACTAGTGGTTCAATGTTATGGTTTAAAATGTTGAGATATTGTTTAGAGTTGGCAGGTCCAAGTTTTATTAAATTAGGTCAATGGGCAGGCTCGAGAACTGATTTATTTCCAGCTGGATTTTGTCATGAAGTTATGAAATTACATTCAAACGTTAACCCACACAGTTTAGAGTATACGAAATTAAAAGTCTGCTCTGCATTAGATATCCCACAGGAAGATTTTGATTATGTATTCCAGGAGTTTTCAGATGAACCAATTGGTATTGGCGCAATTGCCCAAGTTCATCTAGCTACATTTTCTGAAGATTATTTCAATTATAAACAGTTGAAGTCATCTTTCTCGAATAGAGATGTTGCAATTAAGATCATACATCCTTCAGCTAGGACCAAGATAAATAGAGATTTGAAGATCATGAATTTTTTTGCAAATTTATTAGATTCCATACCAACCATTGAATGGCTATCATTCCCCGATGAAGTAAGAGAGTTTTCCTATTTGATGAATTTGCAATTAGATTTGAGAATTGAATGCCTCAATTTGAATAGGTTCAACGATAACTTTAAGGATAACATCAAAGTGAAATTCCCAATTGGTCATATAGAATTGACTACAAGAGATGTACTTTTTGAGGAATTTATTGATGGTTTGCCTATCCAAGAATGTTTAAATGTCAAAGATTATATCAATGATTATAATCCACTCTTGTTTAAAAAAATTAGTGATCCATTTATCAATGCTTTCCTACAGATGTTAATTCTTGATGATTTTGTCCATGCAGACTTACATCCTGGGAACGTTTTAGTAAGATTCATTAAGACAGATAAATATGAGAATAATATTATTTCTACAGAATCGGAATCAAGTAAAATAATCGATTCATTGAAAAATAGTAGTAAAAATGGTAATTTTACAGATAGATTAGTTGAAGTCTTGGAAGAATATACACCACAAGTTTGTTTTATTGATACTGGATTAATTACTGAATTGAATGAAACAAATCGAGTTAATTTTATTGATTTATTTAATGCGTTAGCAAGATTTGATGGGTACAGGGCAGGTGAATTAATGATCGAAAGATCTAAGACACCAGAAACTGCGATTGATAAAGAGCTGTTTGCAATTAAAACTGAGAAACTAATTGCAAAAGTTAAAAAAAAGACATTTACATTAGGAACAGTATCAATTGGTGAGCTTCTTGATCAAATGCTAAACATGGTTAGATACCATCACGTCAGATTAGAAGGAGATTTCGTATCAGTAATTGTAGCAATATTACTGTTAGAAGGAATTGGCAGACAGCTAGATCCAAATTTAGACTTATTCGAAAGGTTCGTATTTTCTTTTTATTGTTATGTTTAACATCCAATTAAA